AAATGAAAAGTGTTGAAAAACTTTTACTTTCGTTGCTACTACTACCCGGTCTGTGAGTTGGCCTAGACTAAAGGGCCGGGCCATGTATGTAAATTAGCCTTTAAAGACCAACAAGAGAGACGCTGGCCAACAAGTGGCGCGCGTTCGTCTCACAGCGGGTAATTATATTGTGGTCACGTTTAAGCCAGGCATCTGTTTTATGGCATGTTACACTTTAACGCCGATCTGCCAACTCTTTGCCGGCTCTAAAAAAAAACCAAAATTAAATAAAAGAGCACTTTGGAAGAGAGTGTTACCAAAACCAATGTCAGCGCAAATCAAGTTAGGTAAAGCCAACATTTTAAAGGGCTTCTTGAGGCCTAGTCTTTTAGAGTTTAACTTTTAGGGTCAGGCGGATTAAACAATTATAAATATTTATCCTAACATGTTTATAGAAATTTCAAGCTTATCTATTTAAGAATTAATTTAATCCAAAATACATGAAGGATTATAATCCTAATTAAACCCGTCAAACATTTGAACATGCAAATGCACTTTATCAAATATCTTTATGCATCATTAGGCTTGGCTAATATATGGCTGGCAAAAGTAATTATTGACATTGAATTACTGATTACTGAAATAACTGATGTAATAATATTTCATTGTAAAATGTGTCTGGAAACAACCAGTAGACAGTAGCCAGTAACCAGTAACCAGTAACCAGTAAGCCAACAGCCATACCAATATGTGATTACTCAAATTGCTACAATTAGGCGCGTTAAGCACGTGAGGCCGGCCTCACAGTGACAGGGTGTAGTCCATATCTCTATCGGCTTTCGGCCAAGTATCTCTTGGCCATGTGTCGGGATTGTCGGATTGGAGAGGCTAATGCGCCTAATGACACTCTGGAATGATGCGACAAAAGGCAGTTGGCCAGCGTGCTCACAGTCGGCCATTATTAATTTAAATAGCCGGGGCCGGACCCGGGCACGGATATGCCCATGTCTGAAACGGGGGATTATGGGTAGGCTTCTGGGGGTGGCTCTGGGAATATGTGGCCCTAACTACAGGCACAAACACGCAAATGCTTAAAAAGCTTCAACGGCGACTGTCATCGCACCAAATTGGCCAAGTTAACACAGCTCATGAGATTAATATGGCGCGTTTCACACGTCTGCATTGATAATTTGATATGCTACTTACTTTTGTACGACAGCGACATTGCAATCCACATTAAAAGATATAACAAATTGATTAAAAATTTGTAGTACTTTTTGTTGAACAAATAAATAATTGTAATTTAGCATATTTAACATAATATTTAATAAATAAATGACTCAAGAAATCATAGCGTTGTATATTCAGGCTTTAAGCTATCTTATAACCATGTTTCATAAAACTTTTATTCATATTTTGATTAATTCCATCATAATATGTATATGCTTCTACCAATTTCAACTTTTTTCAATCTTGTTTTCCATCTTTAAGGGGTTTTCATGCATATCACCTGCCATTTAACCGTATAATTTGTTGTCTGAGGTTTCTTTTTGTTAAGGCGATGAGTTTGGCTTTTATTTTCTGATGCTTTTTTTTTTTTGTTGGATTGTTGGATTATTTAGACAAAAGTCTCTGACACCGCCGTCACCGTTTGGCCCACCTCATTTATCATCTTTGTCCAGGTCCCAAAAACAAGTGCAAAAAAAAAACAGAGCTCAGAACACTGGAAAAAAACTCATTTGTTGTCATTTGTCTCAGCTGGCCCACCTCTTTCCCTCCGTCTGGCTGATTGTTTTTTATTGTTTTTGCTTTCATTTTGAATGACATTTAAGCGTCAATTTAAAATCGCATTCACAACTGCCTGACTTACGCGTCGCTGGTTTCTCGGTCTCTCGGTTTCCGTTGAAATTCCCCATGGAAACAATGGAATTATCATGGCGGTATTCAAATACTTATAATGCTGTCTATAAGCATGACGGCATAGTATTCTTGTTACCAATTTTATAAGTTTAGCTAAGCATTATAATAATTTAAGTTTTGTCATTCTGTGAGACTGTGCTGCCCCTTTACAAGTATTTCACGGTTCAACGTCTTAAACGACTTTGGACCAATAAAATCACAATTACACTTACAATTCATGGACTAAGAAGTTCTTTATTGCATTTGACGGAGCAAAAGTCATGTCAAGCCAACACATTTTCTGTCTAACTAACCGCAAACTGGTTAAGAAGCCCAAAGGAGCCGCCAGAAGAGCCCACAAACCCGCAACGATTTAAATGCTCGGCGGGAATTTCGCTTACCAAGCTTCGAGAAAATATGCTGGCTAGCAGGGACTAGCAAGGACTGTTAGCCAAGGACTGTGGATGGGAAAAGCCACTTGGCTAAAATGTAATAATGACGGAGAATATTTTCTGGGAGCAGGCCGAAAGTTGAGTAGTTCATGAAGTGTAGGCGTCGGCGGGCAAGACAATTTCTATCCGCAATTTCCACGGCATGATTTGTTATTGGTGCTGTTGGTTTTCGGGGGCCTTAAGCGTTTATAGCCGGTCATATTTATCAATGGTGTTAAGTATTATTAATAGTATGTGTTCTCTAGTGGAGTAGTCCGCAGGGGAGGCTGTCAAAAAGTTTCAACAAATAGCAATGATTTTAATGGATACTCCAATGGATAGCATCTTCACTCAAGGGGATATTGAGAAAGCCCATACCCTTCTGTACTCATTTCTCTCTACGCCTCTGTCCCTTGAAGTCATTCATTTTTTTCCGCCATCTGGGATGTTTGTTGGCTTGTTGTTTACAACAATTTCTTATCATTTATCACGACAAAAATAAAACCAACATTAATTTAGAATCAATGCAATTTATGGGTATGAATCAGCCACCTTCGCGACACCAAATCGCCTCACATTTACAGGCATTTGCATAATAATTTTCTGCTCTTTGCGGAAAACAATCAAAAGCTAATTTACAATGCAATTTCACAGCCAACAATTTATTGTCAGTCGGCTGAGACAAACAGAAAACAGAAAAAAAAACAAAACAAACAGATAAATAAAAGACAGCAGCTTACAGAATTTAAGCAACAAGGCAGAGCGCGGAAGCGTTGAAGAAAATCTAAAATAAGATCTGCCCCGGTGGCGTATACGTAATCTGTACGATTCATGTTACTTAAGTTCCAGACAAATGTCAGTTGTCCCTCTGGCTGCTATGGCTGCTCTACATAATGTGAATAATAATTTTGCTCATTTGAAACGTGTTGGCCAGCCAAAAGTGACGTCGAGGAGACAGACACAGCCAACAAAAAAAAAACATAAACAAAAGCAACAAAAAATAGAACCCAAAGACCCAGAGACAATGGGAAGTCGTGAAATTAGCGCTGCGTTCCACAATGAAAACAGAGCGCAAAACGGGAAGCTGTTCTACTAATTGCAACGTTTCGGATTTCATCCATGTGTGTCTGCATCTTGCATAACCGCCAAGCCACAAAAAACAGACAGCTTAAAAGGCTAAATGAAAGTCGTAGACATATTAAATGATACCAGAACACTAAGTAATGGACAAAATTCCAGAGATTAAAGCTAGGAGTAATTTTTCCTTCTGTTAATAATTTTAAATGTTGTTTGAAGTTGAAAAGTAGAGTCTATTATAAAAGAACATATAAATACAACTTAAATTATATTAAACCCTTCAATGCAAACCAAAATAAATCCAAATAACAATTCGTTTTCCGGACAGACAATGCGGAAAAATGAGCAGCATATGCAGTGTCCCTTAATGAGTCCTAGGAAAACAATTTAGCTCGGGATGTACATTCAGGATGGAGTTTATGAAGGGCTCTCCAAATAAAGGATGCCCAACGTGGCCACAATAAAACTGAAACTAAAGCACGGGGCGTATGATTAATGCTCGCACATATTTAATCATTTTTCATGGCAAATGACAACAGACCCGAGAGCATCAGAAAATTGTTATGCCTTTAAGAAGGACAATTTTATGAAAAGTAGGCGGAGGGAGACTGTAAGGGGTAAAGGGCAGTTACCACTGGCAAGTGGAAAATGGTTTTTATGTCACAGGAATGTCAATCGGAATTATACGGCAACTGGACAATCAACGACCATGTAGACAAAGCGGCTGCCACTTCATCTTGTGCTCCTTTTCGGTTGGTTTTGTTCCAGTTCGTTTGGGAGTCGGTGCCCAATTGGGAGTCGCCTCAAACTGGGCAAACAAAAAAGCCAAACTAAAACTAAACTCATTTAACTTTGCCGTATTTTGATAGCATTTTACCTTGCCCAGGCCGCAAGAACAACGGCAGGAGAAGCATAAGGACCACCAGGAGCCGGACCAGGAGCCACAGCAACAGGAACAACAAACAACTGTTATCAAAATGTCATTCATTCAAATATGTACCGACTGACAGGGTGGAGGACGGGCCAAAGGACATCTGCCCTCGCTCTTCCCTGGCCTCTTTTCCGGTCTTTCTATATATTTTTCTCCCAGCATACACTCTTCGAAAATCTAAAAGGAAAAAATAATCCAATTAAAAGTGCAAATTAAAGCAAGATTAAGGGCATTTACATTTCCTGTTCATTTATTAAGATATCCTTGGGGGACATAAGGCATATGGCTTTATTTAAAAGAAAAATAAGGGATACGAAATATTTTTCTTAATTTATTTTGTTTGCTGATGAAAAATCAAAGACTTAGAACTTAATTCGCTTTAACAGATTTTTTGTGCATATCATATGAAAATTTCACAAAATGTCAGCCAATTTTGGTACTTAAATGTTGGAAATGGATTAGAATTTTTGCTTGCCCTAAACTTTATGGACAAAAGCTTAAATCTTTTTTAAATACACAGAAATTAAGGTTGAAAAGTTTTGAACTTTATAGTCTACTCTTTATGGAAACTATGAGAATAATCTTTTTTATGGAAATTCTTGCAGTGAAACATTCTTGCCATTGGCCTTTGTTTAGCTTTTAGCTTTCTCTTATTTCACACTCGTTTTTTTCCTTTTTTGCAGTGCCCACCATTGAAAGTAGCAGCAGCAGTAGCAGCAACATCGGCGCATCCTCCACAACCGTCACGGTCGCGGTCACGCCGAGCAGCAGCAACGGAAGCAGCACCACGGAATCCCCGACAGAACAGCAACAACCCCAGGGTAAGACCCAAAAACTAATCTCTCCGAGGCGAGCCCCGGACTCGGACTCGGACTCGCCTCGAATCCACCCGCTCTTAAACTAAATGACAAACAACAATGCCCCCGCCATTCCAAAATGTTTATAGGCCAATGCCTGCTGGAAGGAGTCTGGGTGCCGGAGACGACGGTTCGATGCGAGAAACAGGCCAACTGCCGTGCCATCCAGCGCACCGGCCACTGTTGCCCCGATTATAAATGCGGTAAGTGGCCATACACTATAACACCATCCCACTACCCACATCCTTCGCCAACTTTCGGATGCATTTATGCAAATCTCCTACTCTTTGCCCTCCATCCGCAGATTGTGAAAAGGATGGGAAAACTTATGCCAATGGTTATAAATTGGTTGATCCGGACACGCCGTGCACAGTGTGCTACTGCAAAGGTGAGTTTCATGCAGATTGTTTCAAAATTAACCAGCTAGCGGGTGAAGAGTGGGCCAATAATTTCAGCTGGGCTATAGAGCTCAGGTGAAGAATGTTTAAATACCCCGGGGATTGATTATGTTTAAAACTAAATAGAATTAAAGTCAAGAATAAAAGAAATAAAAAATGTATTGAATTTCATTTAAACAACTTAATATTCTTTACTTAAATACCACACCAAAAAACTTCAAGGCCTATCCAAAATTCATAGACACTTTGTGACTAAGCTTTGTCTTTATTTTATTTTTCCAAATAAATCTTTTAACTTTAAGTTTCCACATAAATCGGTTTATTTTATGATGGGTATTTATCAACTTTTAAAACTGAATATTATTTAGTTTATTTAAATATGAACAATGGGTGATATTTTAGAAAATGTCTAATATAAATGAAATAGTTCCCATTTACGTCATTTTGAATTTACTTTTTAAATATAAATAAGAGATTCTACTGCAATACTTATAAAGTATTTTTATTAAATAAGGTTTAAGTAATTATAAGCTGAAATTTTAGTTACATAATTTTTTTATTTCAATGATATTGATGGTCTTTTCTAAAGATTTTTCTACTTTATATACTTTCTTCTACAATTTTTCTAAAAATCATACTTTGTTTGTTGCAGGTGGCGATATTGTATGCAGCTCGGTGACCTGTTTCCGCCGTGACGACTGTATGCCCAAATATGTGCCGGGTCGGTGCTGTCCGGAGTACGACAACTGTCCAAGTGAGTAACCATGGCCCCTTGGCCACTCCGTTGCTGTGGCTAATCCAAAGATTTCATCCAATTCCATATGTCCACAGTTCTAGATAATAATCCGCCGCTGGCCAGCGAGCCGCCCGTGAGCATCAGCACCATCAGCTCCACAGCGAAACCAGTGGCTGCGGCTCAGCCGGCGGGCTTTAACTGGAATATCACCATCAAGGAGATAACCAAGCCTACAGAGATCCGTATAACCGACGACAACAAGGCCAAACCGGCGATTCCCACGCGGAAAACCAACAGCCTGGCGACCACCGAGGGACCAGGATTGCCGGCAACTTTAATCAGTTTGGGGGACAGCAGCGCTGCGGCAACAGTAGGCGGTACATCAGCAACATCAACAACAAGTGCCCCAAGCACTGAGCCAACAACAGCAACTGCAGCACCAGTAGCAGCATCATCATCAGCAGCAACTGTTGCAACACCAACCGACACGGCAGCAACACCAATAGTCAGCCAAGACAGCAACCAAAAAGCACTTCCAGTCACCAACAGCAGCAGTAGCAGCGAAAGCTTAAAGCTCATCGCCTCCGTCGGCTACATCGAGAGACCCCTGGCCCAGAGCAGCAATGTGGTGGAGCAACAGGTGCGCCCGCTGGTCACCTACACCTCTGATGGCCTACAGCCTTTGGCCGAGAACGATCCCAGCAAGGTGAACATCAAGCGGGAGTACACCACGGAGGGAGCCCTTGCTTCCAGTACTCAGAAAAAGGATGACGATTTGGAGCCTCTAAGCACAGGCAACGTCTTTCTCCAAAACGGCTTCAAGGAATCACTGGTGGAGTCTTCGGATGCGGATCTTGAGCCAGACACAGCTGGCAGTGACAATGTCTACCACATTATCTCAACCACCGAGGGTCCTGCCAGCTTGAACAAAATCAGCACCGATGCCCCAGCTACAAATGTTTCACCAGCCGAATCCACCCCTGCTAATCCCAGTTTCAAAGATATTAGTACGGAAGGACCCGGAACAGCCAGCAGCGAGGTGCCACCATCGAGCTCCCCACACCACTTGGACGTGGAGGATGATGTACCCCAGGTAGAGTCCAATCCGGCCTACCCCTCCCTACCCGAGGACGACTTCAGTCTCCGGGATGTGAATTTTCCTTTGGTGGAACTGGAGGATGTGGGAGACGTCGAAAAGGACGAGCCCAGAAGCATAGTCAGTCCCTTTGACATGGACAACCATCACGTGAAGTTGGCTCCAGACGCAAACCTGGATGGGAGCGGGAGTGGCAGCGGTGGGGGCAGTGGCGGTGGGGACATAGAACTCTTCCAGGAGAAGGTCTCCACCACTGAACGCATCGTGGCCGATGCCTCCGTCGTCCGGGAAAAGAGCTCCATGGTACCGCTGCTCATGAACAGTGGGGAGGATATATCCGGAGAGATGCCGCGTATCCAAAACAGCAGCTTTCTGCAGCTGGAAAAGATTAGCCGCGGAGAGGAAACAGAGCTAGGCAGTGGGGAGATCCGGGAGCCCATAACCCCCCGAACCTTCCCAGTTTCCGGTCTGGAGATAGACGAGCTGGGTTCCGGGGCAGGCCAGGTGGGCGGTGTGGACCCGAAAGCAGATGCCGAAAGCCTCAAACTAGACGAGAGCCAGGAGTCGACCGCCTCCAAGGCCAGCGGATCGGTGGACAAGTCTTCGGCGAGGGCCGAGAAGAGCTTCGTGGAAAGAGCCCTGCCCCTGGGACGCCTATATCTGCAGAGGATCTACTAAGACCTAGCCAGGAAAAGTTGAAGGATCAGCGTAAAATTTTATTGTATGTACATATACCATAAAGCCTAGTAGCTTGGAAGAGCACATCGAAAATCCAAACATTCAAGTGAGCGAAAGTGTTAGGTTTAAGTAGCCAGAAAGAAAAAACGGGGGAAACAAAATATCAAGGACGAAAGAGATCCTTGAAAGAATTATCGTTTCCATAGACTGCATAATGACCATCTGAATTTATCGACATTACGAACGTAATCATTAGCGTATGATTAGCAAAGCTGGGCTCCCCAAATGCAATAACTATATGTTTCATTATTCAAATTGCAATTTGTATTGCTTAGTTGTATTTTTTAATTTATATGTATCGATCTAAGTGCACATGAAGAAAAAAAAAACAAAAAACCATAAAAACCATTGCCACGCCCACAATCGAAATTCATCGAATAAGTCGCAACATTTACACCCAGATGGAGGAGAAAATTTTTAACTTGTTTTATCTCATCAGGACTTTATTTAATTTATAATTTATTGCTTAACGAAAGAGTATGGATGATGATTTAATTAATCAGTGGTGATTTATTTAAAAATGCAAAGGAAAACCTATATAGTCTTCTTTAAATTGCAAAGCTTTTAAGTTTAGACTGAGTATGGAAAAGTTTTAATTTAAAGCAATTAACAATTACTCCTACATTAATCATAATTTATATAAAATTTAAATTAATTTTAACTTTGACATTGAAGCGACTTGAGGAAGAAGGATTCTCCCGAAGACCTAGCTGGAGGAGAAAGTGTCAAAAAATAAAAATGCAGTCATTCTTTAGTTAATAAATAATTAATTATATGGATATAATTTATTTAGGCGATGATCGCGCACACCTTGACTCACACACACACACAAAACACGCACACCGATTTTTTGAATAAAGTTTAAAGTAAAAAAAAGTAAATCTTATAAATACTTTAACTAGCGTAAATTTAGATTCAAGCTCATTATAAAATGTATGAATTACAAAATAAAGAAAAATAGGAAACCCTATAACAAGTTTTTTAATATTTTGTAGAAAAATAAAGACCCAAAGGGCCTACGCACATCGGTCCTACCCAAATCGTTGCGTAAGTCATGTAGCTGCCCCACAGGGGGTTGGGGGACTGGCCACACCCTCCCGTACCCCTCATTACACATGCAAGTGCATGTGGCGGCAATTACCAAGAAATTAAATAAACAAACCGAAGCCCAGCAACGGAAAACAATCACGACGACAACTGTTGCATCACGACAGCAACTTTGCCGGCGGCAGCAGCAGCAGCGACTCGGGTTACCTTACTTACTGGCAACATCGTATTGAACCGTAATGCACAATCGCTCCATGGCTTACATAACAAGGTTGAGGATACAACAATACTAATGACACCAACAACAATCGCCGCAACAACATCGCAAATTTATTGTTAATTCGTATGCGCAGCGGGATCATCGAGGAGAAAGTCTCCGAAGAGCATTAGGAAAAAGCCACAGAAGAAAAAGAAACATGTAATAAATCACTCGGGACCCCAGGCCATCGTCTTCGATCAAAAGTTTACAGAGGAGTCGAGACAGTAACTGGTTTGGTGTTTGGGGAGGATCACTTTCGCTTTCCACCAAGACGACACCTCGATTGAATACATTTAGTTTTTTGTTGATTTTTTATTAATGAGAAACTTAACAACGAGTGCAAAATGCAATGACCTAACTGGATGATAGTCCTACGATCTAGTTGCGACCGATCTGGTCCACCTGGGACTGCAGGTTGTTTATCACCTCAGAGGGCACCTGGTCGCCAAGGATCTCGAAGAGGTTGATGCGCTGGTTGCCGGGAATCTGTTCGTAGGCGCCCAGCTCGATACCCTCCTGGACGTTCTGGATCTGAGCATCCTTGGGGATGAGCAGAGTCTGCTGGGCCTGACGGATGGCCTCGTTCGTGTAGGCGGCGCCCTCACGTTGGGGCAGGGACTGGACACCGGCCAGCAGCAGGGCGAACATCGAACACAGCGCGAACACTTTCATTTTGTTGATTTCTGCAATGAATATTCCCGACTCAGTACTCACTCACACTACGCTCTATATTTCTTCATATATTTGGGTATTTATTATATTAGCCATTTTACTTTGGCCAAAAGCCTGTCTTACCTTGCGCGCTACGTTTGTTGTAATGTTTCGGCTGCGCAGGCGTCGTGCCCGTTTTATAAGCTGAGCTCCACCACTGGAAGCCTCAGCCCCGAAAATCTGGAAAGCCTCAGCTCTTTCATTTTGTTTCGTTTCTGGTTTTCGTTTATCCAAAAACAAAAAAAAACACACATCGATGTTGTAAAAATAATATAAAAAGTCTTATTGCTTCCAGCTTCATATCACATCAGCCCATTAAAGTAAAAACTCTGTTTTTATTGGAAATTATTTTTGGGCATTTGTCCAATATTAATGCGAAGGTTAAGCGCCACTTCGGAAATGTCAAGTGGCATTTAACCTTCCAGTGAGCATTTAACCACGAAGTGGTCTTTCAGGTGCTATCTGGTTCACATTAATAGCCGGTAAGAAAAAATTAACAATTACTAGTCTTTGAAGAGTCATTTACAAATTGCAGCCATGGCTGGACGTTTTTTATTTTTTCGCATTTGCGTAAGACGACTAAAAAGCAGAAAAAAGCCACAAAAAATATTACAGCAAATCATTGGAGTCCGATTTGCTTGCAAAAATCTTGTAATGATCGATTTTGCAAACGAAACAATCATTATTTAGATTGTTATTTAATAAAGGAAAAAAAAATGAATGATTAAATAAAAGTAATTAGAAGCTTCCTATTATAATCCATTATTGCCTATTGTATTAGTTTTTTATTAAAAAAAAACTAATAATAATAAAAATTGGCGCTCTAAACTTGTTAAGTTCCTTTTCAACATTTTTTAATTTCAAAAAGCCGTTGAGTCTATCGATAAGTTTTACCGATTTACATTGTTATTGTAGTTTAGATTTAAAATATCGACTTTTCGATATCGATATGTTGATATTTTGATAGACCATCAACAACCCTATCGCGTTTTCTTGTGTTCTTTTAAAACCACGATTTTCTCACTTAAAAAAAAATATACCTTACGCCGGGAAATAAATACAAGCTATTAAACCCCTCTTGCTCCTGGAACCTCCAGAAATTCAGCCAGGAGACCGTGTTATTTACCAAATACATCGCACAACAAGTGCCGCCTAACGAAACGCACGTGGGCACGGAGATGGATGTGGAAAACGGCGAGGGGCAGGTGCAGGTGCACCTCAAGACCAAACAGGAGCAGTAAGTATTTCTGAATATGACCGAAACTGCGACTCTAAGACTCAAATTTTAGCTATGCCGTGCCGGATGTACCCTATGCCATCGATGGAACTGTAACCACCGCGGAGCTAAACACGTTCGTGAACACATTGCTCCAGCAGAAAGATGGCTCATCGGTGGACTTCGATTTTCTTGTATTTGACGAGTACCTACGAGGTCGGCTATGCGATCACCTGCGCGAGAAAGCCATAAGTTTCGAGGACGCCATCGAGATAGAGTACGTGGAAAGATTCCCAGCTCCAGAGCCGCAGGATTGCCTGCTCCACGACGACTGGGTGTCTGCGGTGAAAGCGAACGGAAAATGGATATTAACGGGATGCTACGACAATACGCTAAACATCTGGACCAACAAGGGAAAACACATTCTTACTATTTCGGGTCACACGGCACCCATTAAGGCGGTCGATTGGATATCGCTGGATGAAGAATCCGGTCGCTTTGTGTCTAGTTCTCAGGATCAAACAGCCATGCTGTGGCAGTGGAACGTGGGCTCGAACACGGCCGAGTGCGTATCCGTGTGCAAGGGTCACGAACGAGGCGTCGATAGTGTCAGTGTGAGTCCCGATGGCCAACGCTTCGCCACCGGTTCCTGGGACACTATGCTTAAGGTCTGGTCTGCCGAGCTGGATGATGCGGGTGAGGGTACATCCAAACGAATGAAAGAGAGCGGAGTGAGGGTAAGTTTGAATCCTTTTTTGATACTATTCAGCTCTAACATATTTCTTTCTTTTTCAGACTCCCAAGATGACGCTTCAGGGACACAGGGAGAGCATTTCTGCGGTGCAATGGATGGACGCCAGCACTTTACTTACTGGAAGTTGGGATCACACGTTGAAAGTGTGGGATTTGAGCCTGGAAGGTATTAAGACCGAAATATCCACCAACAAGTCCATCTTCGATGCCAGCTACTCCAATCTTAATCGCTTGATATTGACCGCTTCGGCGGACAAGAATCTACGTCTATATGACGCCAGAACAAACCGTAAGATGATCAACAATCTTAAAATTTGTTTTCAATTAACTGATTCTTGCTTTTTCAGAGGGTTCTGTGGTGCGCAACACCTATCTGGGACACAATGCTTGGGTACAAGCGGTAATGTGGTCCACCACCGAGGAGTTCCTGTTTGTCTCCGGCGCCTACGACAACCAGAATAAGCTGTGGGACTGCCGTAGTCCGAAAGCGCCACTTTACGATCTGCTGGGTCATGGAGAAAAGGTTCTAGACATTGACTGGACGAATCCCAAGTACATCGTCTCTGGCGGTGCCGACAACTCTGTGCGCGTTTTTAAATCCCGAAAAGCGGTAACAGAAAGCATGGACACTAAGTAATTGTAACGCTGTAAACAATAGATTTAAAATAAATTTGGATAACACCTGAACACAGTAGTTTTTCAGTGCATGACTTATTTTTGACATATGAAAACATTGTCGACCACATTACAAACCAAATATTTTAAACGGCAGTGTGACCACATTTTCATAACTATCGATAGGCAATCTTATTTTCGGGATTTCACGACCGCATCTTTGGGATTTCTTGACGCGTTTTCCGGATTAAGGATGTGAGCAGCGAACAAAAGCTATAACAAAGATAGAAAGACCTATTTGCAAAAGACGATTTTGATAAAGTTAAGGACCAACAAAGGTGCGATCTCGCGATAAACACGTCCACAGCGCCATTCCCGAACCACGCCGGCAGAACCGCCTGCCCACCCACAGCGAAGGCTGAATCGTGTGCGCAAAAGTGCGAGCGAGAGGGCAGCAGGCGACAGAGGCGAGCGAAAATTATTTTCGCAAGTTGTGATAGAAAAAAGTGAAAGAAACGGCGAACGCGAGGTGTGTATCGGTGGAGGGTCTGGGAAATGGTCCCCAATCCGCAATGCTTTCTTCCGCCGAGCCAAATAATGACCAGAAAGTGCAGGAGGAGGAGGCGGCGGCGGTAGCAGCGGCAGCGGCGCGGCATCAACCGCGGCAGAGCGACGACGGCGGCAGAAATGCGTTTGCAAATGTCGGCTGATTGATTTTTTTTTATGGGGAAACAAAGTCTGGGGATTGGAGAAAATTGTTTTGGGGGTCAGGGCAATGTCCAGGGGCCTATTAAGTCCTGGGTCAACATTCCACCCTCCCCCTTCCAATTCCGTCAACGAAATTTTGCCAAAATGGCCGCTGCCTTAGTTCAATAAAAATGTGTGCGTTTGTGCGAAAAAGCCATGCCCGCCGTCGCTGATAAAAACAAAGCGGAAACCTTAAAACGAGCAAATCCCCTGCTTATGCCAGAAACCGGGTCAAGGACCCGTTGTGCAAAGCCACATCAAAATAACAACTCCCCCCTTTCTCTTGTTTGCAGTTCCTCCCAGTCGAGGTCACCAGACATGTCTTCAACCCCAGCCGCTGGCAATGCCGCCGAGGTGGCCACCTCCAGTGCCAGCACCACTCCGAGTGCCCCAAGTGCGGCCACCGGGAACGCCAGTCAGACCACAACCACGGCAGCAACGACGCCCGCCCGGGGCAGGGGTGCCAATGGTGGTGCCTCGGGTAGCAACGCTTCTGGTGGCGATGAGCCGCGCAAGGAGAGCAAACCTACGCCTAGAATATCCAAGGCGCTAGGAACCTCGGCTAAACGCATTCAGAAGGAGCTGGCTGAGATCACACTGGACCCGCCGCCCAACTGTAGTGCCGGGCCGAAGGGCGACAACCTTTACGAGTGGGTGTCCACCATCCTGGGACCGCCCGGATCTGTCTACGAGGGCGGCGTTTTCTTCCTGGACATCCACTTCTCTCCGGAGTACCCCTTCAAGCCACCCAAAGTCACGTTCCGCACACGCATCTACCACTGCAATATCAACAGCCAGGGCGTTATCTGCCTGGACATACTCAAGGACAACTGGTCGCCGGCGCTGACCATATCGAAGGTGTTGCTGTCAATTTGTTCCCTGCTCACAGACTGCAATCCAGGTGAGACATCAATTCGAATCACTTTCTTTGGAAAACGCTATAAATTATTGTTTATTTTTAGCTGATCCGCTGGTAGGCAGTATCGCCACGCAATACTTGCAAAATAGAGAAGAACACGATCGAATTGCGCGTCTCTGGACAAAAAGGTATGTTTATGCATTATCATGACAAGTATCCTATTTAATACTTTTCTTTGAATTATTTTATCAGGTACGCAACATGATGCGTAAGTTCTGACTTCGTAAATGTACCACAAACCGAAAACTGCAACAACAGAAATAATAATTCGCATCTTGCAAAGGAGAAAGTCTATTTTATAAATATATATTAAAATACGCTAACTATTAAATTAACAATAAAAGTAAAGATTACCATAACATGTACACGTAACACGAACACGAGCAGCCGCCAACATCCAGAAATTAGACGAACTCACTCTTTCCCAGCCTATCTTTATGTTGCGTTTATACAAAATATGTAAAAACATTTGATACGATTATTGCGTTATATATTTGGAAAAAAAAAAACAAAGAGTCAAAATTCGAACCCAAATTGCACATTGACATATTGAAATATAAGCTATTCAACAGCATAAATAATATAAATACAATTAGTTTACATTATATGTGTACAGTGTTAAGTGAAAAATGGAGCTAAACAAACGAGTAAAGAGAAGAGCCTATTTAAATGCATAATACTTAATACAAATATAATTAACAGAACCAATGTCAGGGCAGTACAGTTCGTAAATGATTTTCATTCGCAAAACTGGCCGCATCAAAGGAAATTCTCAAAACAAAAACAAAAGACTAATGTGAAAAGGTAAACGATAAACGAAATAATTCTATGTATACAAAATTAAGACAACCTATTCCAAATTCCAAAAACAAAATTAGACATTTTTGTTATTCGTAATTATATAAAAATTGTATTTGGTTTGTATTTGTTTAATGTGATATCTGTAAGCTTATTAAATCTGTTCTTTGGCCAACTGCATTTCGAAAATCTGTGAGCATTATTAACATTGTATTCATGACTTTTAATAGAAAGCGCCCTACAATAGAAAGCGTTGTTTTCAACAAATTCAATTAAGAGTATAGAGAGCTGATATATAAAACAAAGCAAAGAAAAATATAAACAAAAACGAAAAAGATAAACAACTTCCTATTATTTTGTAGTTTTAATGACAAAGCCGTGTCACACATCCAATGATAAAACTGAACAAACATTTTCGTAAAAAGTAATGTAAGTCTTTTGCGTCAAGTCAACAAAAAACTGAGATCGAGGATAAAACGAACTTAAATAAAAAGTAATGATAATGATAAATCATTGTATTCCTTTGATCTTTAATATTTTAAAAACGGTAATCAGATTGGCGAATGTTTTTCATTCCCGTCTGGATTCTTCAGGATCCTTGCCAAAAATAAAGTAACATAATTTAAGTTAAATTTTATTCGATATATATCTTTGTTTATACAAAATATGTTTCTCATTACACTATTATTCATAAATATATATACGATCCCGAAACATGGGACAATAGAATGAATATTGGCGAACCCCCTAGTCCCTTCCCACCACCGACTTCTCCCTTAGAGGTACATGCCGTTGACCAGAAAGTCCGCCTCCTGAGAATAAGGCGTCTTGCCGCCTAGGCGACGTGCCCTCCGGCTGACCGTCCTCATCCGGCAGCCAATAAGAATGGCGAGCGCTGCGGTGACCAGCAGGCCCATGGTCAGCGACAGGACAGCCCCGCCGGGTCGTTCCGAGTGGCCATCGTGGTCTCTAAACTCTATCGCCAGATTCTCATGGATCATCTTGTACTGTTCGTGCACCGGCGACACGGGAACGGGCAGAACTGGCAGGGACGCCTCCTGCTTATTCTGTTCGAGGGCCAGTTCAATGGGATCCTTTCCAGCCTTTGCCTTGACCTTTTTGTGCTTTCGTTGTTTCTGTAAAGGATTTTTTGATCATTTAAAGAGCACAAAAAGTGACCTTTGTCTTACCTTCTTTGGTGCCTCTGTGGAGGCGTCATCGTCGTAGTCATCGTACTCCTCATCCCCACCTTGACTCTGGCTCTTTCCCGGGGCAGGTGCCGCATTCAAGACGGGCAACATGGCTTGCTGCTGAGCTGGAGGAGATTGAACAGCGGGTGCTGTGGCATATATACGACCCTGTTGCTGAGGTGTGATGGCTTGCTGTTGCTGCTGCACTGGAAGCAGTTGCTGCTGCGGCACCCCAGCCGCCGTTTGGGGCCACACGGCACCAGGCTGCAATTGCTGGACAGATGATGTCTGTGGTTGTTGCTGCAACGACTGCTGCTGCTGTTGCGTGGGCATGTACAATCCAGAGCGAGGCAGCGACATCCCATAGAGTTGATTGCTGGTGTAGCTGGGCAATTGGAGTGGTGCTGATTGCCCCTGAACCTGAACCGCCGGCTGTGCCAGTCCCTGCCCCGGCACCGGGAGCTGCCCCTGGTTGCCGTTCGCCGACTGCTGCAATTGGAGGCCGCCTTTGTGACTAAATATGTGACTCCGGTCATCTGCAAGAAAGTGGAAACGGCACAAGGAAGTACAAAGTGTGTCTCCCAGTTAACGCACAGCTAATTGAATTAATTACGAGTAGACAGAGAAACAACACGAACCCACAGCCAGCCGTAAATCAATTTTGAGCGACGGCAGCTCCCATTTCACACAATGGAAACTGATGGGCAATTTGCGATTTTCCCAGAAGAAAACCCGACCCAAAGCCAGGGAAAGGGAGCTCATGCCCATGTCCATGCCCATGCCAGAGGGATCATTGCGTGTGTGTAGTGCTCCTCCAATGGCAATTTGTGTGCTAATGTCGCACTGGGCGCCGCTGCCTCCGGGAAACATTCTCCGGGAAAACGGAATTGTTTTCCCTCATAAATATTTGCTCAACTTTTAGTTTTATTGGAAGAAACTAATTGGTGTTGAACACTCAATCGAGTTTAATTATAAAATTAAAAAAGGAAAAGCCTTAAGCGGAAGTTAGCTGTCGTCTGATTGGAGACTCAATTCCTAATCAGACTATCCTAAAAGTCTGATTAGATCTTAAATTTAAACCAAATCTTAAAAAACCTACCTCCATTAATAGTCTCTGCCTGTTGCTGAGGCGACTGTTGCTGCTGTTGCATCTGCAACTGCTGCTGCGGCTGTTGCTGCTGCACCTCAGCAATCATCTTGCGGTTGGCCCATGCGGCGGCATCTTCACGATTGTTGACCATGGGTGGCGGTGGTGGTGGTGGTGGAGGTGGACCCAGCACAATTACATGCTGTGGCTGTTGCTGTGGCTGTTGCTGCTGTTGTTGTGGCTGATGCTGCTGCTGCTGTTGAGCGGCAACTTGCAACTGTTGTTGCACGTTCTGCACGGGCAGGTATTGCTGCACCAATGGCTTAACGGGCTCCATGTTGCTGTTGCTTCCACTCGACTTTGTGGCTGCCGATGATATGGTATTGCACTGAAATATAGGTTAGCAATTAACGATCGTAGTGCCGGAAAACGAAAGGGGAAGGGGTGCAACTCACTTCCGGTCCCTCGTCGCTGCCATCTTCGCACTGCGGTATACCGTCGCAGGCATTGTAGACCGCAATGCATTCTCCGGAATGGCAGGTGAACTGGAAACGCCCACAGTGTGCAATGGGAGCTGAAATTCGGGAAAGGTTCGGATTTCTCATTTAAATAACAAAAGTATTGTTGGAGCAACATAATCAAATGCAATGAGTTTTTCAAATTAAAATGGAAAATTAGCTAAAACCCTAAAAACCAATTTAAAGTGGTTGCCACAACCTACCACTTTGAGCCACGTTGACTGCCGATTGCGCCGCACCAGAAACAGAGCCCGTTCCCGCTACAGCTCCCGACACGGATGTGGGGGCCACCGCAGTGGCCGCAGTGGGCTTGTCCCGCGCTTCCGGCTTCAATTTGAGGTTACTCAGCTCCCACTCTTGCTGCGAGACATTGTTGCTGGGTATGTGGGGCAGCTGGGGACGCGGAGTACTGGCCAGTTCGGCGGGCTGCCGCACCTGGGGGGTCAGAACGGCACTCGTGTAGTTGGCGTGTCGTGTGAACTTGCAGTGGAAGTTCTCCGGCGGTCCACACTCGAACAGGTAACAATAGCCACCTGCCTTTCGCTCGAAAATGTACACATCGCAGGCATCCGTCTCACAGCAGAGCCGCTCGCACTCCTCAATGGTGTCCAGCTCGAGTCCCTGGAGGTACTTGCCACCAATCGCCTGGGATTCTCCAGTCCGTATAATGGTGTTTTTGTGAACATCAAAGTGGCCTACAGGGGGGATTATTGAAACAGATGGATAGGATTATTATAATTTTTTGATAAGACATGACTTGATATCTCTAATCTTTAAACTCGATATGACTCTTACCTATGCAGACCTCCAGATCCATCCGCTTGGCCAGTCGGTGATCCCCTGGAGAAGATTGCGGATTGAGGTACTCCACCTGCTCTGCGGTGGCTGCTGCTCCCACAATCATTAGCAGCGGAATTAGCGCGAAATTGGTTATCATTTCGATCATTAATGATTATATTTTTTTTGCGGTTTGACGGTCACGCCTGGTGTTCCCCGTTGGGGCAGCTGGCGGTCACAGTTCACTGGGGGAGTGCCAAGGGGTGGCCGTGAAAGAGAGGCGAAGCGAGAGAGGCTGGTTCGAGGGCTTGCCGTGTTTACAAATTTTACACGCCTATTGATTTTTGGCCTTTTTAGCGATTCGTGGTCTTGCCAAGCAGCACTTTTCTTTAGTTCACACCCGAACGCGCTAAAATAATGACTTTATGATCTTTCTCTGTGGTTTTATTTGGTTTTCTTCGAATTGTTTTTTCTTTTTTCCTTGAATTTTAGCGAAAATAGTAACGTCTAACGAAAAGTAAACCAATGGAAGTGCTTAGAAAATGTAGTCAGTTTCCTCTTGGAGCTTTTCCACCCTTAGCGGGAAAAAGCTACCTGAACTTTGGGTTATCAGCTGATTGAGGGGTTGTTATCGCTAGAAGTACTTTCCAGTATTTTCACATGTTTTTAGCTGGAAATCTCTCAAGCTTTCTCTCGCCCACATATAGCCAACATATGTTTATACTTTCAACCCCAACCTTGCAGACCTTGTAATGCACCCCGTCAATTTAGCACAACAATAACCGTCGAGGATGTCGACCTGTCCTTTCCCAGGACTCTCTTTAAATGAAAATTTATTTTAAGCTGCAAGAAGTGGAAACACTGACAAAAAAAATGTAAATTAAATATTATACAAGCTTAATTGAGGGAGGATTGATTTGTGGATTGATTTGAAACCCAATCTTAAGGGAGTTTATATTGAATTTATATATTTTTATATTGATTTCTATTCATTTACAAATTTTATTTTGATTTCAAAATTTATTTTTCCTAATATTTGAATCTTGTCTATAAATATTTCAAGTGTATAATAACCAAAAATCGATCGAAAGCTTTCATTCTACCTTTATTTGTATCGAGGCTTTAATAATTTAGCTGCGGTTGGGGTGGTTTACAATTGTTTGGGTTTATTGGTTAATCGAACTGTGCTGCCATAGACTTTCACCCCAAAAGGGGTATACTCTGAAACTGTACATATAGTACAATATGGTGGAGAGTATGGGAATTTACACAGTTGAGGGAGAATCCTTTGGTAAAGGGTTAAGCCATTGCATCCCAAAAATTTATAGAGTTGCTAATTGCAGCAGGACCTCTGTTAAGTAACATTATCCTTAACGCATGCGCCCATTATTCGGGCAGCTTAAAGCCGCCTGAAGAGGCAACTTGGCCATGTTAATGAAAATAAAGCGTTAAACGGAACAAGGGTTCGCTGCTGATGCACACCCATCCATCCATATGCATTTATATGCACACATCCTCCCAGTGCACCCGGCTGCCTATTAAAACACCCAAGCTATTGCTGCACAAAAGCCCGGCAAGAAGGCAAAACAAAAAATGTACAAAGGCTGGGAGCGGCGGTGGTGAGCAACGAATTTGCAACCCCCTTCAGGGCTGTTGCAAGACAACAACAAAACAGCATACAATTACGGGCTAGGATATGGGGAGGCTGGGTCTCTGAAAGGGGAGTCGAAGGACTAGGGAGCGTGGGGAAAAAAGCATTTGGAGCCATAAAGTGGGCAAAATGCGAAAGTCTGGTAGAAACATAACAACGAAAAAAACCATTGCATATTTCAGGGAGTCACGTCACCCAAGCTAGTCAAGTGGGCAGCGTGTTGGAGGCTCTTTCCCCATAATCACACAGTCTCACTCGCCGTTGGGTGTATTTGTATGTGTGAGTATATAGAGGTGTGGGTGTATATTGCATTTTCTGGGAAATACAATTAGTCGACCCATGGAAACCCTGTACGATGAGGTCCTAGAGGAATATTAAAAAAAACTTAAAGGCTGTTACGTTCAAAAATCTTATAAAAATCTAATAAAATACAACAAATAATATAACATAAGATGGTTCTTAAAATATAATTCCTATATTCTAACAAGACAAACAGAAAATTTTCGATTTCCCCTAAGCCTTAACTAACCTTCAAGGCTTTATTAAAAAAAATGATCCTAGCAGCATCGCTTAAATTGCATCTTCAGTTCAGTTTTTGCTTTCCTGCCACTGGCAATGTTAATGCTTTTAATGAACGACAAAGCAGTGCCGAGCAGGACTCTGGGCGTGGCATGTGGGAAGTAGCAGGGACCTACCCGGGTGGTTACTCAGTGATTACATTCAACTAAAAAGTGATTTGCGTTTATTTTTAACACCACATTGAAGGGTCTCTCTCTCTCTAATTGCACTAAAGGGATATTTTTTTTTTGAAGCAATTATCGATGTTTGTTTGCATATTTCAGACAAAGGAACTTGCAGAATGTCCTTTTTCATGCTTCTTGGTTGAACTTTTTTCCAAGAAAATTGCAGAAACTTGCATGACTTGTGGGAGTTTGTGCTTTTCCCCTAATAAGGGTTATTGACACAAATGCAACACAAGTTGTTTCGTAGGGATTGTCGAAGCATTTGTATATCGGGTCTCTTTGGGCCAACGTCTGAGCTGCTTAAAATTTATTCGTTTTAGCCGAAAAACTTATTCGCTCGTGTCACAGACGTCGAGACGCCAAAGTTCAATAGCACTGAAGTGAGGACAGAAAGAAAAATTTAGAAAATCTCCCCCACATCCTTCAGCCATCTATTCGGCAAATGACTGCAAAGACTCGTAAAGCATTTCGGACAGAAAGGACATGTGCACGTGCAGCCAGAAAGCTCGTAAATTCTCCACATTTACCGAAATGGAAATTTCGCCAGACGAACCACAAAGAAGCCACCGGAGATGGCTCAAACAGAGGGGGAGGCTTCGCGGAGGGGTAGCTGGCTGACTGACAAGATGTGGCGGGGTCTTCATTTCAGTTACCAGGTGAGCCAGGTGCGCCAGGTGGGGCTTTGAGTTCGTCTGGCGGCTTTTATTGTGTGGCCTTGCCGCTGAAAAACGTGTTTTGATTTTTCGTTAGAAAATTGTTTATCTTTTCCCTGCTTAAATTCTGTGCCCAGAATTCCCTCTCATTTTGACACAAAAGCACAACGGCCCAACACTCGGCCCGAATGAATGAATTTGTTAGCTTGTCGCGGCCTGAATTAAAGCCAAACAACAAACTAACCAAAAAGATACATGACCTGTGGCTTGATCAGGGGCTGAACCTGAAGGGGCATCTAAATGGGAAAAGTTCTACAACAGAAATTACAAAGTATAACCAAGATTTATAGCAACTTGTTTTTTTTTTTATCATCTACCCTTTTTTTTATGGAGACGTAGCGACGCCTCTGCCCAATTTAAACGGTCTTTTGAGCCGAACATAAATATGGCTTAGGTCTGTTGGCCAAAAAATAACTTTAATTAAAACAGTCGTAGATAATTTTATTGAGCTTGTGACAGTAAACGAAAGAAAGATAAAATGCTCAGCTAGTTTACATAATAGAGCTCTGAAGAGACCTTGGGACTCTACGTTCCACATAACAGCGAAATTTTTGAAAGAAAGATGAGAATTTTAAGTAGTTAAAATTAAAAAAAAAATATCTGCTTCCCAAGAAAACTTAGAAGAATGAAATCACCTCCAACAATAAATAAAAGAGTTAAGTATTTTTATATGCCATTCTAACTATTAATGATGTATTTAAAAACCTAACAACAAGTAATAAAAGTTTAATCATTAAAAGTAGTATTCCTTCACACCTTCAACTAAAAACATTAAACAAGAAACGAATGGCAAATAATGATGCGTAAAGCCAAGCCCCTAAAAACCCATGGACTGATGAACTGACCCAACTGATCATTAATTATATGCAGAAAGAAAAAAAAGAGGAAAAAATGGAAAAACTTTCAAATGCTCAGACAACGTCGCGACTATTAAACCAATTTTTGCTTTTTTGTTATTACTACCATTTCGGAGTGGGAGATACCCGGTGGCCCGGTGTCTGTTGGCTGTTGTCTGTCGGCCAGGGGTGGCCAAATGGAATTAATGGAGAGCATAAAAGCGAATTTCTCATACAAAAGGCGAAGCGTCAAGGAACCCTCAAGTGCCAATTTTTCGTTGCCGTTGTTTATTTTTGCGACAGGGGGGATGGTGTGGAAGTGGGGGGGAAAATACTGGCTTAACCACACAATAAATGCGCAACAAGGGGCCATAAACATGGCCAAGAGCAGATGGAATTTGGGGAGATTGAGGGAGCCGCCTGGAGCAGCAGATGCTGCCTCAAGATGAACTCTTGAACTTGACGGCAGGCAACGAGTTCAACGAATTGGCCAAAAAACAAAGCCTGACATCCTAGCGAGTGCCAAGGGTCAAAGGCTTCTAGCAAGAGTAAGATCTGACAATTGAATATTTAAGGACCTTCCCAAAAAATTAAGCATACGCATCGTTGGCCAAGAGTAATTCGCAAGTATGTAACTTATGCAACTCCAAGAGCTGTTAACTTTAATATTTAAAACGAAAAACAAAAGACAACAGGACTGCCATGGACTTGAATATTTTATTACTTTCGGGACAGTGTGGGTTCTTTGTCAAAAAGTCCACAAAAAGTCGGAGAAACCTAATTAAGACTTGAGACATTGTCAAGCTTAACATCCGCTCTGCTCCTCAAATATTTATTTATTGATTTTCTTAAATGCTTAGTGCTCGCTTTTTTTCTGTCGCTTCTTTCCTGTTTGAGTGACGTCTGTCACATTTTGTTAAGACCCCATCGCCATTTCCATTCACCGACCATAATTGACAGCCATCCCGTCTGTTGGCCAACAGGGCTGTTGCTCTCTCCGAGCCACTGTTAAGTCACGGTTTTTTTCTGATTTTCAAGTTTATGGCCAATTCCGATTCCTCCGTTCTCTAGCCGGCCATCAGAGCAACTGTAAATTTTGACCAGTTTGGCTTGATGCCGCTTTCTCTCTCTCTCTCTGTATGTCCCTCTCTCTTTTAACTACTTTCTTAGTTGCTGGTACTATCTCCTTCCCCTCAGCATTCCCTTTCGGCTTTGTCTTTCACTCTGGTTGCAGTTGGCGGCTCTTTTGTTGTGGCCATTCTAAGCCGACCGCTGCCAGTGCTCGGCAGCGTGACATTTCTAGCCGCCGGGGTACAGAGATCCCTCCATTAGGGTTTTTATCTTTGATCTTATATACGAAAAGGCATACATATAACTTTTTTAAGAGTTTTTTAGCAAAAAAAGGAGCTAAAAATGTTAAGAATTTTCAAATAAGTCCATAAACTATAATTAAAATACAGTGTTTTTTCAATTTTATTTCAAAAACTGGTTCCAAACTTACTCTTAACTTTTAAAATAAACCTTAAAAACCCTTAGAATCCTAAAATTGCATCTAAATGTCTCTTTGTTTTACATATAAATTTAATGACCCGTTGAATAATATTAATTCTATTTTTAAATTCTATAGATTTTTAAAGTTTCTCTAAAATTTTCATTAGCTTAAATAATACTTCTGTTTTTTAGTCACAAGCTTTTTGAATAGTTTTGGTAATTGAATTATGCATGGAAAGCCTATAAAATAGACTTTTATTGAGGCGGGACTTTCCGAGACCATATCTTATAGACCTTAGAAAAGGTAGCATGGACACTATAAATAGAAGTTTATGATATCCAATCGACATGTGTAGCCAAAGCCGATTGGCAAGTCAATAAATCCAGAGATCGCAACGCAGGCTTATCGCCCAGTATCTGGGGGAGATCCGAAGGCATCGAAGCTCAACATGCTGGGCGGTGGACCGCTTGGTCATTAATCGCACCACCGTATCCCCACAGCTCCACAAATCAGCAGCCAAATCAACGCGCACAGCCCCCAAAAGCTAACAGTCTACCGTTAACAGAGCGGTGCTTTTCTCTCTGGCTCTGTTAGCCTGCCGGCTGTGGCTAACATTGGTGTGTATCCGGCAGATACTTTTCCGACCGTGAGTTCAGTCTATCTTTGGTGCTCACCGGTTTCGCGTGTGCTTAGCTCTTCAAGCCCCAAGACAGGCCAGAATCCAGAGTCCGACTCGGAAGAATCTCCACCGCTTGATAAACAAACAGTTAAAACAAACCGCTTGCCCCCGTGCCTCCGCTTGTGTGTGCGTGTGTATCTGTGTGTGTGTTTGTCTGCATTTTGTTTGCTGCTCCACGGTTCGCCCTCATTGTGCTCTCGTGCAAATGAAAATCTCATTGAGCAGAAAGTCGCAGCGGCAGCGGAAAGTGGAAAATCCTAAAGCGGCACCAGCCACAGCAAAATAAAAAAAAAATTATATTAACCAAAAAGAAAGAAAATCTTGGCTAGTGAAATTTTCTGTTGAGAACTAGAAACGGCAATAAAACCCAAATACAGTTAATCTGAAACGAATCCATCGCTGGAATCTAGCCAAAAGTAAATGTTTATTTGATTATACAGATACATTTTGAAATTATTGAGAATTATTTGGAAAAGATGTAGATTTAAACACGAATTTTTCATAGAATAATATATTAATATATAGTCTTAGTCATGGTTTATTTCTAATGTTATATAATAAAGCTACTATACAAAATATATTGAGTGATAACTTTATTTTTATTTGGTTTTAAGTTGTAAGACAAAACTTTCATCTCAGTCAATAACACGAAAATAGTTCTAGTCTTCTATTTCATTTTTTTTTTTTTTTTGTCTTGGCTTTCAAGTCTGCCCAGTTGAGTGGCCACTGGCCAGTCGATCGGGTCGATTGGCTTCCAGGAGAAGCATGCTTGGCGGCAGCAGCCACCTGTCCAGTTCTCAACCCACTATCAGACTCTCAGAGCCTGTCCTGGCACTGGGTCTCATCCCCATTCCATTACCAGGTACCTGGCAGCCACTTCCAGCCGCAGACATTGCGGCACAGAAGCCGAAACCGCCGCCAGATACTTGCAACCAACAGCCGCCACAACTGTGCGTGTTGAGCTATGGAATTTTATGCAGTGGTTGGCTGGCTCGTTTACGTTTTCATTTTATCTGCGCGAGTATATCTCCTATTTTACAACTTCATATATGAAACTTTTTATTGGCAGCGAAGGGTGGTCGTCGTCGCTGTTCGGTTGCCGCTTCTGGGTACGCACTCAGCCAAACGTAACGAAAACGCAACTGCGCTTCACGCTTCCACTCCCCAAGTGGATGGTTGGGGTGGCTTCGGCCCAGGGGATCCACTAGAACATAGGCAGCGGGACGCGCTTGAATTCCGATTATCATTCGACCAGTCGGAGATCTCGTGTTCTGGCCAACAAATCAAACACAAAAGTTATCTTGTCTTCATAGAAGTTGGCCAATATTAAAACTCAGCAATTCCAAAACAATTAAATAAAGTTGGGAATAAGCTCCACTAATTGCTCACTGTCTGGACGTGAAACTGCCAACTTTTGGCCAACAAACTATCGGCTTAAAGGCCAGTAGGGCACTGATTAGTGCCTGGTTTAAAACAAACTTTTTTAATTAAATCCCAAACAAGTCAAACTTTTTGCTAAATGAGAATCCTTTGTCCGAGCTTTGCTGCAGTTGAACATTGGAATGTAATTCAGTTTAATTGACTTTTTATCAATCGCAGACTCACTCTTCCGCTGCCCACAGAATTTTTATTATTGGATGCAATTGGTGTCTTTTTTTTTTAACACTCCCGGGATGTGTGTCGACAGCTGTAATTTCTTTTATGTTGTGTCTGGCGGTGAAGCGTTTTGTAACCTGGTTTTATTTGCAGTCATAACATTTTGCTGCCATTTGTGTCTAATCACTGCACCAAGCCGAGCCAGCAAAAAAAAAAAGCATAAAAAAGAAAACAAACACGCCACCAGATACCGATACAAGATACATTGGGTATTGGACCCAAGAAGCTTGATTCTGACATGTTTACATATTTTGCTTTTTTTCGCGATTTTATCTTTTCTTCTGAATCGATATTTGTAGTAGTACAGGGTGCCTGAAAGCATATCAATGTTGCAGTGGCACAGCACAGCTACTACAGATACAGATACTTCTACGTAGTCAGATATAGTTAGTATCTGGAATGTATCTTCAAGTCATTACACACGTTACTGCGGGCCTCGGGGCATAATTTGTGTAGACTGTTGAGTCTTTTAGTTTCATTGTTAGGCATGACTCTGCAGAGGGCAGAAAATCAATTTCGAGATACTGCGTTTTGTGTTTATTTATTTACCGCCGAGCTCAGCTGGCAGATTGAAGATTAGCGCTTTGTCTACCCGGTGGAAGGTCGCTCGACAAGAAATCTCTTAGCCAGAATAGATCACGAGATGAACTTGAACCACACAAATGCCAAACGACCATAAATTTAATCCGAAACTAAACATTAAACCGCTCAACATTTGCAAACATCCTGGGCCAGCTAAATATAAACAAAAAAAAAAAACAGAATAACAAACCAATTTCAAGGAAAAAAAAAATATCACGGACCGCAAACGTAACTTCTCAAATGTTTCTATCTGATGATTTCGTCAAAAAGATTAATAAGCAATTTTGGTTGTGTTCTTCTCGGGTTTTGGTGTTTTTTTTTTCCAGGCAGACAACTACGTGTCTGGCATAAATGCTATCTCGAGAAACACCGAATTATATCTTTTCAAAAATTAAACGTAACGGAAGGCCCGTATGTGTAGCAGCCGAAGACAAAGATATCTTGTTTCTGGTAAAGGCTTTTGAATCAATTGCCAGTCACATACGGGGATACTGGGAGTGTTCAATTGAATGAACTGCATTTCGGTCAATTCAAATGATTTATGGCTAATACATTTAAATGATGATAAATGATTGTGTGAATTTAATAAAGCAACTAAAAGCTTGAAAGTGATTTTAAAAATGATTTACCCATTCTATCGACAAACCGGAAACATAAATAAATCCAATAATTCTGATTAGATTTATTTTGAGAACTAAAAATCATTAATTAAAATACATAATTTAATGCATTTTTAAATCATATAAAGTCGTATATATTTCTATTACTAATCAGAAAATCAAGCCAACTCGAATGCCCACAGACAGTTGTGATACACAAGGAAGAACTCTGGAATCATTGACCTCTAACCCAATGCCGACAGCTGGCAATGAAGAGGGCTGACATGGCGTATGTGTAATGTGATTGTAGCCATAAATGTATACAGTTATAAACACAATTATATAGCCCTATATATCAGTATGTGCAGATGTGTAGGGTATTGATAGAGGGAGGTCTTTGTGCCAATGTTTGCAGCTCTTTGCATCTTCCATAGATTCCCTAGAAATAGAAAAGGTTGCGTTGCTAAGCGTACAAATGCAGTGAAAGAAATTTTTTACAGAATATTATAGTGTTTTTAATTAAATATGCATATCTTCAATACTATCTCTCGCTGTGTAGCCGCATAGAACCATGTTTACTTGTGTGTTCTTTATGATTTTATGACTTTGGCACCGAAAACTGCCCGAGAACTCGAATACACCAGCATGCATCCATTTACAGTGCCGATCACCGTTATATAGTCTGTACAGTGCGAGGCAATCATAAATAAATATAAAACGAATCTCGCATGAGGGCGGAGACGAATGGGGAGCACCATTTGTTGTGCATTTGGCGTGCGATTCTCGTGATTTCTGATGGACTGGGACGCTACCCAGCCCCTCGTAGCTCCCCTCGGTTTCTATTGGTCGATTTATCAGTTTGCCTTTGTTATTTATAGACGATTCTATATTGACACGCAGTCAGACATAAATATGCAAGTACACATATTTGTTGATTACTCGCTGGCTCTGCTTTCCATGCAATTGAAAGTAATCCCCCATCCAGGCACCCTTTTTTTCTCGTGGGGGCTTGATTTTGAAATACATATCGATTTCTTTGGTGTCTGGACTTTCCCAATTCGTTTGTTGTTATTTGTTTATCGGTCTTTTGAATCAACATCCTTGATATAAACATCTGAGCAATTTCCCAGCAAACATCCACAGGAAATGGAAAGATAAGTTAACACAAAAATTAACAGATAAGCAATACATTTTTCCTAGAATATCTTAAAGTATCTTTCAGTTTTCATTTCGTGGGATTTGTGAAATACACTCTTAGTCACTACTTGACATGAGATGCCCCTAATTGCTAATTGCCTGACATCTTCATAGAGTTATATTTTAGTCACATTTTAACGTTTTCCCGGACACTTTGTAAAATCTCCCAAATATTTCCACATTACCTATAAATACATCTGCGTCCGCCTTTGCAAAATGTCGGTCAATAAGATGGACTCAATGAGAAAATGGGATCTATTTATAAACTACAAAACTTTTATTCCACTTGCGACCATCACTCACCTCATACCTCATACCTAGCCGAGCTGTTTCTCAGAGTTTATGACGCAATTTCGCTTAGAGCCAGAAGAACGACAAAAACATTGCGTAAACAATAAATTAGCCAGCAAATACGATGTTTGGAAAAACAGTTTAGTCCATTGTACTTGGCCGTTTTTGATTTTTGTTTTTCTTTGAGCTTTGAAAACCGTGTCAAGTAGGCCGCCGGAGTAAAGTTTACCGAAGGTTAGAATACTGGGAAGTCGCAGGCGAAGTCCGTAAACATTTGCCAAAGGTATAGTAATTTATGCAGGAAAACTTTTTGCCATGTATCATTTTTCCATGACAATACGGTTTTTGGCAATTGCCCAGTAAGCAGTCCGAATTCGAGATGGCCATCTCTGGGCTCCAAGTCGCCCTCTTTCGGGGTCAACAACCTCGGATTTGGCCGGTTGTCTACTTGGCTGCCTACCTAATAGCCTGGCTACTTGACTCTTGTGGATATCGTAGGTGTTTTCACTTGTTATTATTTATCCATAAGGTTGCCCCTCAAAGCAATTTATTTGGTCATTTTTCGGTCTGTCCGGCTCTGTAACCTCATTTCATATTTGGCACATCAAACAGCAAAAAAAAAATCAGAAAACCTGAAAAGGGGCTGACCAAAATGAATAAACAATAAGCCAAATTAACTTTTGAATATTACAAGCATAACGGCGAAATCCAACAAATGAGAAATATTTCTGTTTACCTTCTCCCCGAAAAAATGAGTCACCTACCTTCCAAATAAAACGATTGCTCAAATGGGAATGTTCTCACAAATTGGATAGGCTTTTCCCCCAGTTTAATAATTTGCGTTACTGCTTTAATTAGATTGTGGATATTTTCAACAGATTTCACTATAATTAAACTTTTGTTTGAGCCACGAATTTATTGACGGTGCAGAACGTGTTTTGTCTTAATTGAAATTGAAATTAAATAACAAAGAATAGCAACAGAGACTATAGGACATATTTAAACCTACTTTTAGCCAATTTATTGAAGCTAATCCTTCTAAAACTTCTAACATCAAAAGACTTTAGCGCAAAGCTGCTTAAAATTGGGTAACAATAAATTCTTGACAAATTAGCAAACGATCAATGTCCAACAAACTCCTCAGAGGGATCAAGTGACGGGCGCGTGTTAAAAAAAAAGAAGATGAAATCAAATCTCGTCAATCAATCAGGTGCTAGGTGCCAAGATCCAATACAAAAAAAAAATACAAAATATATACATTAATTAGATGGTCTGTTGGAAATTCATGTGCATTTTGCATGAATCAGTGGCGGCAGCTGGTTATCAGGATTGTTTACGTAACGCCCCGGCTTATTTAAATGAGGCAGTAACTCAAAAAACGATTTATTATAGCCCGGAGTCGATGTTTTGTCTGGCTGATAAGCCGACTATTGAATAACGTGATTAATAAACAATATATTTACAATATAAATTAATACGAGTATAGCCAAGCTGATATCAGATAATGGTCCGGACTCCAAGTCCGGCTCGTCTTTTATATCAATGAATTCCAGGCCTAAGACAGTTTCTATTGAAAATTTTCCACAACTGGTTTCCAGTTGTTTCTGATTAACAATTTTCTCTATTCTGTTTTTTTTTTTTGTATTTTGGGCCTGTTTCTGGGGATTTCACGGCCCGCGAATCATAAACCATTTGCATAAACAAACGTTTGGACTTTTGTGGGTTTCAGCTCGTAGGCTTTTTACCATAAAAGCGTCACATTTCACTTTTTCCTCCCAAGCATGTGAAAATTTTCGGTTTGAATGAAATCTTCAGAAATGGTCAATAGACAGATTCAGAGATATTCGGTTATACCAATGTATATGGGTTAATGCCATGCTTAGTCTGGGTCCGACTCTTGATGAACTTGATTTTTCGGTTTCGGATTCGGGCCTCTCTTATCATATTTATTCTTCGACATCTATTTCTTTCTTTCTAGAAATAAATGTAAATTTGGATGAATTTCTGTAACCAAAAAGAAATCGAAATCTCCGCTGTAGGGTGTGAGCCATTAGCCCAGATCTAGAATACATCTCGATATCTACATAAAATTCACATAAAAATGTGAAAATTATGAGAAAACTTGTTTTGAAAAGCTTGCCAAGAAGTTTTTCATCTCTCTTGGCAATCGTTCAGAAAACCATTTTAATTTGATCCATTTTAAGTGATTGGCCAAAGTGTTTTATGGACCCGCAGACCATATATGCGTGAATAAAATCATAATATAGATGTATAATTAATCTATAATTACCTTGGAATTAGCATGAACACCCTGCACTCAGAAATCCATTTGGCGCCTGGCCAAAAGCGATGCTTCCATATTCGGGCACCCCAATCGTCAGGGTCGTAAAATGTCTCTGCGGCAATTGCGACACATTCGATTTGCATTTATCCGAAAATATATGTGTATTCCCAGACTCCCTCGGTGGGGCTGGAGGGGAGTAGGCCGGATCTTTAAAATTCAATTTGTGGCCCTGCCGAAGGTGAACAAATTGAGGGACCTTTGTTTCGAACTCGATCTGATTCTGGCTTTGATTTTATCTCTTTATTTTACGGCTCATCAAATTTACGTTTATTAATTGAACTTTTGTTACACACACACTCAAATCTGATTAGCCGCATCTAATGGATAAATGATTTTTGGTTTCTTTTTCTCCTCCTCTCCAAATCGAGTTCAATGAATCAATTTGACATGTATGGAGTCGGGGAATGGGAAGTCGGGCTAGATGGGTTGGGTGGTTTTTCCGATGTAACTTGATGGAATATCAATTCTACTCTAGACATTGCTCAAATATTTATCGTTGACATTTGAGTTCTTTGTGGAAAGGGCAGTTGAGAGCAATTTACATTTTTAATTCGAAACGGTACAGAGAATCCAACGATACCTTTGGCTACGAAAGCCATTAAAATTTCATGAAACTATTCCGAAAATTGCATTCGGTTACAGGGCGATATGTCTAATGGTGCTTTTTGACCAGTGGCTCTAATTTTCTAACTGGCTTACAAGAACACATACTATATAGCTAGAATAACCCTCCCATATGTGAATCAAATTATATATACTCCGGAAGTTTCTGCAACACTGACTTGAAGGGGCGTAGGCTGGGAAAGGGGAGCGGTGTTGGGCTTTTGTTGATACAATTTGACTCGCAGTTACCTTGCCAGCTGTTGCACATGCAACATGTTGCATGTTGTTACCGCATTGCCGTTGGCATTTCAACACAATATTTATGCAAAATCGCAACTTAAGATGTGGCAAGAAATAATAATAAAGGTATACCATAATAATTTTCCTTTATGTTAGGAGCACCCACCTTAATCTACGGTCAAATAGTTTTTGCTCTCGTTTTTCTTGTTGTTTTGTTGTCTTTGGGAAAATCTGTGGAAATTCCTTAGATAGCTTTCTCGGTAGTAGACATAATTTATTAGATCCCACAATTACCGTTGCCTTTTACAAACAATATCCATGGCAAAGAGTTGAGAAATTTTTTTTTGAAATTGTTTTGTCTTTATGAAGATTACCCTATCTACGGGTATTTGGAAAATTTGAAAGTTTCTTGAAATTGTGTAGCTTAAAAAGAGTATTAAGAACGTATATTTGATCCCCAACTTCAGAAGAATACTTTTCTTAAATGGTATCATGTCGCCAGCCCATCAGCTTGCCCCGAGGAGTGTCTTCCACACCGTGGCAGTAGTAGGCCAAACGGATCCACACAATTAACTTCGTTTAGGGTAATTTCCGGGCCAAAGCCCCCAGGAAGGGCATACTGGCTGGCTGGTTCGAGAGAAGAACATAACTCCCCAGATTCCCCCAGAGGCCAGATCATATGACGAGTGTGAAAGACCAAATAAATCTGCCCCTCGAGGAAGTCAAGAGAGCTGGCCGCTTGACATGCAAGTGACAAGTTAAACGCCGGTTTCATAATTGCTTATGGCTCTTAACTAAATCTGGTATCAGATTTCGCACGGGCTAGAAAATTCAGTTGTGTGAAAAATACGGGGCCAAGTATTGTTTGTTTTTTCTTTTTGTATTTTTAGCGGCGAATGCGGAAAACTCATGGTATGGTATATACGAGTTTGTTGCAGTTGTTGCTGGTTCGCTTGCCACATGGCCTGCAATTTCGAAATACTCCAAATATTCAGCAAACAAAAATAAAGAAAAAATAACGAAAACTATTTCAATTTCTATTTGGAGCAGCCCCAAACCCAGAACGAAAGTGAAACAAGTTTGTTAACTTTTTTTTGGGGGAAATTGGAAAATTCAAGGTTCAGATTGGTATGTTTGCACAGGAGATTGTTTTTTCAGGAGGCGGAAAATAGAGGGGGGTCCTGTGTTTCTGGAGCAAGGATACAAATGTGCGTTGGCTGAGAAGTCAGCAGGGGGGTAGACAGGTGTTAACGGGCTTTTCGCGGTGCCAGGTACAAGGGGTCCCTGTTGCCATTGACATTTGGGCTGGGGCTAACCTTTGTTTTTCCTACTTCGGTTTTGTTTTGGAACAGAAAATGCCAAAAAAATGTCACTCGAATTGGATACGTTTATAAATAATATTTCCATATCGATATATCAATGAAAGTGTCAAGAAAATAAATAAAAGTGTAAAAAGTTAAGGGTCACAACATGTTTCAAGAGAGATAGAAAAATAAAGGATTTATTTTCCTAATATTTTCATTAGGGCTTCTTAAATATTTAATACTTTAATATTCTCGCACATTGACAGGCTTACGTGTCCAATTACAATCAACTATCTGACTGTTTTAATTACATAGTGTGCATCATATATTAGATACCGAATACATAACTCAAATCAGATTCCTCGCTGGTAAACGCGTCCAAAGCTAAATGTCAGAAATCAGAGTGCTACGTCTATATACATTTCACATTAATTTAATTAACTGTTAAAGGCACAAATGTATGTATATATCTATATAAATATATAGAACATACATGGTACGAGGGAGCGGAGATATATCAGCAGTGATAGGACTAAGCAGAGTGACACGTGAGCAATTATTCCTGTTCAGTGTTTAGCTTGCATGTCGTCGTAATTCCTGGACATAGATAGAAATACACAAACGAATAAATGAGTAGGTATCCACATAATGGAATGTATGAATCAGCCGCAGGGCCTGCAGAGAAACGAGACTCCGTTCAGGGGTGAGTCACGGATGTGGGATTTGAAAATGCCTCTGGGCCCAGAAACGGGTCTTGGGATCTTGGACAGATGAAGCTGGGCCTAACTTTGAACGGCCGAAATGGGTGTGACGCACTTTTGGAAAGTTCAGCCTTGACAGTTGGCACTTGATGGCTGGCGCGCACTTGATGGCGATTAGTTTTAATTTAATTACACGGCAACCAATACCAACCACTTTGCCAGCGAATTAATTTCCCAACTGTTTTCCTCAATTGCAGACCTCGCCAATTAATTGACGAATTAAAGATCAATCAACGTACATAGCTTGTACCGCTAAATCAAACGGAAAAGATGCAGTGCGGCCTGGAGCAGATGAACGACTGTGAGCGGTCCCCCAACCGGACGAACCTCCGGGTCAACTTCAACGAGAAGGGAGCAGAGGTCAAGGAGCGGCGGGAGAAGTTCCTCACAGCCAAGTATGGATCACACCAGATGAGCCTGATCCGCAAACGGTTGGCCGTCGAAATGTGGCTGTACGACGAGCTCCAAAAGCTCTTTGATCCACCAGTAAGTATTTTTCTAAAATATTTACAAATTTTTTATTAAATGCAAAATAAATTCACAGAGCGAGGCCATCGATGTGGACATTGACGAGATTCTGGACATGGACACAGACGAAATCAGAAGATCTCATCTTATTGTGAGTACCCATTCTACTTAAGATTAAAAATCCTTTAAACTAATCATTTAATTCGATTCTTGCAGAGATTACTGTCAGTCTGCAAACGCCCGCAATCGGACATATCGAAGTTCATCAGCGATCTTTTGGATCGCGCAAAAACGCTTTAAGTACCCATCCCTCATATAAGGAATCATCAACAGATCTACACATAATATTCAGATAAACAAATAATACCTAGAGCATTAAGTATAGCTTTGAACACAAAGAACAAAGAATTCTGTTTGCAAATCTATGTTTATATCCATTCAAAAATCATGTTTATTTTTTTTCCTGTTCTTTAGTTGATAATTGAAATCTTTATACTGACTAATTTGAAGTTTAACCGAATTTAAGTCACCTTTGAAAATGATAAACATCATAAAAATCGTTAGCCCTAAGCTTATGGTATAATATCGAGAAACATAATACTTCATCAATTTTGTGATGAAAACATATTTTTTAAATAAAACACAAAAACATTTGAAATGGCCTAAACGCAAATTATAAGGTGCATTTCAATTGAAAACCATCGTAAGGGAAAAGCCCGTGTAGTTAAAGTAAAATAATGATTAGCTCCATTTTTGATAAGGGGGCCTAAACTCCTCCTGGAACACTCTGGTTGTTTTAAAAAACAAAAAAATTCTAGTTTATTTGAATGTGTGTGCTTCATTTAATCACCCGCAGGTATTAATCCCCGAATAAACATTTATGTTTTGGGTGAATATTAAAAAAAATTTGTAAGTAAAGTGTGCGATCACCGAGACAAAGATGAAAGCTCAGGTTCACTGCCAAATCGTGGAGGAGGAAGAACTTGTATGCGCAGTTAGCAAGTACAAACCGAAATGGAGAACAGAATGCACAGACAAGAAAGGAATTTTAACAATACACCTAAAAAATAATCAAATTAAATCAATATGGTAGCAAAGAAATCACTTCTCGAATCAATTTCAATAGCTGTAAATAAAAATGTTGAAATACAAATCCCAAAAATTTGTAAATATCCTTGAAAAAGCAGCAACACTTCTTCACTCCACGGCCTCTACACATCCTTGTAGTAGTATCTAACCATTTTCTATCAATCAAAAATTAACGTTAAAGTATTTTAATTGTGCTCAATGTATCCGGGAGAGAAACGAATCAGTTTTAGCATATTTAATATCACTACTTCTCTCTATCAGATCTACAAATTATTAGAAACTTCTTAAAAATGATACTTGCATGCTAGTGAAAAGAAATTAATCATCGCATATTTCCATTACCCCAAATAAACGCATAAAGCTATTATTTAAGCAAGTTAGCACTAAAGTATTTAAGCCTAATCATGCACAAATTTTCATTTAAAAATTAATCACTCAAGCACACACATAAACCCGCTAAACGATACACAGAGAGCTGTAACGAAAAGCTAATATAGTAATTATAAAACGCAAAAGAGAAGTTTACAATAAATATTTGATTGCTTTAGACAAGATTGAATTTTAGCATTTCTTTTTATAATTAGGGGTTTTCTATATGGCTATATTTTCCACAATTCTCATCCGATTCTCAAGCGAAGTACCTTAAACGATTTGTGGGTCGATTCTCCACCATTCTGCATCAAAATCCTGAGACAAAATATTTTTTAGATTTTTTGTCCATTTTTCCTGATGGATCCCCTGAAAATGGGATTTTCCCCTATAGGGCCCACAGCGATGGCTATATCTTTCCCAATTCTTATCCGATTCTTAAGCGGAGTACCTTAAACGATTTCTGGCTTGATTCTCCACCATTTTGCATCAAAATCCTGAGACAAAATATTTTTGAGATTTTTTGTCCATTTTTCCTGATGGATCCGCTGAAAATGGGATTTTCCCCTATAGGACCCACAGCGATGGCTATATCTTCCCCAATTTCTATCCGATTCTCAAGCGGAGTTCCTTAAACGATTTCTGGATTGATTCTCCACCATTCTGCATCAAAATCCTGAGACAAAATATTTTTTAGATTTTTTGTCCATTTTTCCTGATGGATCCCCTGAAAATGGGATTTTCCCCTATAGGACCCACAGCGATGGCTATATCTTCCCCAATTCTTATCCGATTCCCACGCGGAGTGCCTTAAACGATTTCTGGATTGATTCTCCACCATTCTGCATCAAAATCCTGAGACGAAATATTTTTTAGATTTTTTGTCCATTTTTCCTGATGGATCCCCTGAAAATGGGATTTTCCCCTATAGGACCCACAGCGATGGCTATATATTTCCCAATTCTTATCCGATTCTCAAGCCGAGTACCTTAAACGATTTCTGGATCGATTCTCCGTCATTCTGCATTAAAATCCTGAGACGAAATATTTTTTAGATTTTTTGTCCATTTTTCCTGATGGATCCCCTGAAAATGGGATTTTCCCCTATAGGACCCACAGCGATGGCTATATATTTCCCAATTCTTATCCGATTCTCAAGCCGAGTACCTTAAACGATTTCTGGATCGATTCTCCGTCATTCTGCATTAAAATCCTGAGACGAAATATTTTTTAGATTTTTTGTCCATGTTTCCTGATGGATCCCCTGAAAATGGGATTTTCCCCTATAGGGCCCACAGCGATGGCTATTTCTTCCCCAATTCTTATCCGATTCTCAAGCGGAGTACCTTAAACGATTTCTGGATCGATTGTCCTCCATTCTGTATCAAAATCCTGAGACAAAATATTTTTTAGATTTTTTGTCCATTTTTTGTGATGGATCCCCTGAAAATGGGATTTTCCCCTATAGGGCCCACAGCGATGGCTATATCTTCCCCAATACTTATCCGATTCTCAAGCGGAGTACCTTAAACGATTTCTGGATTGATTCTCCACCATTCTACATCAAAATCCTGAGACAAAATATTTTTTAGACTTTTTGTCCATTATTTGATACGGATCCCTTTAAAATGGGGTTTTCGTTACCTACGTGAACGGTCTTGCGAGTAAAATCAAAAACAGCTGTTTGCCGGCATGTACTTTGGCCACACTAATGTGATAATATAAACAGTTGGGAAACCACAATTTGTTGATAATCTTAGCAATGGAGGATTATTACACCTGGACATATCCCGACGTTCCTGGAAATGTCGCGTAAGAGAAAGGTTTACTCCATTGATTATGATTTTAATTATTTTACCAGCCAGGAACTGCTGCAGCTGGAGAAGTCAATTGTGGTGGTTGGAATCGTCGGCCGGTCTAAATGCGAGAGGGCAAATAAAATGCAAGCATTTGGAATGAGCCCGCCAGCGAGTCATACACCGGCTGACGGTCAGGTTCAATGCTACTACAAACGGGGCACCTCCTGCCTCTTTCTCCACTTCGAAACCACTTACGACGAGGTGATCCTGCACCGGATGATAGAGGATTCGATTGCGGACTCACAGAACTCTTTTGATTTTGACCAGTTCTATGAGCGAATGCGTAGCCGGTTTGTACGCATGATGCTGCTGGCCTTGCACACTTGCCACATTGTGGTCTATGTGGAAACCGGACCAACATTCGATCCAGCTCTGGTGACGGTGTTCCAGCTTCTGAAATTCGCCAGAGAGCAGCATTTGAAGCAGTTCCTTCCGCAGATGCTACGAGATAGTCCCGCCGCAAAGATTGGGGAGAAGTCTCGTTTGTGTACTCCTAGAATACTGTTCCTGTTTGAGAACTTTCCCTCTGACGAATCAAAAACACGGGAGAATGTCTCGGCGCATGAATTTCAAACTGAGGACAACATTTACGAACTGCTACGTCACCATCACATTTTTACCAACAGTAGCACCAGTTCGTTGGTTGCGTTGCCCAACAACAAACAGTTTGTCTTCTTCAACGCCCACGAAGAGCTTCATCCGGACTATCTACTTAAAGCTATCGACTGCCTAAATAAGACAATGTTCAAGCCAGATATGAGGGAGGAGGAGGAGGACCAAGAGATCCTTGAGCTGGCGCCTTTTGAAGGCTTTTGCAAGCCCTTTGGCCCACCGGGAGAACGAGATGCGGAGGAAAAGCAGTACAAGCGCCAGCACACAGCCTGGAACTTTCTGCAGCGCCACATCCAGGATGCTCTGCAGGGCTGCTTCGATGAGGGATCTTTTAAGCAGTTGCCCCATCTGGGTCAGTTTCTACTGCTTAGCTTTCCAGAGTGGCAGGGATGCATGGACACGCTGACCAAACTGCTGGTGGAGAATGCAAAGGACCCCAGTTTTCAGACAAGCAATGAGGAATATGTAGGTGTTCCGAATATTTGAAAATCCATTTAATTTGTTTTATGTATTTCACAGAGAAACTTTCTAGAAAACTTCGAAGATAGCTTAAACTACGAAAAAAAGTGAGTGGATGGGTATAAATCGAAGAAACATAAAGAAACCTTTTCGTTTACAGATTCTGGGCCCATTTGTGCGAGCTGGGATTAAAAAAGGGCATTTCTACGTACAAGAATTCGGCTCCTGCTAACTATGGTAGTGCCACTCACCACAAGCTTATGGCGGAGGCCACTATTGCCTTCGAAGAGGAGGGTCGCGGGCCGACGGCAGAGGCGGGGCTGGCCAAGATGGCAGCTATTTGCCAAAAGCACTGGCAGGACGGTCGCCAGCAATGTGAAAAGTTAAGCCTACGCTCTCAGCCGTGTACGTTGCCCAAAGATGTGCCCCACGACAAGCACAATAGCGGAGTGATCCACATCTCTAGCTGCAATTGCGGAAGGACGCAGGGTAGACGAGATGACCCGTTTAACCTACGACAGGCCAACTATGATTTCTACGAGCATGTTGCCCAGATCTGTAATCTTTGTGTGAAGGTGAAACAGTACCAGTTTCCCATATTCGAACCTTCTGTGAGTGATTACCGAGCGGCGGCATTTGATGCTGCGTTTCCCATGCTCAACACTGGTAAGATCAGCACACCACTGGGCGAGGAAGAGATCGAAGATGTGGAGGATGATGAGGATACTGAGGAGAAGGATGTAGTAGAGGGAGATAATTGCTCGCAACAGCTTTCACCCACTTTTGGCTCCGACCTGAACATGTCCATTGCTGGTTTTGGGGCGTCGTTAAATGAGTCCCAAGAGAGTTCTGAGCCATTGTCCGGGTCCGAGCACGAAACCACCAGCACTGAGACGTCTAGTGAGGACACGGAAAACGAACTGATTCTCCAATTGAAAGAACCCGCCAGGAAAGAGTCTCCTCCAACTGGGGCCTATTCCACATCAACAACAGAGTACCTGCCCGGACTGGTGCACACCGTCAGCGACTTTGGCCTCTTGCCACTGTTCCCCAGCTGGTCTCTGGCATGCGTTGGTCCGAGCTCCATTTACAGCCACAACACCGGGTTGCAGGAACACTTCCAAAGCGGATTTTTGTCTGGAGCTAACTTTCTGCTGCCATGGGATGTCCTACTGAGACTGGTGCACGCAAACAAGCATCCCCAACAACATCACCACAACATGCACCATTCCGGCAAGAAGCAACAGCGCTGGAAGAAGCAAGGCGACCGATTATCCATCAAGATTTTCGTGGGCATGGAGTACGAGTGCTCGCGCGGTCACAGGTTCATGATGTGCGCCCCAGATCGCGTGCTTCGCGGTGGAGCAGACATCGAGAGAGACACCTGCAGCAAGGTGGTGCACAGCAACATGCCCCTGTACTATCCCTGCCCCTGTCGCTCTCAGAGCAACTACCTGGCTCAGCTAATGCGTATCCACGTCGTCACCCCCAAGGCGCCGGTTAACATAATCGTAGATCCAAAAGTATGTGTGGGCAAGTACACCTTCACGCTGGGCACCATCGTTCCGCCACGATTATCGCAGAGTGCCTACTGGATTCTGAGACTGCCATTCGTGTATCAGGGCGACAATGAACTGATAGAACCACCAGAAAAATTGGAACCCGACAATCCGATGGCTGGGGGATACCTGCTGCCAGGAATGTTTGGTGTGGCTGAGACCGATCCCAATATGGATCTGAGCAATCCCGGACGAACTGAATCATCAGGAGGTACCTTCCTAAGGATTTAGTTCCCACGTATCTATCTTTAAAATATTAAATTCAGAGCCCATCTGAAATAAAAGAAACTCACTTTTTTTTTTTTAATAACGATTAATGTAATCTCTTCAGGCGGTTGTGGGAATTACGCAATTGGAATTATAGAAACAAGTTGGTTTCCAATATGGGTTATAGGGGAATGTCCAACGGGGACCTAAAATGAGCAGTGTAATGTTGGATCTTAAGTCTAACAAAATGTAATACCTTTGAAAGATAGTAATTAATTAATGATTTCATGTTTTGGGTCGAGTGAGATTTGTGAGATGTGAGGCTCGAAATTGCAACTTCGATTCGGTTGCGGGGATACTCATTAAGTACCGACTTATCTTACACTTATCGCAATTAATTCTTATTTTTGTGAACTGGCTTAAACCTTCCGACGACCAGGTGTACACCTCCTGTACACCCCGATCTGTATAAAACGTTGTCTTATTAAATAATTGTGTAAACTTTAAGTAACTGAATTTCTGAGAAAATTGGAAAAATTCCGAATAACTGGTAAAAAAAATAAAATTATAGTAGCAACCAAGAGTAATACTTGAAGAATAGAAAGGCATGGCCAGCTAGCTACACTGTTCTTCGAAAGAAAAAACCTCTGAAGAACTGAGAATTTGAGATGCTCTGATGAAATATGGCAGAAACAGATGCTTAAATCTAGATGAGCTCTTCGGTGCAAACTTCCTCCTCGTTTAAAACATAATCGCCGCACACTTCCTCCTGACAGCCCACGTCCATGTCAGCAAAGTCGTCGTAGTAGATGTCCGAGTCCATGAGAATGGCTTCTTCCTGCACTCCGAGAAACGGTTCCAGGTCATCGCTCATGGGCTTTTCATCATCTAGCTCCTCCTCCACCTCCTCGTCCGCATCTTCCGCGGGGGTTTCTCTCTCATCGCCGTCATCCTCCGGCTCCTCTTCATCCTCGCCTGTGGAGTCAATGGCTGGTTGGGGTGGAGCGACTGGCTGCTGCTGATTGGGCTGCTGTGGTGGCTGCTGATTCATCTCCTGGAACACCGACTGGACACGCTGCATATAGGCCTCTTGCTCCTGTACGCCGGTCAAAAATCCACCTTCGGGTGGTTGTTGCTTCATGGTGTCCAGGAGGGCGGCATGCTGGGTGATTACATGGTGCGACAGAGCCGTAGCATCCGCGTGCAGCGATCCACAGACAATGCAAACCAACGTCTCATGTGGCTGCTGGGGTATGATTGGGATTTCTGGAGGAGCGGCTCTAGCAGCCGATGCCTGATGGGCCTGGATGTGCTTGTTGAGGTACGCCTGCTGGCTGTACGACTTTCCGCAGATGGGGCACGGGTATGGCTTCTCGCCGGCATGGATCTTCATGTGAACACTGAGACTAGAGGCCTGGGTGAAGCACTTGTCGCACAGCTTGCACTGAAAGGGTTTCTCGCCGGTATGGATGCGCATGTGAATGTTGAGGCTGCCGGACTGGGTGAAGGAACGATCGCACAAGGAGCAGGTAAAGGGCTTCTCGCCCAGGTGGTTCTTCATGTGCTGAACCAGCTCGGAGCTGGCGCGGAAGGCCTCGCGGCAAATGGCACACTGGTAGACTAGCTCCTGGGTGTGCATACGCATGTGCTCGTCCAGAAGCGCCTCAGCCTTGAACTCCCGCTCGCATTCCGGACAGACAAACGTCTCCGTCGGCTCGGCATGCGTCTTCTGGTGGAGCAGCAGTGAGCTATGGTTGACAAAGCCTTTGTCACACAACAGGCACTGGTGCGGCTTCTTAACCGTGTGGGAGCGCATGTGCACCATCAGGCTACTTGATTGGGTAAAGGCTTTCGGGCAGAGCTCGCACTTATAAGGCTTCTCGCCGCTGTGGATCCGAATGTGCGTGTTCAGGCTGCCGATGTGCGTAAAAGTTTTCTGGCAGATGGAGCACTGGAACGGTTTGTTGGTGATGTGGGAGCGCACGTGCTTGGACAGATCACCGGCGTTGGGGAAGCTGGCTTCGCAATGCGAGCACTGAAAGCACTTCTGGGCTGCGGGATCAGTGGCAGGATCGAGAACCGGGACATTGGCCTTGCTGCGTCGTCCTCGCCGTCGCTTGATAGGAGCAGAGGGTGCCAGGGTGAAACCTCCTCCCAGCGATTGTATGAGTGATTCCGGGACTCCAATCTGTGGAGTGTTCATATCAGGCTGCAGCAGGATTATGGAAGTGGATTCCCGCGGATCGGACGTTTGGAGGTAAACCTCGTTTGGGTTAGGCCCTTGAATTAGTCCTCTCATGGGCTGCACCCACTCCTGGCTCTGCTGGGTGTTTGAGTTGCTATTGGAGGTTGGCGTGGAACTGCTGGATGAGCTTGAGCTGCTGGAGCTGGAACTGGAGCTGCTGCTGTCATCGTCCGAAGAGTCATCTGAGGAGTCGCTGTCATCATCGCTGCTGTCGTTTTCATCCGAGGAAGAGCTACCATCTTCTGCTAGCTCGCACACAGGTTCGAATATCCAGCTGTAGTCCTCGTCCTCCTGGCCATCCGCCTCCGGCTCTTTTTCTACCTGAACCCCATTGGTACCCTCGTTCGGGTGAAAGGTATTCATGTGCTGGTAAAGTGCCAACGGGTGGACAAAGAACTCCGAACAGCACATGCAGTGAAAGGTAAGATCCGGAGGCTGTGGCTGTGGGGGATTAGGCGGTGGATTCGGCTGCTGCTGTTTCTGAAACTGCTGATGGTTCATAAACTGCTGCTGGGGCAGTTGCTGCTGCTGTTGTTGATGAAGGTGCTGCTGTGGTTGCTGAAGATGCTGCTGCTGGTGCTGGTGCTCCGGCTTGGATCCCAGGATCGGTGTGATCGTCAAGGGTAAGTGGTGGTAGCTCTGTGTCAGCTGCACGGCCATCTTGGCAAAAGGCTAAAAAAAAAAGTCAAATATATGTATGCGAGTATATAAGCATTTTCCTGTCTCTATAATAAGAAATTTATGGATGGGGAGAAAAATCAATGCAAGTACCTTAGGTGAGTGCGGTTAAAGGTTTTTGTATCTGTACGGGTATCCCCAGTGTTTTTAAGTATAAATTACGATTATATCACTGTTGTGTCATTCAGGTTGCGTGTTTTCGGGGCTCTTAAAATAACTCCATATTGTTCCAATAAATATTTTTTTGTTTTGTTTTGTTTTTCGGTTTGCAATTTGAATTTCGCTGTTTTTCTAATCTCGGTGTTGCATTCACATTTTTGGGTGAATGGAATGAGGCTATCCCCAGTCGGCGCTGTGAAAAGAATAGCGCATTGCCAAGTCGCAATTTTAATATAACGCGTAATTATAAGCGTCCTCTCAATGGTTACAACAAATAAAAGGAAAATGTTTTATGTTGGGCGCATTAGCGATGGTCAGACGGAGTTGGTATGAGAGCATACCGTCATGCAGGACTCATCGTGTGGCCAGCCCAAGCCGGGCGGTTAGTTGTTTAGTAATTTAAATTTTAGAATGTTTTTATTTCAAATAATTATCTAAATATTAATTTATATGAATGTTATAAAGTATTTTTTTCAATATTCAAAAGCATTTGTTTGGCTCTACTATTTTATGATGCTTGTTTCCGTATAACCAAATGTATCCATATTTTCAAATGAATGAGTATACAAAAATAATGCATCCTTTAATTATTATTGAAAATCTTCAATTTATTAATTTTTTTTATTTAAAATTCACACTTTTTAGTTAATTTAGGGGTTTTTTTTTTTAAATATTTCAAACAATGCCCGCTTGATAGCTTTTCTTCAGACACAACGATGTCCAAATGTTTTGTCATGAAACTTGGCCACACTACCACTCTCCCGGCATTTTGGTGAAACGCGTGAATTTTTATACTGCTGCTGGATTAATGTAAAAAAAAAGGATCCCTAAAACACAACCATGGCCGACAGCTCGTTCCCGATTAGCGGCCGCCCTAGCCTACTGCGCACCGCTGCTCTGAACAACTCGCTGGGACCACAGAACCTGTCGCACTCTTTTCTGCTCCAGGAGCAAACCCAGGCTTCTATTATGGAGGACACTGCTATGATTGAGGACACCATGGATGACGAGGATCGAGGCAGGAGTCGCACTGATGTGCTGTTCCCGCAGTTCTTTGACATGCTTCAGTCGCAAGGTGGTGGTCCTGAAGTCTTCGAGGTGCTCCAGGGATTGGCCCAGATCTGCCGTGGCGTTGTGGAAACACTGGAGCTGGAGATTGACCGTGGCGTAGGCGGGACTCAAGGAGCCCGTCAACGGGAGGCAACCGTCCGTTGGCTGCGTCAGGAGATTAACACCTGGCTGCTCTTACACGCCCTCTTCCACGACCGTGTTCTGGTGCAGAGCGATACTCGGGCCGACGACGAGATGCAGGATGGACCAACCCTGGGCGGAAGTGAGAAAGAGGTTATCCAGCAGCTGTACGCCATCAATGCCACACTGCGCGAGTACCAACTAGTGGTCGATTGGCTGGAGGCCTGCTACAAGCCAGATGAACAAGTAAACCTGCTGCATTGCCACGACCGAATGATGTCCTGGGAGAACACACTCTTCCAGCTGGACAACCTGCAAGGTGCTGCGTTTGGTCGGGGCCATGAAATTGTTTCTCGCTTGGATCCGGATGCTTCCGTTCGACAGAAGCGCCCGCTCCACGCGCTTGATGAAGAAGACAACCATCGACTCTCCCGCGCCATATTCTCGGCCATCCGGTCGGGACAAGTAGACGAAGGCCTAAAGCTTTGCAAGCACTACGGACAGACCTGGCGAGCAGCCATCCTGGAGGGCTGGCGATTGCACGAGGATCCCAACTTCGAACAGGGAAATCCCAAGGTGGACCAGAAGATGCCGATAGAGGGCAATCCTCGCAGGGATGTGTGGAAGCGGTGCGCTTGGTTGTTAGCCGACTCGAAGAACTACGACGAGTATTCTCGAGCCACTGCTGGAGTTTTCTCTGGCCATTTGGCCTCACTCAAGTCCCTTCTACACAACGACTGGCACGACTTGCTGTGGGCCTATCTCAAGGTCCAGATAGACATCCGTGTGGAATCGGAGATCCGTGGATGCTGCGTAAAGCGGTATCAGCCAATGCCCGACGAATACTGGAACGGCAAGATGACCATGGAACAGATCTTCGACGAGCTCAATGTGGCCAAGGATGCCTCTGTGAGGGACTATGCCCAGGGACAACTGGGCATCATACAGCGGCACCTAATTCTGGACACATGCGGTGAACTGCTGCAGCACATGGTGCGCTGGCTCGACAAGGACGCGGGACAGCTGTCACCTCACCAGCTACGTTTCATGGCCCACATCGTGATCTTTTTGCGCCAGATTGGACGCTTGGAGCACGAAAGTCCGGCGGAAAAGGTCATTGCGGCCTATGTGGAAGCATTAATACAGCGGGGAGATGCCCAACTGATTGCTTACTACACAGCTTCCCTCTCCAAAAACCTGCAAGTCCAACTGTATTCGCGCTTCTTGGAGAAGGTCGAGAAAAAGCAGAAGCGCGAGATGGCCCTGGAGGCTGCCTTGCAGGCCGGCCTAGATGTGGCCCAGATCACCCGGTTGACAGTTGAGAACATCCGCAACACTCCAGTGCCACTGGGAGAGTTGGGAGAGCCGCGAGCTGGCGAGGTATCCGCTGGTGATACGCGAAAGATTCATGCTCTAGAATGGCTATCCCATCTACCCGAGCAACGGGGTGAGCTGCTGTGGCAAGCCAATGCCATGATTCGAACATATTTGGGCTGCAGCAAGGTGGAGTGCGTGCGCCAAGCCTTCAAAATGGTACCCGGAGACGTGGTGCAGGTCCTCATCAATCAGTACGGCTCGATGAACAACCTGCCGCCTCGAGAGGAGTGCAGCTTGAAAGAGTACCTCTGCTACAAGGTGTATCTTGCGGGAATCGATAGCTTCCTGGAATGGAATAGCTTGTACCACAACAAGCCTCAAAAACCACAGCAGGAACACATCGCTTCTGGCCAAGACAACTTCACAGAGCGCATGGCCAACGAGCGTAGGGAGCAGGCCCATCGAAATAAGGTTACACGCTGGGAAACGCGTCTTAAAGAGCAGGCGAAGCGTAAGTAACAACAGTCGCCAGAAGAAATCAAAATAATGTACGTTTTTACCATTTTTTAGAAACCATGGAATCCCTTTTCAACGTACTCTTGTTCCCGGAAAAAGGATGGCTAGTGGATCCCTTCATTCCAAAGGAGCCAGAAAACGCCGTTCAGCTCAAGTGGGAATTCCGAACAATGCAGATGGAAAAGTTGCGTTCTCTCTGCTTGCCGGAGATCGCATTGTTCCTACACGATGTCATGTACAAATCTGGAGACTTTGCCGGCTGCGTTCGCCTGGCCGATGAGATTTCCAGCGAGAGCCGCCAGCTCTACAAAGTGTACACCAAACACAAACTCGCCGAACTGATGGCAAAGATCGCGGATGCGTCGCTAGAGCTGCTCAACTCAAAGTTGGATCCTTGGGGCTATCCCATCACTGCCTAGTAATCTTAATGCGTTGTGTTTTTTGCAATTACATTCTAATTTACACTTTTATTTGTGAAACTTTTACTTAAGTATCTAAAAGGGGCGGCGGATGACTTTATGGGGTTTTTACATTTATGTAGTTACGAGATTAGGAGTTGTTCTCTGCCGGCACAGAATTGTTCTCCTCGCATCCGTTGCTGTGCTTCAGAAGGTAGGCGGCCAGGAACTGAAGGGGATCAGCAGGGCGTTCGCGGGCAAGCGCTTGTAACCCATTCAGCAGAACAGGAGCCACGGTCTGGTCCAGGTACTGGCGAGTCAAGGTGCTAGTTTCACGACGCGGTTTCTTGGCGGCGGGCTCCGATTGGGCGGCTGGGGTGGACTGCGCAGTGCTGGCTCCTACGCTTGCCGCGTTCGAAGTGTTGTTGGCGGCGCTGTTCTGATCTTTGGCAGCCTCCGTAGATTGGGTCACAGGGGCAGCCGGCGAAATTGGGGCTTCGGTCTTAGCGTCCATGACTTATTTGTCCAAGAGCCGACTTTACGAATTATAATCTGTTTTTTCTTTGTGTTTCCCAACACTTAGATCTAAAAGCAATACCCCAGTAGGCCAAATGACGATAGTTAAACGAAACTATCGTACAATGCTCGTAAAGAGAATTACATATATAAACGCAATCTGAAAAGGGACTCGAAAAAGAGCGTTTAGTGATACTCACATATTTAATATATATATCAAAGCCCTCTTCGGCCCACTAAGACATTCGAAGTATTGATATATTTTTTATGGATTTTATTTCATTTATCTTAGTCTTTTTATTCCGAGCAGAAGTCTATGCGACAAAAATGTTATAGTTGTGTGTTTTTATCACTTGTACTTTTTTTTTACGTTAATTTTACTGATAATTAAATATATTCGTTAAACCAATATATTTCAAATTGTCACCACTAAGTTTTTAGTGTTGACAAGCCTTATGTCATTAAAATTTATTTTCGCCATTTCCTACACCAGAATCTAGGCATTGCCCAACACTTGCAGTCATATCAGACGAATAATTAGAAAATTTATCAATTAAAATATGACAGAACTTCTGATTGACCCCGATATTCGCGTATGGGTGTTTCTGCCCATCGTGCTTATCACGTTCCTTGTGGGCATTGTGCGCCACTACGTCTCCATTCTGATCTCCACACAGAAGAAGGCCGAAATCACCCAGATCCAGGACAGGTGAGTAAAGTCCGATATGGGAGCACCCGCATCTAACGAAGATCCATTTCTTTTGCAGCCAGGCGATGATTCGTGCGAGACTACTACGCGAAAACGGAAAGTACCTAAGTGCCCAGAGTTTTTCCATGCGGAAGAACTATTTTAACAACGAGGAGACGGGCTACTTCAAGACCCAGAAACGCGCACCCGTGGCCCAAAACTCCTCGGCTATGCTCACGGACATGGTGAAGGGTAACTTTATCAACGTTTTGCCGATGGTCATCATCGGCGGATGGATCAACTGGATGTTCTCAGGCTTCGTCACCACCAAGGTTCCATTCCCTCTGACACTGCGCTTCAAGCCAATGTTGCAGCGCGGCGTAGAGCTGGCCTCCCTGGACGCCGCATGGGTGTCCTCGGCCTCTTGGTATTTCCTGAATGTGTTCGGCTTGCGCTCCATCTATACCTTAGTCCTCGGCGAGAACAACCACGCCGATCAGACACAGGCCCAGGCTGATGCCATGACCGGTGCTGCAATGACGATGCCCCAAGACCCCAAAGCGGCCTTCAAGGCGGAGTGGGAGGCGCTGGAGATCACCGAGTATCACAGCGCTCTGAAGAATATCGATGCCGACATGCTAACCATTGCCACCGGCAATCCGGCCCCGGCTAAGAGCTCTTGATCAACTAGTCGCAAGTGTTCAGCATAATTAAGATATTTTAGCAAATTCCCCATTAACAAAACCAATTTTGTTTAGAGACCAAGTGGGTTATAATAAACGATGTGTGTATGTGACTTTAAGCACCAAAAAAAACACGATTTGGAGTAAAGTCCAAGTGGGCTTTAATCAAGCATTATTCAGTACGACTGCAAATTTAAGAGTTTGCCTCCACTTTGCATCCGAGGTTCTGTCAACTAATTGAAAGTAACAAAAAAATATTAACACTATGAAGCCAAATTAGTAGTAGGCCTCCTCGGTGGCCTCCGTTTGTGCAGGCGGCTCTTCTGGAGCGGCCTCCGACGGAGCTGAGGGTGGCGGCGAGGGCGCCTTCTGTGGAGCTAGTTCTGGCTCGCTGGGCATACTTGGTGCACTAGGAGCGCTTGCAGCGGGCTCTGGCTCGGACTTGGAAGGACCACCCTCACCGCGGGCCGTGTTCAGCGGAGAAGGTGGACGAGCAGAGGCTTGAACTTTGAACTGCTTCTCCGGTTTCTTAAGGTCTTTCGGCTTGCCCATAAGGCGGTACTCATTGGGTAGTTCTGCCTCCGTGTAAAGTTTGTCGGCGAAGTAGATGCGTCGAATCCGAATGTTGGCATGCAGTTGCAGCGAAACTGTCTCCAGGTAGTTTGACCCGTAAGCACGGCGCGTAAAGTCGGCCAGGTTGAACTGGATTTGATTCCAACCAGGGGACATTCCCATGGGCATTGCTGTGCAAAATGGTTTCACTGAAGTCTTGCTCTGAAAGTTGGACACTCGGAAACGACGCATAAAGCGCTGGTCGTCTTGTATCTGAGGGGTTGGTTCGGGGATTAGCCTGTAAAATATGGTGCTCCGGAACTAACCTTGACCTCGAAGCAGAAATACTTGTGCATATTCTTTATCAAGAGCACCAAAAAGGGGAGCTTTATGCCCAGCTGCTCCTTGCATTCACTGGGACAATGTATAAATGTTGTAGACACATTCGAGCCCATAATCTCCAGCACCAGGGACTTTATATCCTCATCGTAAATGCGTTTAATGTAGCCGTTTTTGGTCTGGTTGGCAGGTCATTAAAGTGGAAATTGGTATTACCTGAACATACTTACATAGGAGGACCAATTGTTCAACGGAGAGCTACCCACGCTGTAAAATACAGTGAGGAAACCCTTCTGGTAAGCTGAGCGAAACATTCTGCCAATACTTTTTTCTGTGTGTCTGTTTTAATCGTTTAGGCTACGTACAAGTTCCCAAGTGACTGAAGGAAAAGGGCAAACTTAAACTGAAACTTAAAAACTAATTGTAAAAGGGATTGTAAGTAACCCAGTGGGCACGATCTTGCTCTTTCTCTGTTTTGTGAGATGTGAACAAGGATTTGTATACGTCGCTGGCCTTCGGGTCCTTCGCCACACTGAAGTCGGTCTTGAGACGCTTTAATTCGGGATCTTGCATGGCGTTAACGGCTCCCAGACGCTTGGGGTTGGCTACTGCCTTTACCTTTGAGCTGGTCGATGGTTTCTCAGGGACAGACTTAGAAGTGGAGGCCACTACGGCCTCTGATGACTCCTCCGGCTTCTCGGTTTTGATTTCAGATTTTTGGGCCTCTTTCTTGTCTTTCTTGGAGGACTTTCGCTTGGCTGCTCGCATTTCCATCTTAACGCGCATTAGTTCAAGATCCTCATCGTTGCCATTGAGCACCACCACATCCTCGACACTATAGGGCTTTTGGCACAAGGGACACGTACTGGCCGAGTTTCCTTTGATTTGCTTCAGAGCGCGCTCGGACATCACACACCCGCAGCTCCAAAGGGCCACGAAACGGAACTTTCCGGACATCTCTAAGCCGATTAGCTTGCAGATATAGGGAGCATGACGTGTGTCCAGTAGCCCTTCTGTCTTGTCCTCCTCGGTGAAGGCGGGATTTGCAGTCAGCTGCAACTGCTTAATATCCTTCAAGCTCTTAATGTGCGCCGACGCCTCAGGCATCTTTTCCTTTTCCAGTAGGCGTTCGATGACGCTCTGTTTGGAGTATAGCCTGCCCATGCCGCACATGGCAATCGGTTCCTGCAGGCTTTGCTGGGTAAGAGAGCAATGACGCCACCGGAATTCTCGTTCAGCGTCTTTGTCTTTCTACAAGAGGCACAAGATTATGTTAGAATAATACACATTAGGACGGACTCTTACTCACCTGTTCGGGCTTCTGTTTCACGCGGACTAGCTCGTCGCGCCTAGGAATAGTTCCGCCATCGCATCCCATGTTTTAATCTTTTTTTGGAAAAGAGTAGTTTTGAAAGCAGTGGAACTATTTAAGTTTTTAGTTTTATTTTTGCTGGAGATAAACAAAAACCAGCTGAATGTTGGTAGCAAAATGTCTACAAAATCCACAGAGTCCACATGCTACATGGCAATGCCGCATAAGTGTTAAAAATGTGTTGGAAAATACTACAATATATGGTGCTCAACAATGAGTTTTAAAAACTTACCGCCAAATTCGTAAATATGAAATGAAAACTAAATTTCTAACTAATTATGTTATTTTCCAAAACAAAACTCGTAAATAAATATTTTTTTAAATATTTATTATAATTAAATATGATTCAAATTACTTGATGTTGAAAACAATGTTTGCGAACTGTAAATATTTAGTCTATTTTAATTCTAATTAATTTGTAAAAGTTTCTTTGTGACATTTTTATTTGAATATATACAGCCCTTTCCATATATCTGACACATAAATTCCGTTCCCAAGTGATTCGTTTTGGGGGAGCTGATAAATAAACGAAAAAGTTATCAGTTGGACATTTTTTTTATGGTTTGAGAGATAATTAAATAATCTAAGTAGTTTATAATCTAAGTAAGTAATGCTCTTAGTAATGTTTGGCCATGTGGACTCTGGGTCAATAAAAGGTGTATGGCTATACGCCAGATAGTTTTTTAGAAAATTGTGGTGGTGTTTGAGGTTAAGCCATGCAATTAATGTGTATTAATAATTAAGTGGTGTAACTTTGAAACCCGTAAGATAACATTTATACAGGTTTTTTGCATTGCATTATTGATTTTACTGTAATATAAAAAGTGGGTTTCTCTCAAAAACCATAGCTTTTTTCATTCAATTTTTGAATGCCTATTTTTAGGTCTACTTAAATAATGAACTACTAATAACAAATTCTACTGTTAAATATTTAATTATTAAATATTAAAAAAATACTCTGTTTATTTGATGTGCAATGAAGCTGATTGTATTCAGTTTTATTGGCATTGGGATATGAAAACCAAACATTCGCTTCGAAATTCGCCTTTCAAATAAAGGTTTCACTTTGTTTATTATCAAATGCTAAAAAAATCCTAAGTAAATAGTCGATGTATGAGAAAAGAACACAAGTTATTTGTAATGTTTATTTTGAAATAGATTTTTTCATTAACTATATACATTTTTTAAATATAAGATTATTTAAAAATATATATAAATATAAGTATAATTTGTATGTTTCATTATTTTGTATTATATTACTAATATAATCGTGTTTTCAATCTTAAAAACCACTGTGCGTTGGTTTATGTTCAAGATAAAAAATTGTTTAAAATAATATTTGCACAGAATTGTTTGCTTTAATATTATATCTGTGGGTATAAAAGCCCACCCCATTTCCAAGGAGAATCATTTTAAAAAGAATCATGGCGAGTCGTGTTCTTCTGGTTTGCGGGCTTTTAGCTCTCTTTGTTGGGTTGAAGGCACAACAATGTCCGTCTCAGTTCACTCGTGTGGGGAAAAAATGCTATTACGTATCTTTGACTAAGGTAAGACCAGTTCAATTATAATAATAGAAAACCGTATAAAAATAAACTAATTTAATCCCGTGTAGGCCAATTGGCATGTGGCTGAACGAGGCTGTCGGAAGCTCGGGGCTGAGCTAGTGGTCTTCGATAACGAGCATGACTTACTTCTTACAACCGAATATCTCAAGAATTTGGGACTTCAGTTCACCGATGAGTGGCGCCATTCCGTGTGGGTGGGAATCAATTGTCTGGGAATCCGTCGAAACTTCCGATCAGCCAAGACTGGAGACGTTGTAGGGTACATGCCTTGGGTGCCCAGAGAGCCAAATAACGCATCCCCTGAAGAGGATTGCGTGGGTTTCGCCAACTATAATAATGCCTATGGGTATCATGATATTGAGTGCAAAGTGGAGTTCCCTTATGTGTGCGAGATTCCTGAAATTAATATTCAAGAAGACTATCTTTGCCTTAAGCGTGAGCTTTTTTTGGAGGCACGTCTTTAAGATCACCCAAGCTTCATGTATTAAAAAATGATTGATTTAATGGATGAAAGCGAGTCTAACTTAAATATGCTAAATAAACTGATTTTTGATTATTACAGTTGATTACCTCATCGTATATATTTACATTGAAACATGATTTTAAAATGATTTGATTTGATTCCAGGAAAATTGATAAGCTTATAAACTGATTAGACTTTCTGTATATTTTTGCTTATCAACCCATTAAATAAAATCTATAAAATCGAGAACATTTTGAAATGAAAAGCCATTCATAAGGAGAACATGGTGAGATCAGTGCTCTTTGCTTGCTGTTTTTTAGCCCTTGGATGGGGCTTGGCGGCCCGGAGATGTCCACCCAACTTTAATCTAGTTGGACACAAGTGTCTGTATATTTCCCCAGAAAAGGTAATAAGTAAATTCTTGATTTAATGTAGATCTTTGTGATTAAAGTTAAACTTGAATTTTTACAGGCCGATTGGTTTACCGCGGATCGCTTTTGTGGCAGTCTAGGGGCCGAAATCTATGTGGCTGACGATTCTGATGATAAAATGCTCCTTACCGAATATCTATCCACACACGATCTGATAGCCGAAAGATATTGGGACTCTATGTGGGCAGGAATTAACTGCTTGGGTAACAATCGCAATTTTGTAAGGGCAAGGGATGGTAGTGCTGTGTTTTTGGATTGGATGCGAGCTGAACCTAACAATCGCGGTGGCGACGAGGACTGCGTGTCTTTTGTCAACTACGAAGGGGATTGGAACTCTGGTTACCTAGACGTTAAGTGTAGCTTGGATCTGAAATATATTTGTCAGATTTATGGAAAACGATTTATAAAATATTAAAAATATAAATGAACTTAGCGGAATATCAAAGATTTCGCTTTAAGTTCTGTAATCGTCCCAACATATAGACAATCTATAATTAATAAATCAATTAACCAATAGTTTTTTGTTGTCTATTTTATTATCAATAACTGAAAAATACAGCTAAAACCTCTTGAAGACCAGCTCCTAAGCGTCCGTAAAGGGGCAATGTTTGGCGTACGGCACATCTATGCAAATGCAACCACGAGCGCTGAATTTGGGATTACAACAATATTTCAAAACTACAATAGTTTGTAGATTTCTATTGGTACTTACTCATCTGGGGCATCGTTGCCTATGTGGTATTCCCGTAGCAGGGAGGCAAACTCAAAGGGATTGATTTTGCCGCTGACTGGAAGTCGCTTTGGTCCAGTGAGGTTGACACATCCGTTGGGACATGGAACCCCCATGAATTTCTTGTTCTTAAAAGTGGCCGTGGCCAGGTAGCAAATGCTTAAGAAGTGGGAGCACCGAGATCTTCCTGTCGGTTGAGGTGGTTGGTTAGTTAGTCAGGGCCATTAAACCAAAATAAAGTTAATAAAAGATTCTTACTAATGCGATTCCCCTTGCAGAAGGGCTGCACACGCCCGCCATTGACACAGTAGTTGAGGTGCCCTGTGTTGTCTTCTTGTCCCAGGAATCCTGCATTAGTGTGGATCACCTGGATGACACTAGCATCGTCGTGTGACAACCGGAAGGTGTTGCTTTTTTTCCGCTCGATCAGCGGTCGGGCGGGATCCAGTCCAATGATCCGGTACTGCTTCCGGGTCAAATGATTGCTGATCATCCCGCAAATGTGAGCGCCCAGGGAATGCCCCACACAGGTGATGCGCTCCCTTTCCGCTCCGTAGTGGGTGAGGAAGGCGTAAATCTGTGCGGTGCACTGGGCCGTGAGTCGCGTGTTAATCAGCGAGTGTAGGTAGCAGGGGTACCGTGTCAGGGGCCTCCAGTCCACGGTGATCACATTAAAGTCACGTGATAAGTAGGCTATAATAGTTGGCATAGGGTTATTTTAAAATATCACTTTGTGCTGATTATACCAACTTACCATCTCTGAGAAACTGCAGATGAATGTCTATGGCCGTTCCATTAAAACCATGAATTATGAACACAGTTTCACGTTTTTTACTGAAACCGCCTTTGTAGAGGGTCATTGGGTTTTTCACGTTAAGGGGAATACCTTTTCGGGGACCATTGCTAAAAGAATCATATATCATATAAGTTCAAATACTGTGGGATTAAATAGCCCTGAACATTTAAAATATTTTTTCGTATTAGACTCCTATGGAACTATTACTGAAAACAACTTTACGTTTCTAATAACAAATCTAAGTTGGAATCTCAATACAATAATATTATAATATTTAAATGAATTTTTATATTGCGATTTAGTTGTTGATTATAATTATTTATTGTTGTTGTTTAAATGGAACATTGAAAATTCCCAGTGTGTATGAAACCGAGGAAAGCAGTCGTGCAGAAAGTAATTTTAATAAAGAATAAGAGCTGTTATATTTTTAACAAGAAGTACTTAGTAGAACATATTATTTTTTTAAGCCAACTAAAAGGCAGTATTTATAGGAGCCAATATTTATATATATTTGAGATTCTTAGTTACTTGATCTTTATTTTTACTCTCATGTGTAAAGCACTACCAGATAAACGCTTAAATAGGAAAAATCGCCAAGCCCCATTTCTTTCTCTTTTCATTTCCTGCTAATATAAATAAAACATGAACAATAACTAATGTGCATTTGATTTAGTAGAGATTAAAACAACTTTTGTGATCAGTCTCGAATTTGATCAATTAAATGCAGTCTTTAACATCACAAACTGCCTCTTACTTCCAAGAACGGAGGTGTCAATCCGGTAATTTATCGATGTTATACAACCGCCCATCAACGGCCAGTTAAACGTTCGCCATAATGTAATTTGTTCGAAGTCGACGTCTCATGTTACCGCAACAATGACGCGATTTTTTTTGCTCTCCAGAAATGGCCAAGACCGGATGCAGTGCTGAGTTGGCGCATCTGCCCAGGTGATCTTGACCAGACAAGTCGAGCGACTTTCGAGTCGTCGTTTGTTAAGCGTTTTATTCGCCAATTGGCAAATGCAATTGATGTCGATGTAGCCTGTTGTTGGCCACGTTTAGCGGTCAATGTGGCGCAAGCAGGCCTCCTTTTGAGGTATTCCTTAGTGGGTCAGTTGCCGGTTCGGTAAAACGGGTTGCCCGCCCATTAATTGCACTCTTAATTTTCGCAGTTTGCCAACCAAGGCAGCCAATATCCTTGTGGTTGCACAAGTCTGCAGCGACAAGTGCAGTTTCGGCGGTTGACACACTAACCAAGTCAGTATTTCCAGTTGCCTAACACCTGAGGAACTTTCTCCCCCGACCGCTGGCAGTAAATAAATCATTACGGGAAATTTGACAACTTTTATCACTTAGAAAAAATTACTTGGCGTATTAATTTCCATATTTATAAAGAATTAAGTCCCACTTACGGTGCGTACAGTCGGTGCTCGATATGTGGACTGGGACAGAAGTTCTTGTCACGCAAAAAACACCGCAAGACATTTAAATCCAAGGCCCCACTATTGAGCAAGTTTTTCCAATCCATTTTATTCAACAGCAATGTTTGTGCATCTGCAATTGTACGATTTACTCCACATATAAACATTTGATTTTTTTTTTTTAAAGCATTTTTTGAAATATACCTTTGGCAAAATATGTAAATACGCAGAGCACGAGCAAATATTTCATTTTAATTTTAATGCTAATACTTCAAACTTAAAACTCCTTTTTTCTTTTTAAGAAACTAATTACTATGTATTTTACACAATTATTCAATTTTATTTAAATCTTAAATTATGTATTTTTACTGAGGGAGCAACACTTTATTTTTATATTTTCAGGACATTTCAGTTTTCTCCTCGTTTTTTTGTCAGAGGCCTTTCACTATTTCTTTTTAAATTTCAAATAAATTTTTGCACAAACGTTTCCACATTTTTTGATTCAATTAATTACTAAATCACTGGCTTCTACTAGTTGGTCACATGTTTATTAATTGGTATCCATTTGCTTTTTGCAATCGATTTCATTGTAATCCTTTCCATTGGATTTTGTAATAATTTCGCGATCACATCCGCCAAATGTCTTGCTCATTCGCGTTGCGCGCAGCAAATGCTCGTCGTGAAATTGCCGGCCAAGGAAAATGCAGGCAGCGTCAATTGCAATGGTAGCAACAGCCACACCAACAGCCGCAGCAACACCAACAGCCGCAGCAACATAAGCAACTTCAGCAACAGCAATAGCTGCTATAGCAGCAGCGGAAAAAACTGGCCTAAGAATTGCCTTGACTTTGCTTCACTTGGCTTCAAGCCAACTTCAAACGTGAACGACTTTTGGCTAATATATATTGTTGCCATGTTGTTGCTGCTATAGTTGCTATTGTTGCTGTTGTGTCTGCAAGGCGACGTCTATGAAATGAAAATTCATGGCACACGCAACGCTGCACTGATTTTGATTATGAGCTTCAGCTTGAAAATGGGTGTTTTTGGTTTCGGTTTCGTTTTCCAACTCAATGCCATTGGCTTCTTCATGGCTTCTGCGGCTTGTAAATCATCAGTTTACTATTTACATAACATAATATTTGCATTGAATGCCAAATTCTTGTAATTTTCCATGACAAGTTCGTTTCCTAAGTCATTTGTTTTAGTCTATTAATCGTATGTCTTCCTGGTGACTGACCGGCCCAAGAGAGATTTCTTTTCAATTGACCTCCATTGTAGGTTCAAGGCAAGGGAAATGAAAGGTGTGATGAAAAATAGCGACAATTTATTAAAGGCATCTGGGGCATCGAAAAGTGAAAGATACGTACTACTGCATACAAAAATTGCATGATGGACTTGCAAACAAAAATAAATCATTTTGTTTATAAGAAAATGAAAAGCGAAAGGTAAAACTTTGTAATGCAGATCTTGAACATGTGCGATGGGAGAATAAAAAGAAAAATCTTTTATATTCTGCATAATTTCAATTTATTTATTTAATATTAAAGGTTTAAACTATTTTTACAACTTGAACTTTCACACTTTCCCACTTTACTCACCTGGTGTACAATTGAAATCCTATGTACTGCTTGGGACATGTTTCCCACAACAGTATGTGACAGTTAAATGGATTTAAATCAAAGTTTCCATTGCGCAAGAAGAATTGCAACGCCTCTTTATGATATTTGGCTTTTTAAAAAGAAAAAAGAAAAAATTACACACACAAATCACACTTTTTCTTATCAGCGAAGCGATCCCCCCACTTACACGCATTCGTGAGTGAATCCAGGGAAAGTAAAGTTAACAAGAGTGCGATAAGGCCGGCCATCATTTTGGCCAAATGAACTTTGCATTTAGACGCAAATCACGTACGAGAGCGGGGCACATGGGTCTAAGTGGAAGGCGTTTAATAAAATGCGCCACTTACGGCTGCTGGTATGGTAAACTATGAGACAAAGAGCTTTTAAAAGCTGCATCCGCACAAGAAAATAAAATATGGAAAAACGAATGAAAATCGCCGAAAAATTGACACTCACGAACGACCCGGCGCCAGTTGGGGCTGTTGGGTGACATTGCTTTGTGGGTAGTTAGTTAGGCACTTGTTTTTCATATTATGGTTGCGTGTAACCGAAGCTCCGATTTTCTTATAAACAAATGCACAGAAAGAAATCCGTATTCTAAATGAAACTACAATTTATTCACCATTTATAGATCCTTTTAGCCATATGTATGCCTTTTTCTTACCTTAAGAAAAAAAAAGAAAAGAAATATTTTCTTTATTAGACACTTAGCTAGAATTCGTTATTAGAATCTTCACCATACATATGTTTTTGGGTGCTTGCAATATATTATTGTCCAATCTGGTGGGTTTCACAATTGTACATACTGCTATAAAAGTCGTTATTGATTTCCCCATATGGACACCTGCAGGCTCTAGCATTCTCATCAGCAATAAAGAATATAACAATAATTAAAAAAGCTTGGCGCACGACAACCGGGCAATATTTTAAGAAATTTATTGAAGTCCGAGAAACTGGTACCATTAATCTATGGGGTTTTCTTTTGTGTATATCTAAGTCTGGGTCTAACTTAGAGGTGTTAAAGGCTTTAAGGTCACATAGTCACGGGTCAAAATAATTGGCGCCACTTACTTTAATTCAAACACCACTCCCAATTACTTCTTCAAACCTAACAGATGGTCACGAAGTTAGGAAAAGATTACAATTACGAAAAATACTAGACCAGGTTCAAAATGACATCAAATGCTTTTCCCGCCGACTACCGGCAGATAACAATTTTCCAAGTACACGAAAGTAAAAACAATATAACGTGGTCTCTGCGGCTTATGCACCTGATTGAAAGTAATGAGCTAGTTGGCCCAAAAGACCGCAAAACGGGGCTAAAGTCAACTGAAGGCAGCAAAAAGATTTTACATGGGCTTGTGATATGGTAAGCCCATTCAGATGAAAGGAAAATGAAAATGCAAATGAAACTGAAACTGAAGGCAACGCCAAATGTGCAGACACAAGAAAAACTAAAAACAACTATCGTTTCCTCTTTTCAGATTGCAGGATAGTACTCTATATAGTGGCTATATTGGTTGGCCAGAAAACATTGTGAAAAAATTATAAAATTATAAAAAATAAATAAAAGGTATAATGCAAACATTCAATGCTTCAAAATATATTCACTTCTAAGTTTTTTAGTATATCCTTTTAAAGAGATTAACAAATTCGTTGTAAGACTAAAATTTGATCTTCCTTTTTTAATGGGCTTTTCTTTTGCTTTTCATGGTTGTAGTTTTTAGCCAATTTGTTGTTACATTGCCAACTTGTTGTTATTATTATGAATTGTTCATTCATCTGGTTATGGTTGACGAAGAATAAGTGGCAATTGCATAATATTTTCCCGGATTGCAGTGATACTGAACTAGTTTTTTTGTTTCAAGCCCTGATCGTATCTGACTTCCATTGTATACCGTATCCGTGTAAACCCTTAAATTATGATTACAATTGCGATCGGGCTCTGTCTAATTATCTTAGTTTTAACACCAAGGAAAATATTTTGCAATTATTATGCCTGTGGCTTAAATAAAAATTTGCTTCAGCTTTTAATATCACTTCAGATAGCAATCAATCAGTGTACAAATGAAATCATGTTTTTGGCATTTTCTTTTGCTAATTCCACACATCACAAGTTAATTAACCATATCCAATGTTGCCTAATTGCGTTTAATTTTGCTATTATACTTTTTTGTTTTTGAATACATTGTATAATAATTGTGTTATGGGGCATAACGGCAGCCAAAAACTGAATAATTTATTCAATAGTCGGAGGATATTGTATGCATTGATATTAAGTGTCCAAAAAATACTTTTAATTTTGGGTCTCCGGTAGACACTTGGAAAATAATGGCTAGATATTCAGACTAAGGTGGAAAATGTTACTCAATTTTAAATAGTGACTTGATCAGATATAAGTTTTAAATTAAGAAATATCAGCTTCTTATTAATAAAAAAAAAACAAAGAAAATTATTTTCTAAATAAAAAGAAAACTAGTTGTATTATAATTTGTTAATCAGTTGTTCTACTAAATTTTTAGCTTAAACTAATATATGTTTGTTGCATTATATATTGATGAATTTTTAAAAATTTTAATATCCTAAAGCGGATTTTTTACATAAAGAGTATAAAAATTGTATTTAAAAAATTGTCTTACGAAAAAAAAGGTGCAAACATTGACTAAGTTATGTTAACAGAGGCTTAACAGCGCCGGATCGAAACTTTGCGAGCTTTCTGTTCATTTTTGAGAAACCTCTGTTTCTGCTCATAAAACGTTTCTGCATTCTTGGATTTCTTTAATCCTTTCAGGCTAATTTATGTCTTAAATTGATCAGACTTTTACTAAAATCAATTCATTTTCACCTAATCATTTTAAAAGCTTTTTGTAAAAAGAACGTCTTTATTTTCCATTTAATTTTGTATTCACTTTTCGATTACTTCCCCCAACATTTTTATTTTCAACAAAAACATTACTTATTCGCAAATTGAATTTCTTTCTTTCCCAAACAATTGTATAAGCTTCCATGAAATAGCAAAATCAAGAATAAAATCCCACTGATGCGTACTCATTACTTATGCAAGTCCCAATCAACTTTCAATTGGCCGCCTACACTCGACGAATTCCTTAGAAAATAATCGGTAAAGCTCTACTTCCAGATAGTTTAGAACTTGCACAAACTGGCAATGCTTTTCAGCGACTCTAATCAAAATGAACCATAAATTCCTTTAAAAAAAAAAAAGGAAGCGGGAAAGTGAGGGAGAGAGTATAAAATTGCTGTGAGCTTTGTTTTTGCTCTGACTTTCTCCTTTGGCCCAACTTTACTAATTAATTGTGCACTTGAGAATTTTTGAGCAAACTCTGGAACTCTTGGCAGCCAACCTCCTAAAGATCCATTGGGAAATGGAGGGGTGCAGATACATAGATAGATTCGGTGAGGTGTTCGGCACTGGCAAAGTTGACGAGTAAATAAACTAACAATTTTTCCTACTTAATTAACAAAATTGTTTTAATGCTCCTGCCAGCCATTCCCATCGCTCCCAGCCAGGATGCCAAGTGAGGCGTTAAGCGTCGGCGACGCTGTCAACATTGACAGACTGACTGAATGACAGACTGGCTAAATGACTGAGCAAACAGAACCGGAGTACAACGAGTCATTGGGGTGTACGAGGAGTATGAAAAGTATGGGAACTATGGAGAGTAAGGCCATAATTAAGCTTGTCACAGTCATGAAGTTTTGAAAGGATCGGGGCAGGCAGGATGCCAAAGGACCACATGGGCTGGCGAGACATGAGAGGTTTGCATTTTGAAGTCAATAATTATTCCAGGAAAACGGTTAAGATGGTATAAAAGGCATATGTATATATTGTACAATATTAATGGCTGAACTAGTGCAAGGTATAAAATCATAAAACTCCATTTTGTTCTTTATTCTACTAGAAAAAGTCACATTTTAATTTATTGCCAATATCATTTGGATTAACATATAAAACAGTTCTCTTGCGGCCATATTGAACGCATTGAATTGGAAATTTGTTTGGTTGCGCCAGCCAGCCACTTGGCTCAACAATAAATTGCAAGTTTGGAAAAGTGCAGCGTGCAGCTTATGAATTGCATTACAAAGTCGCATAAATTTCCGCATTCGCATTGCGCCAAAGAACGCGCAACAAATCGTTTTGGCGCCAAAATGCATTTATCATCAGCAGAAAGTCGCATTCAAAGCGAAAATTCAATCTGATGTCAGGAAACGCGAGAATTATGAGCTCAGTACCCAGCTCAATGGCTTCAGAGGGTGGTGGTGCTAGTAGTGGGCGGGAATTGGGAGGTGGTTGGGTGGTGGAGGTGCTAAAATGTAGGAGACGGCGTGAAATGTCTCGGCTGAATTATGCGGATGCTGTGACAAGCTCTTTTTCCGCTCAGTCTTCCAATGACTTTTAATGGCTCCGCCTCGCATTATTGAGATTTACAGTTTGCGGATTTATTGGCTATCCAGGAATGGTTTATAGCAGGATGAGGAGGCAGCAGCGTATATATTTAAAGTTTTTCTTCAATAATTCAATTCAATCTTCAATAATAATAAAAGATATCTTTAAGTTACTATTTATCCTCCTCTATACATACCAATCAGACCCTCTAGACATCCCTGGGATCCCATTTCAATCTAACTCAACTTAAATTTACGACTTTGCTGCCTTTCCACAAGTCCATTGGCCACTGATTTATACAAGTTAATTAACACTTTTGTTGGCCTAACCCCCAAAAATACAACAAATACCAAAGCCATTCATAATACAGGCGAGCATATGGGGATGTCCTTTGTACCACTCAGCCTCATCCCCGTGACACCTATGTCAACAAGGGCGTACAAAAAAGGACAATTAAACCCTTTGAAAAAAGCCACCAGGCGGCAGACAAAAGAAGGCAAATACAAACAAAAACACACACAGGACAGCTAAAATTCGACAGAGTTGTGAAGGTCAGGCCACAATGCCTTCCCCCCTAGGTTGTTGGCAACGATTTATTGGATATTGTCGCTGGATTTTCACAACATTTTATCGTCTCCAGACGGATAGATAAACGCAATAAACAATTGCCTGGCGAGATGGTGGTTGGGGATCCTGGAAAACATATTTAGACTTTTCTTAAGTAAATTATTGCAAAAATCGACAACCAGACAGCAGGCCCGGAAGCTCAAATGGGCGCAAAAATGTCATTAAATGCCAGCCACGACAGGCTTCCTTGCCCTGCATTCCCACAATCCGTCCTGATCCTGGAGTGCGGGGAAGTTGTTGTTTCCGTTTCCGTCAGAGTTGAGGTCCTTTTCAAATGCTGTCGCCAGCAAGGACATCGCCACCCAGGTCCTCCATCTTCGGCATCTTCTGTGTGCCTTCTGTCTTTTGGGCTTGAAGCTCATTTGCGAAGTTGCCGCTGCAAATATTTGCTTAGCCTTTTGCACCCCGACTCGGTCCAAACGATTACCGAAGAGTGAGTCCTGGAGTCCGGAGTTTGTTTATTTTCGTTAGACATTTACTCGGCTCGATATGGCGACATTTAACCCTTTAATGATAGCTGAGCTTTTTGCGTTGGCATCTACTAAGTTATTTGCTTGCTGATGGTGGACTTGATGGCCCAAAAAGTGAAGAAAATAGGGCTTTTTGTTTAGAAAATGTTTTCAGAAAATTGCAAAGAAATGCGTACAAATGGGTATTCTAGAAATTCCATTAAGATTGCAATGAAAACAGCGACAGCGATGGAATTGGTAGAAAAATTCTTTAATTTAAGTTAGAAAACTCAGCATACAAATTTCTGACACTCTCAAATCTAACCGATCTAAAATCAAAAGTGTATATAAACTTATTTCGAGAAAAGTTTGCCGATAAATGAAAGAGTCAAAACCCAACGAACATGCTGGCTGTCATCGTGTACGGTTTACTGCTCCTGAAGGCCTCCTTAGGAGAGCTTCAACTGCAGGAGTCATCCGCTCGCATGTCCTCGAATGTGACCCAGATTGGCGAAGCGAACCTGAGCAGTATCCTGCACTCGAACGAAGTGGTGTTTGTCAACTTCTACGCGGACTGGTGCTACTTCAGTGTCCTCCTGGCGCCCATATTCGAACAGGCGGCTGCCCATCTGAAGCTTGAATTTCCGGATGCGGGAAAGGTGCTCCTGGGACGGGTGAACTGTGCCCGGGAAACGGAGTTGGCCGACTTGTACAACATCCAGAAGTTTCCCACGCTGCGGCTCTTTTATAAAGGACAAGCCACACGACGGGAGTACCGTGGTCAGAGGTCCTTGGAGGCCTTGGTCAATTATGTGAAATCGCATTTTCAGTCGGAGATAGTTGAGTTCCAAGAACCTGAGGATCTGGCCATTATCGATCCCTATAGGAGATCCGTGATAGCCTATTTCGAGAGTGAGGGTTCTGCCCATAAACTTTACCAACACCTGGCGGATCGCTTTAAGCAGGATTGCGACTTTTACCAAAAAATAGGCAAAGTGGAGGAGGGACGTCCACCGGTAAGTTTAACCTTCCGGCCGGACGTGGCCCGCACTTATAGTCAGGACGAAGAATACAAAGGCGATCCTGGCGACTCCAAACAACTGGAGTCATGGATCCTGAATAAATGTGTGCCACTGGTGCGAGAAATAGACTTCAGCAATGTGGAGGAGTTGATTGAGCAGCGACTACCCCTGGTGCTGCTCTTTCACCTGCCCAGCGATCTGAAGTCAGTCAAGGATTTCCGTGCCATTGTGGAGGCTCAGATGCCGGAGATGCGCGGCCAGTACAACTTTGGCACCGTTGACGGTGTGGAGTTCGAGCACTCAGTCCGCCATATGGGCAAGTCTCGAAAGGACCTGCCAATCGTCGCCATTGATTCGCTTAAGTTTATGTATCCATTTCCGAGTTTCGAAAACATTTACAGGCGGGGGCAGCTCAAGAAGTTCCTAGAGGATTTCCTCGGCCATCTTAAGAAGGAAGATGTACGGATGACAGAGGCCACGGCAAAGGAGGGGCAAGATACCAAGCCACCCCGATCCACCTTCAAGGATCTGGGACCCTCTAAGTACCGGTACTCGTTACTCCATGATGAGCTGTGAGCAATGGGCCAGGCTCTGTTTGTGCTATTTTAATAAAGTTCTCTTGGATGCCAGCAACTTAATCTGCTACGGGGAAATTTGGGGAAAAGCCCTCGAAAACAAGCACAACACTGTCCGACAGACATTATTTAAAAGGTCCGTAAATTATTTGTTAAATTTGACTTTTTTGTTTCAAGCCAAAACCATTGGCTTTTATTCAGTTTTTTAAAAAATAGAATAAGTTTTAAAATCGTGAAGTTTAACAAAATGGTAAACCTACATATAATTATCTGAAGAGCAGTGTATTCTTTGATGCCACTGGGTAAAATTTTAAGAAGGAGCTAAAAAAATAGCTTGCTCCGGCAACACGGCAAAGAACAAATTGCCTGCAACTAAACATAATGGTTAAACAGACACCTGCTCAAGGCTCTGCTCCACTCAAGGAAAATCACTTGAGCGGCTCCTCCGTTGGTCCCCAGGATCCTGCCTCGTTCTTCGCCCTTCGTCCTGCTCCTTATCGCAGCAGGCTGACATCATGCCGCAGATGCTCCGACCCCTCTCAACATAATTTGCTGTGGTTTTGCATTTACTTTGCATCTCTAGTGTGCTTGAGGCAGCAGCAGAACCACAAGATGCAACACACAGTGATAAAATTATAAACCACATAATAAGGGTTTAATATTATTTAAGATTAGCATTTAATAAGTATTCAAAAAATAACTAAAGAACGAACTTATAAAGAGATAAATTGAGCTTAAAAAGTCAAAACCTTTCATTTAATGTCCTTTGAATTCAAAGCACTCCAATAGTAAAACCAAAATTGTATGAAAACTTTCTTATTAAATAGCTTAAAATTTCTTTCAGTTTAGGAGCTGACTCAGAAGCAGCTCCGCAGCATTAGCTTGGCTGCCTTGGATGAGTTGCTTCTTCTTATTCTTGTGCAGCTCCTTGCACTTCCGTTTCCGGTTGCCCTTTTGCCCTCAGCCCTTAGCCCTCGTTTCAAGCGTTTCAGTTTGTTGGTTTTCGTCTTACTGGCTGCATTTTCATCCTGTTTGCAATCACTCCGGCTCCGTGGTCCTTGTGGTGGTTGTCCTGGCTAAGAGGCGGGTGCTGGGTGCAGGCTCATCTTGTTTTTCGGGTTTGTTCTGTCTTGTTTTTGGTTTTTTTGCTTTGTTTTTAAGTATTTTTTTCTCAACTTGCTTCCCATTTGCACAAACATATGCGCATACCTAATTCGAAATTGTTTTCCCTTGGTTAAGGATTTGGATGGCTTAAAGGCCACTGAAAAATAAATACATAGCCTGTGAAAAAAGTCTTAACATACTAAATGTTTTCCCAAAAGAATGCGATGTTGTATTGTTTCAAGTGTACGTGCATATTTGTATGCAGTTACAGGCAGGCAACATCTCTTGTACCAACTTTGGTAACTTAACAACACGCGTTCTTTGCACAAGCTGCAGCTCATTTACCCAGCAGGAGGCCCAGGACCTCCAGTGGGAATGGAGACTGACTCTACTGAAACTATTTTTACTTCGTTTTCAATTTAATTAGCACACAATTTGCCAGGCTCTCCCAGAGTAGGTACGTGCGTGCTGCATTTTGGCCCATTAGTGGAATGGAGGTGGCAAATATGATTTCCAACTTGTGTGCTTTTTGCTTTTCTTTGAGGCTCTTGCGAAAAGTTGCGGACCGCCTTCTCATATTAATTAATCGCATTAAAATGCCTTTGCATTTTCCAGAGACTTTTGTACTTTTGCCATTTAATTAAGCTCAATTTATTAATTGTTGCCTCCGCCACACGGGGAGCCCTTGGGGTTATCTGGTCGTAGATGGGAATCAGGCCGGATGATTGATTGCCTGGCTTTGGGCACGCTATCCTCCAGAGAGTGGATAGTGCGATGACACAGGTGTTAGTCCGCCTGCCATAGCAATTGTAATTGTAATTCCTCTAAATGAGTTCTGTGCTTCCTGGGGATTTGTGTTTGTCAACCTGACTTGGAGTCTTATTTGGAATTTCTTTGTCAAGCTCTGGAAACTCTTTTCACAGCAGTAAGTTTTAAGCAAAGTTTTCTTTAAAAATTTCGTTTTAATCAGCTTATTTTCTCTCACAGTTCTCTTGCAAACAGCAACAAACCCTAGCCAATTTGTGAACTTCTCGATATGTGCCATAAATTCCGGAAGAAAAAATAACTCATGATATCTAGCCTGGTCTGTTGCCGAGTCTGCTCTTCCTGGCCATAAACTCAACACATTTTTTATCGGCTTAGACTGGTTTGTTTATGGCTTTTTACGTTTCTATTGAACAACACAAAGTCCTGAAAGTTTGTTAAAAGGGGAGCTACAGTCTGAGTTAAATTTTATTTTAAATAAACTTAAACTTCTAGATCCACCTCAAGGTATTGTTCCTTCTTCAAGCACATATACGCCTCTGTATTGTACTTCTTGGTTTCACACACAAATGGAAATTCATTAGAACTGCACTCTATGCTGTGGTATCCGAACTCATTCAAGTTGGCGTAGGCGGCGCACTCCTTTGTGGTTATGTTATTTGGCTGATTGGCACACCATGGCGTATACTCAACGGTGCCCCCATCGCGATGACTGACAAATCGATTACCCTTTCCCAAAGCCGTCAGGCCCGTCCAAATGGAGTCAGTGGTGCAGTTCTCCTTAAAGGGAAACCCAAGCACTTGAAGGTTGCTCGTCAGTAGCTGCATCTCCTTGGCGTCATTGAATATCAGCAGCGAAGAACTCATATTGAAGCACTTGCGGTCGGCGTTGAACCAGTTGGCCTATAAGTGGTTTCTGATTTTAGAATATATATTTTCAAATCGAACTGAAGCTCTTACAGGCTCTCTGGACACGTAATAGCACTTCTCCCCCATGAGGGTAAAGCCCGACGGACAGCCAGCCTTGGATGTGGCCCAAACGAACGAGTAACAGAGCGCGGAGATCAGGGCCAGAAGCTTCATTCCCATCTTAGCCATGGTTAAACACTAATAACTTTCACCACCTTCATGAGTATTTATACTCATGGACTTGAAAATGTGTACCATATCTAATCTACTGCAATTAGGCGCCATATAATTTAGCAAATCTTCTAATCATAATGAGTAACACTCGAGCCTTATCAAAGGGAAATCCTGATAAGAAACCATATAAGTAAACAAAACAAAAGAAATAATTATGTTACGGTACCAATTCCGTTCAATGACTTCCTTTTAACCCATATATTGGTTTTCCTGCCAACTTCCGTCATTTATGGTAGACGGCTTCTCAGAATTTACAACCCTTGAAGCAAATTCCAATTGGCCCGGAAGCATATTTATTTTGCGGAGTACACATCGATAAAGTGCCAATTAAAATACAGTAAAAATACGCAAATAGCAACCAACAAAGAGCCACAGAGCCGCATCAAAGTTTAAGTAGAATAATGAAAGGAGTTGGGCTTTTATGATGATGAAGTTGGCCAGTGCAGGTCTGGCCAAGGATTATGGTTCATTTAATTGGCTATAATGCACCAGGCAGTCGGTAGCCGGGAGTCGGCAACTTCCTGAGGTCTGTAAATGTTCAAAGTTGAGTCAATTAAATCATTATGGAGTGGGATCAGAATGTAGGTAGTTTTTTTCTAGCCTTTTTGAGCTTATAAATGCACTGAGATTATTTTTTAGTCAATGACTCATATATTAATAAACTTTTAGAGACACTTAACTTGTCAAAAATAAGACCCACAAAAACCCAATTTGTGATTAGATGATATCAGCTTGGTTTGGTTTATAACAATGTCTGATTGTTTCGGATTTATTTTTAGTGGGTTCTTTTTTGAAATAGACCCTATACTATATAAGCTTTTCTGAATCAGGGTTTCATTGTGTAACCTCAACAATTTTTTTGTTTGGATTTTAAGTCCGTCGAGAGCTGCTGGGAGATAACTCCACTGCATGTCGATGTATTTCGAAGCTGCTCCTTGGGCACTGCTCGTCCTGTTCGTCCTGTCAGTTGGCCAACTAACAAAAAGCTCTCGACATGGCCTGCTACTGAATGATAACAACACGCCGCAATGGGAAGGCGGTCGCCAAACAGAATGGGCGCGTATAGGGGAGCTGTGGCAATTAATCTTTACAATGGCGAACATGCGAAATGGGGTTCATAAATCCCAAGTCACGCTACAAACGGCACCGAGAATAGTCATTTATGGAGGGTCTTTGATACTTGACTCTGTTCAAGAGCATAGTTTGTACATAGTTCAACTTTAAATTGCCCCCCAATTTCAATAAAAGAAAGCAAAATAAGCCGACAAATATGGCCAACCAGAAGCAGGAATTTCTATGAGACGGTTTAAAAAGCTTAACCTGGTCCTCCAGATAAATGTGTATTTATTCGAATGAAAAGACACTCCATGCCGGGACTAGGAAAGAAAAATAAAAAATAACCTGGGGGCAACAGCCATGGTAATGCCTTGATATATTAGGGTAGACAGTGCGTATGAGTAATAATGCGCCAATAGATTTATGGCCGATGGCTAAGAAGCGCCTCCATCTCGTCGGTTTGCGCTTATGTCTGTATAAAAAATGCATATAAATATCACATTTGTGTGCAATTTATTATGGTCGAGGCGATGTCCTGATCCTGTTATCCTTTCTGGCAGCGAAATTAGCTCATTTGTCTTGTTTTATGCCGGTTCAAGAAATATTCCGGCTTAAAATCGCCAGCGACTGGCAGAAATTACGAGTCTCCCTTGCTCCTGCTTTCCAGCTTCCTGGTATAGAAACAACTTGAAATGTTATGTCTGCGGTTAAGTTGTATTTATCCCCAACCAGATGCCCCGGCTAATCCCCTTTTGCATAAATCAACAGGCGTTTTAAGGCTGCGAAAAGGTCACCGCCTCCCATGTGAACTTTGTGCTCCGTCCCGTGTTGGGGTTCCTGCTTTTAGGGTCGAATTTATTGGGGTCAATTGCCGGTTTGTTTTGACCACTTTGGAGCATATGCCCGATGTCGGGTTGCCAATTGGATTTTATATGTTTTTTTTTATAAAATATTTACCCAATGGTTGTTTCTTCAAATCACAACTGATAATTGGGTCGGATTCCAATGCCAGCTGAGCTCGTGTTTTCCTTTCGGCCTGAGTGGAATTTAGATGGAAGGATTAGGTCCTAGAATAGGTGATGACTGCCTAAGAAGTGGCAGCATAATTTATAAAGTTAAGAGGTGCTCAAGTTGCTTTATGCTCTTGCTTAAAATTTTTTAGAAGTCGCCACAGCATTCGGATAAACATGCGTCTGCTGTGCAAACAAGAGGAAGTACTCATCGGGATAACTTGCTATCCAACAAACTCTGTTTCTAGGCTTTTCAACGATCTCGCCAGGAACTTTTTGGCTTGCCCCCTTTACATTTTGGGAAAGAGCATAAAAATGCCTCAACAGAACACTACCGGCGACGTCTACGACTTTTTAAGTTTCCGTCGCCGGTTTCAGGGTAAACATCTGCTTCCAACAAAATACAAAAAAAATACAAAAAAGGAAAATTTTTCCCGTATATATAGTTTTTAGCACATTTTTAGCATTGCATACATATACTTTCTCTGACTTCTTAACTCGATTTTACGCAGGATGAAGTTTATTCCCACACTCTTGCCAAAAAAAAAGAGGAAAAACTGAAAGAAAGGAATATGCTTTCAGCACGGAACTTGTTAATTTTCCGCTGCAAATCTGTCAACTTTTGGCTCTAGCTCTAGACTCTGGAGAGCACAAAAAAAAAAAAAAATTCAATAACAAGTGACAAAGTTTTTGCAGCAAACTTTTTGCATATGCACTTCTAGGCTCAGTTCCCTGGTCTAATTAAAAGTCTAGACTCCAGGCTTGGGCTCAACTTTTTCCAACAAAATTGTCGATGGTGGTCCATTGTCGGTACCGATTCTGATCTGACCATCCATTAACCGCAATTTCCAATTAATCAACTGGCGTACATTACCCACAACAACAACAAAAACAATAACAAAGCCATTGACAATGCACATGGGCCATGCAAATGTTATAAAGTTAATTGCCATCGCAGGCCATTTTGCAGTCAATGGCATCGGTATCGGTCGAAGTCCTTCCACTTCCACGACCCCTTATACATCTCTCTCATTTGGCCACTAGGAATTGGGACTTGGCCCGGCCAAAAAGGGGTAACACATTGTGCATTCCATGTGTGAGCTTTGTTGTTAGATAAAAGTCCAGAATGAATGAATGAAAGGGTCGACTTTTCAGTCTGGGTCATGAATGGGCGACCGTCCACAGGAAATGCGTTTTCTCGATAAATGTGATTGCTGCCCATTTGGTGGAGTAAGTCGGCTTGCAAAGGATTAAAACTAGTGAACTATTGGTAGAAAACACGTTCGCTGTTGTATGAGTATTAGGTTTATTAAATTAAAATTTGTTAGTTTATGGTTTTTTAGGCTAGCCTTTAACAGGGGTGAGCATATTATACTTTTTGTGCTTTTTGGATCATAATTAATTTTTGCCAGCTTACTTAAAAAAAAGGAAAATCCAGATTAAACAAAAAATAAATTAACACCACATTCCGTAAGTAAGACCAGCTTAGATTTTTTTTAATAGCTTTTAAATGTAGCTCTTGGTCATAATAAAATTGTTTATTTTCTAAAGAAAATTGAATCCCTAATTTTGAGGGATTTACTTGATGAAAATAAGCATTTTTTCTTTGAATGAAAAACCACAAAATTAATTGCATGTCATTAGCAGAAATCTATGAAAAGGCCCGAAGCAGCGGCGGCTTAAATACCTTGGCAACAAACCAAACAAACAAATGTGCAACCCATACCCTAAATCAAACATTTATTCCCCCAAACAGACACAAATACAGGTAGATAATGTGCATTTACAAGCCTGAAAGTATGCAGCACAAAAGTGAATGCGGAGATATGAAGCAAAACCCCATGAAAAAGAGCTCATTTGACTGGACAGTGGCCATTGGCCACCGTACAACCCGACTGACTGGACTGGACAGTCTCGATTCATTTGATTTGGTTGAACAGGTCCTCCCCAACCACGCCCACGCCCACACCCATGCCACTGTCAATCGGCCCTGGCAAACTCAGTGTGTATGCGAATACTAATGTCCAATGATTAAATTTTAATTACCGTGCACAAATCGAGTTTGAGTTCATTTCGATTATACCCCACCACCCTTGGTGGCATCAACTTCTGTGGTTGCATCTACATCTCGTCTCGTTTTTCATCCTTTCGAAGTGATCAATGCGGGACTAAATGCATGGGTGCCCTCGGCAGTTCCGAACTCCCCTTAACATCATTAACTGTTGCCAGTTCAACGAGGTGGGTGCACCATAAAAGATTACCGATGCCGTAATGGCACTTGGACAATGCCAGCTGCAATTCTAATCCTCATGCAGACAGGGGAAGATTGCCGTTTTCAAAAGGAGCTGTGAGTCCTATTTCGTCCTCAGCGAAGGCCATATCGTGGCCAATAAACATCGGATTCTTAAGAGGAATACTTTAAACGATTGTAGATCTATCCTTCATTAATCTGCATCTTTAGAACTATTTATTGTTTTAAATTTTAGTCAAATTTTCTTTCTAAGTGGTCGCCTTCCATCAAACGCCTCTAGATTCCATTAACCTTTCTGTATTCCTTTGGATACAAGTTAAAAGTGTTAAGCTAATTCTTTTTATTTTTCCCGAGACGGTGTTTTGTACTTCCATTGCTTTGTAGGAACAATTTTTTCTCGCTATATTAACTTGGCTTATTTATTAAACACGTTGGCCACGGCCAACACAGCTGGTTGTTTGGTTGTTTGGCTGTAACTTCTCATACCATCGAGTACTTCCGTTTTGTTGCCTTACGTGTGCATACCAAATGGCATGGCATCCTGGCCAGTTACAGTTCCTGGACCTGGTCCTGACTCCTGGTCCGGGCCATGGCAAAACATGGTTCGCCGAGCTCGCTGACCGGCTGTTTGTGGCCTCAATAAATCAACCGGAATTAAGTCATCAATAATGGAAAGACATAAAGCAGGCAGCCCAGTACTAGTTGGAAGCTGTTTGTGTTGCGTAACGAGCATGAGGTCGGGGGCGAGTTGAAAAATACTTCTGAGGGACCATAAAGAAATGCAAATTGCTATGGAATATGTGTGTTCAATATGCTAGGGCCACTGAGGCCAAATCTTTAATGCTCCACACTTGTTGAACAAGTTAGTTGCCAAGTTTTATATTCCATCTTGATTAATACTCTCTATACGTCATTCACATACGTCATTAATTTTCTAGATTTCTCATTTAGCCTTGGCTATATTTATCGAAAATAAATACAAATAATATAAATAATTTTCGAGTATCCAGTATTCTTGCTTAATTATCAGCTCATCAGTCTTAGTTTCATTTTTTAAAAGAGAACATTAAACATTTGCTGGCTGCCTGAGCGCTCAAAACAAATTTGTTCGATAAGATTTGTAGTTTTTTTTTTATTGGCCGCCAATGATTCTGGTTATAGAACCCGGATTGACTAAGAGAGACGCCTCGAAAAAGGCAAATAAAAGGCTATAATTATTATTTATTAGACAGAATGTGATAAATATGCAAATAAATAATTGCCGATATCAGCGAGTTTATACGAAATGTGAACACACAATTGTCTTAACTTTTATTGCTAATAGGGGGTTTTCCTTGGATATGATTTGCATATTGCTTACTTGCATCTTGGATTAATTCAATTTCATAAGTGACGTCGTCACCTTAATTGACTGACTACTGACTGGGAGAGTTGGAGGCGAAAATAATCAGCAGTAAAAATCATAAAGCAAATGCTTTTAATTAAAAATTCTTTTGAACCCGACTTGATTGTTATTCGACAATTGAGACTTGACTGTCTTAATTACGATTCTAACCACATGAATGACTTTGAGATACAATTGAAGCTCTGGCCTTTATCTCTGGCAGTTGACTTATTTCACTTGGCCGCTTTTTTGTGTCACATCAAGATATTTGGCAGCACGTTTCTGGGCTTCTTTTCTTTGGACGTTAATTTGAACGGCTACTCACTCTGCTGCCTCGAAGACAAATTCATAAATATTTTAATTAAAATTCGAGCGAGTGTCGAGGCCAATGTTGTTCTAAGTAAGAAAGTTTTCGTTGCAAGTTTGCAAAACGGAAACGTTTTCGACAACGTCATCAGAAACGCATAACATTCCTCGGAAAACGGGGAAAATAGGAAGCAAACTTTTTGGCGCAAGTTCAGCGAAAGTTTCGCAGCAGCGAAGAGAAATTTAACTAATTCCATTATGCATAAAAGTGTAAAAAACAAAGAACAAAAAAAATTAAATAAAAAGGCATTTGGGTAATGTTAAACAAAAATGTGAAAAGTTTGCCCTTGTTGCTGCTGCCAGGACATTGGAATTTTCCTCGACTCGGACACGGTAAGGTGGAAATTTGCTTTCAAAACTTGCTTTAATTCCGCGTCGTGTTTATTTAAAAGTCGAAAAGGCTTTGCAGTTAATAGTTGTTTTAGGTGTAAACTTGGCATTAAATGAATTGAAGGTTCTTTTACTTTGAAGTGTAAGAACTTGATAAATACTTTCAATGGAAAAAGTCTGTAAATAAGCTAAATATTTCTATAGAATTTTTGTTTATTTTTATTTATAAAACGTTTATTGAAGATAATAATTTGATGCCCATAACCAGCCCCAAGTAAGTACACGAGCGATTCCACTTTGCATATTCTGGCAGAAAAAAAATCCTATTTATAACCAAAATGAAATCATTAAGCGGCTTTTACTGTCAACACAAATGGCACGCAAACATTTCAAAAGCAATTCACATTCAGAGGCATAGGAAATAATAAAAATGAAGCAGCGATTCGCAAAGGCGGAAAAAGGAGGCGCCCCCGAAAGTTGCCATGCAATTGAGTTGAAAGACAAACAAAAGAACCCGAAGCTCCTCCTGAAAAGCTGTTGCCACAATAAAGGACACGATTCATTCACTCACTTACCCAGTCAGTCAGTTCGTCAATTACATTGATTTTGTAGCAGTTGTGTTTCTGTTTTTTTTTTTGTGTATTTCCACCTGACGGAAAAAGGAAATTCAGGGGAAAAATTCAGACGTCGGCATTGTCACCCTCGGCACATTTTGATTTGTCTATCTGTCGTTTAATAATACAAAGTGTCTTTTCGCTTTGATTTTGTTTTTTTGCCAATACTTTTGACAATTTCTCCAAACAACAGCCAGTGATTGACTTTTCCTTGCCACCATTTTCATTACTATTTTCATTTTTCACAATCTATTGTCTGTCAGAAAAGTGATTTCTTGTTTTTTTTCCACAAACTTGTTTACATCGATGTTATATTAGTATAATAGTATATACCCAACGTAATGATTTTTTCTATCGAGAGCTTACCATGGGAATTTGTTGGCGGTATTGTTGCCTTTGGGCCCATTGTTGAAGCTCCCATTCACCTTTGCTATGAAAGTGTTAAATTCAGTTGGCTCGATTCGCCAGGTTTATGGCTCATGTTTTACGAGGCGTAAAAAGTATCATTAGACCAGATAAATACATGTAATTTCTCTCTGGTTTTATGGCTGGGAATTCCAAACGATGATGGCTTTTAAATGCACACGCATTTAGAAGGTGTAGTTACGCGGAATAAGTTGCCTAAAATAATAAAAAACAAGAATTGAAAGCTAACTTCGGGCGAATCCTAAGTTTTTTTTTCCCTTTAGGGCCCACAGCAATGGCTATATCTTCCCTAATTCTTATCCGATTCTCAAGCGGAGTACCTTAAACGATTTGTGGATCGATTTTCCACCATTCTCCATCAAAATCCTGAGACAAAATATTTTTTAGATTTTTTTCCATTTTTCCTGATGGATCCCCTGAAAATGGTGTTCCCCCTATAGGAGCCACGGTGATGGCTATATCTTCCCCAATTCTTATCTGATTCTCAAGCGGGGTACCTTAAACGATTTCTGGATCGATTCTCCGCCATTTTGCATCAAAATCCTGAGACAAAATATTTTTTAGATTTTTTGCCCATTTTTCCTGATGGATCCCCTGAAAATGGTGTTTCCCCCTATAGGAGCCACGGTGATGGCTATATCTTCCCCAATTCTTATCCGATTCTCAAGCGGGGTACCTTAAACGATTTCTGGATCGATTTTCCGCCACTCTGCATCAAAATCCTGAGACAAAATATTTCTTATATTTTTTGTTCATTTTTCCTGATCTCCTGAATCTCCTGAATATGGGATTTTCCCCTTTAGGGCCCATAGCGATGGCTATATCTTCCCTAATTCTTAACCGATTCTCAAGCGGAGTACCTTAAACTATTTCTGGATCGATTCTCCGCCATTTTGCATCAAAATCTTGAGACAAAATATTTTTTAGATTTTTTGCCCATTTTTCCTGATGGATCCCCTGAAAATGGTGTTTCCCCCTATAGGAGCTACGGTTATGTGGCTATATCTTCCCCAATTCTTATCCGATTCTCAAGCGGAGCACCTTAAACGATGTCTGGATCGATTCTCCACCATTCAGAGACAGACAGACAGATCCCTTCTGGCTTTAAGGCTTTAAGCTTCTCTTCTTAATAAAAAATAAACTTTCAATTGGAGAAACCCTTTACGCTTGGGTGTATCATTTGCAAATAAGTCTACCCAGCTCACTCTCTTAAAGTCTGCAGTATTCGGTCCCATTATTTTTTTATTTCGAGCGAATGGCCGTTGTAACCGCAGCCAAATTAATTTCCAACTCTATGGCTTTCACTCTGACCATGGCCAGTACGACGTGTGGGCGTGACAAATGCAACAACAGTAAATTGCATAATTGCAGCTTTATTAAATTTAATAAAAATTCATATATGTATATGTATGTAATCGGGTACGCGACACGCCCCCCGTAGGCAGATTTAAATGGCTGGTGGGCAGGAGGAAAAAAAGGATCTCGCACCCTTTTGCCGCTTCCGTTAATCGACTGCACTTTTGCATCCTGTTGACTGCACACAGATGCCAGGACCACTGGGCATTGCGTGTCCTTTGTTGCCAGTCGCAGTTATAGCACCATCCCTTACCTCATACCATATAGGTCCTTGCTGTAGGTCCTTTCGCCTTGTGGTTATTTCTGTTTGTATTTTTTTTTTATTTTAACGTTTTTGTATTCCATTTAATTTGGCGTTTGCTTCTGGCTCGCTTTGCCTTTCTTTGCTTTTTTGTGAATAATTTTAATAAAGTTCGTCGGGATTTTTTCTGCTCCTCTTCAACCAACTGGGGAGTCAATTGTTATCTTCCCTGCAATAAGTAAATAAAATCTGTAAGGTCGGGGTGGCAGGTGGTACGCTCCAGCTCCTGAATTGCAATTGCAACTGGATTGCAGAGAGAGTCCGTCTGTCTCAGTTGCTGTTGATTTTCACATTTCCATTTATTCCCCGGGACTTTTTCCTCTATTTCTGAGTATGAATATTACGGAATGATAAGAACAGGGGAGTGCAATTAATTGTGAGAGTTTCCATACGGATTTCGCTTCGCGGGTCCTTTCGTGTGTGCGGATGCCTGTTTGCTGCTGTAATTTAATCTATTTTATTTAAGCTTTTCGTTAAGCTTTATTTAATTGCGAATTGCAGTGACTGGCATTTGTAGGGGAATGTGCAAAAAACACATGGAGTTACATCGAGGGTTTAATATGAGTATTCCACATTTCTTTCTCTAATATTAGACTTTAATTTTAAGGAATTACCTTATATATGCTTTCAGAAAAAACAAGTGAGCAATTTAAGCTAATTTCTGGACATAAATTCGATTTTTTCGTTTAGCTACTGAAGTGGAAAGATTATCTGTGGAACTGGGCAATTAGTGCACTCATGTCTGGCCAAGCACCCGTGCCTTCCGGCTTAGTTGAGTGGCCAAAATGAGAGGGCTAGGCTGGATTGCAGCCATCAATGTCGTGCTACTGGCCAAAAGCAGTGATGTCGTTTTAGCCGAGTCGCGCTATAAATGGAATACGGTAGGTGATGGAATTTACAAATAATTAATTATTAAAAAATGTATTTTTTCATATTTTTTTTACCACTATTTTCAGCTAGATTGGTTGGAGTCACTAAACATAACCCACGAACTCCACAATGTAACAACCGAAGATGGATATCAGCTGCAGGTGCAACGTCTGCCCCAAAAGGGAGCTCATTCCGTGCTCCTGGTCCATGGCCTATTGGGCTCCTCGCTGGAATGGGTTATCCTCGGGCCAGATAGGAGTTTAGGTAAGCGAATGAACATTTAGCCATCGGAGTACACTGCAAATTATGGAATTCATGGACCTGATGGGCTCTGATTTGATGAGCTAGTTGTATGACGAGTACTTTCTCTGAATGTAGCTTCTTTGGTCAGCATTTCAGCTCCACCAGCGCGGCTACGATGTGTGGCTGGCTAACCTGCGAGGAACGGCGCCCTTTGGACGCCGGCACGTGGAACTCACCGACGTTATGGCTGAGTTTTGGCGCTTCAGCTTCCACGAACACGGAGCCTACGATTTGCCGGCCATAATTGACCACATGGCGGAGGTCACTGGTGAGGAGAGTGAATCGGATGGTCAACTGGACGAGGAGGGGAGGGAGAAACCGCCGGGACAAGTACTGCTAATTGGACACTCGCAGGTGAGAGTGGGGTGGCAGGTTGCGGGTCATGAAAAGCTCTAAATATTGCCCCTAGGCCTTCAATGCGTTTTTGGTCCTCTGCTCGATGCATCCTCGTTTCAATCAGCGCATCAAACTGATCCAGGCAATGGCACCCTTGGCTAGACTCCACCGCCAGGTGCAATTCGATTCCACCCATGTCCGCCACCTCATGAAGTTTGTCAAGGTAATTCTAATTACTTCTTACCAATTAAATTTCTAATGTTTTCAATTACTAGGAGTAAGGTTAAATTTATTCTGAGATTTATTTCTTAGGTTTGTTGTAGTAGTTGGCTTTTACAAAGGGCATTTTTGCAACCTCGGCTTCGTAGACTTTTTCCCGAATCTTTAGCTCCACCTTGGTGCCAGGGGCTTTAAGGTTCTCCGCAACATAACCCATGGCTATGTTTTTTCCAGCACTGGGACTCGGGCAGCCACTGGTCACCTGTCCTACCTGCTGTCCCTGGCTAAAAATGGCCACACCAGCTCTGGCGGGAGGCGGTTTTTGCCCCAACATCTGGAGACCCACTCGGCGACGGCTAACACCGTTCTTAAGCTGGCCGAGAATCGTTTCGGATCCTGGAAAGTCCTGGGCGCTGCGACGTCTCTTCGCCACCAACCAGGCGAGAGCCGCCTCCACTGGTGTGGTCTTTGCGTCGATGTCGCTGCCGTAAAGGCATAGTCCTGCCTCCAGGCGGAGAGAGTCCCTCGCACCTAGGCCAGCCAGCTTCAAGCTGCCGCTTTCCAGAAGGGCCTCTGTTAGGTTTTTAACTTGGTTGGACTTAACGGAGATCTCCACGCCATCCTCGCCGGTGTAGCCACATCTTGTAATCCTTACGTCGGGGATACCAGCCAGTGTGGTGACAAACGATTGCATAAAGTAGACCTGGTCCAGATTCACATTCTTGTCCAGAAGTTTCGCCAGTTCTTTGGCAACCTGGGGACCCTGCACTGCCAGTAGGGATTGATCCGAGGGCGTGAGGAACTCAATACTTACATCCTTGCCTTGCGATTTGAATTTTTTCTAGAAAAGAACAAGGCCTTGTGAACTTCTGGGCCTACAATAAGAATCCTCCTTCAACTCACCACAGCCTCGCTCATTATGCCAATGTCCTGCTCCTTCATCGCAGCATTAGATACCACGTAGAGCTCCTTTTCGCTGACTTTGTTCACAATGAGGTCATCAAGAATGCCGCCCTGGTCGTTGGTAAAGACCGTAAGGGTTCCACTACCATTCACTGTGCCCAGGATGTCCGCAGTGCAGACGGACTCCAAGCAAGCAGCCGCATCCTTGCCAAAGACTCGGGTCTGCAGCATGTGGGATACATCGAAGACAGAGCCAACCTGGCGGGTGTAAAGGTGGGAGGCGATGATGCTCTGGTCGGAGTACTGCACCGGCAGGGCATAGCCTCCAAAGTTGACGATTTTGCCGCCTTTTTGCACGTGGAAGTCGTAGAGGGCGGTGCGTTGACCTTCGCCGGCGGAAGCGGAGGCGTGGCGCAGTCCGCTGAGGGCGGCGGACACTCGATTGCTAAGTCTGAACATCGCGACGGGACTAAAAACATAGAGGAAATCACATTTATGTGGCGGTACAGAAGCTGCACTAAGAGAAATTGTTTGAGAATAGTTTAACAAGAAAAAGAACCTTATCTTATACAAAGGTTAGGTATATTTCTTTAAAATTTTATACAATAAAATTTATTTTTTCTTAGTGTAATTGATAACGCCCTGACACTTTCTGACATCCGAGCGGAGATAGTAAAATATTGAGAGATTCACTGTAGAGTTTACTTAGTCAAGAGATACTCGGTGATAACCCCCCGGGGTGATTTTATAAATATTCTCGTGGATTTCAAGTCTGGGGGACGTGAAAGCAATCAGCTGAGTGGATTCCATTTTTATGGAAAAATACAATGCAATATTTAACAAAAATATAAAGATGATTAGAAAAAGCTTGCAAAGTTGAGTAAAAGAAAAAAAGATGAGAGTTTAGCTCTATCATTGAATAAGAAAGGTAGAATCTAGTTTAAAAGTCTGCCTAATTATAATAATTTATTTAAAAATTTCAGAAACGCCAAAAGGTCAATAGCTTTGAGATTTTTCCACCTGGCTACCTGCGAAAAATATGCCAAAGCAAATCGGATGTGTGCGAATATTACGCCAAACAATTTATAGGCAGTGCCAAGAACAACAAAAAGGTTTCTAAATCAAAGTCAAAAGAACTAACCTAGTTAATACACAAAATTAACATTTTTATGCCCTTAGCTACTGGAACCTTTCAACTATGAGTATTTGCTGCAAGGCGGCTCCGCCCGAGAGATAAAACACCTCCAGCAGATATGGAAATCTGGTGACTTTATTGCCTACGACTATGGACCAGTAGAAAATATGCAAATATATCATGGGGTAGAGGCTTTGGGCTATAATGTTAGCCAGATCAGTGTACCAATAATATTATATTTTGGAGAGACGGATGCTATTGCCACGCCGAGTGGGGTGCATGCCATATATGCCAAAATGTTGAAATCGGTAAAGAGTGTTAGAAGAATCGAATCGGCCAAGTTCAATCACCTGGACTTCCTTATCTCGGCCGATGTCAAAACATTGGTAACCGACAAATTAATTGGGCATCTGGAGCAGTTTCTCGAGGGCCGATTGCCGTACGTAATCGAATGACCGTCATAAAAAAAGGTGCTACTTAACATCAAAGACGTTCGTTGGGGAGTCTACAAAAAAATAAAAAAAAAAAACCCTGCTGACGATAAAAAATAATAATTGACCAGCGAAATGGTTTATTTGCCTTGGTAGCCGGCCAAAATGGCAATTATGTAACGCGGTAGCTAAATCATAAAAAAAATATTCATACAAATGTATAATTCAAAGAGTCAGTCGCCACAACTGGTCGACACTTTTACTTTCTTTGGACGGCGAACAAAAAAACGTATTTGTTGCCATTGGCCATTGTGCTGGTTTTGGCCAGCAAGGTATTGGGGTTATTGAGTAATTTCTATAGCCAATTAGTTGTTGTTGCCAAAAAAGAAAGAGGAGAACGATTGATATTTTATTCAATTTAATTGAATTATTTGTATTTTTAAAAAACAACTTTCGTTTAGAATTCTTTGACGAATAAAATATATATTTTAAAACAGAATCGTAAGAAAGCTTTATACTTTTGATGTCTTTTTTGAAAATTTATTTAAAGCAATTTCTACCCTATCCAAGCTTTACTGTAGTTGATGCACTTGATATCGCTTCCAATTACTACGCCCTACGCGTCCAAAAAATGATTACCTTTCCCCCCCTGCCTCTCCTCTCGTTTCTGGCCATATTTAATTAACTCGCCGAAAATGTAAAACGCAATCAAAAGGTAAACAAAACCAGGTAACACGTCACAGTACGCAATATTGTTGTCTGATCGAAAGTTTTTTCGAATTTCGGCATTCTTTTTTTTTTTTTTTGTTTTTTAGTTGCAGGGCCCCTGCAGAAGTATTTGTTGTTAGCCGGGCCGGCAACTCGGCCGTTGACAGTTTTCGAATTGGTCTTTAGTTGAGTTCGCGTCGCGGTGAGTTGCGGTTGAATTTTTAAAGAGATTCAGAAAAGAGGAAAGAAATCTTTCCATCCGCATCCGTAAGTTTCACTTTCGACACAAACTTTTTGGAGCGGCAATATTAAGATGCGCCAAAATCTGAGAATCCACCTGATTCTTCTGCTGGGATTGTGTGTGTTCGTGGGCAGGATACAGGGGCAGTTGATTGGCGGCGAGGAGGACGAAGAGGAGGACGAGGAGGAGGAGGAAGAGGAGGAGAGTGTCGAGGACGAGACCCTGGAGGAGCGACTGCAGCGAAAGAACATCAAACAGGACTCCACGCTGACAGTGGTAAGAAGATTAATGAGTGCACTGAGAAACAAAAAGATCAAGACACAAGCTAATAACTAAATCAATTAAAAGTGGTTTTAAATATTTAAAAAAAAAATAGTTTATTGTAATATAATTTAATTTTTAAAGTGGTATTTCAAGCGTTGCAATTGTAGTATTATTTTGTTGAGTGCCTTGTATGTCATCACACTTTTCCCAACAGGACAAATTAATTGCCAAATATGGCTACGAGGCTGAGGTTCATCACGTGACCACCGAGGACGGTTACATTCTCACCATGCACCGCATCCGGAAGCAGGGCGCCCAGCCGTTTCTTCTCCAGCACGGACTCGTGGACAGCTCGGCGGGATTTGTGGTGATGGGTCCCAATGTGAGCCTGGGTGAGTCTTCTTCCTCCTCGTGATAAATGGCCAAGTGATTACCAGGCGACCGCACTTTGCAGCCTATTTGCTGGCCGACCACAACTACGACGTTTGGCTGGGCAATGCGCGGGGTAATCGGTACTCCAGGAATCACACCACCCTTGACCCGGACGAGTCCAAGTTTTGGGACTTTAGTTGGCACGAGATCGGGATGTACGACCTGCCGGCTATGATAGATCACGTCCTGAAGGTCACGGGATACCAGAAGCTGCAGTACGCCGGACATTCCCAGGGCTGCACATCCTTTTTCGTGATGTGCTCCATGCGGCCAGCCTACAACGAGAAGGTCATCTCCATGCAGGCCATGGCCCCAGCCGTTTACGCCAAGGAGACAGAGGACCATCCCTACATTCGGGCCATTAATCTGTACTTTAACGTAAGTACGGGGATAAAAGTTAATGTAAACGGTTGAGAGGATTCACAACACCTTAAAATATCTTTTAGAGCCTTGTGGGCAGTTCCATACGGGAAATGTTTAATGGAGAGTTCCGATTTCTCTGCCGAATGACCGAGGAGACGGAGCGTTTGTGTATTGAGGCTGTCTTTGGGATAGTGGGTCGCAACTGGAATGAGTTTAACAGGGTAAAGTTCTGCAAATAATATCTTAGAATAAAAATAACAATTTTCAATTCGTTGCAGAAAATGTTTCCCGTTATCCTGGGTCACTATCCGGCGGGAGTGGCCTCCAAGCAGGTGAAGCACTTTATCCAGATCATCAAAACTGGACGATTCGCTCCGTACAGCTATAGCTCGAATAAAAATATGCAATTGTACAGGGAGCACCTGCCACCTCGGTACAATCTGAGTATGGTGACAGTGCCCACATTCGTGTACTACTCCACGAATGACCTGCTGTGTCATCCGCACGACGTGGAGGCCATGTGCGACGACCTGGGCAACGTGACGGGCAGGTATCTGGTGCCCCAGAAGGAGTTCAACCACATGGACTTTCTGTGGGCCACCGATGTGCGGAAGATGCTCTACCGAAGGATGCTGCAGGTGCTAGGAAAGGTACCAGACGATACACAGGAGGAAGGCACTTCATCCAGAGCTAGAAGGGCCATACGGAGACGTCTCTTATCCAATCCGTGATAGAGAGTTCCCCTCCGAATTCAATATTTATTTATTTATTTATTTAGTTTATGGTGTACTTAGCTTTAAATATGGAAAAGATGAGAGTATTGCATAACATTTGGCATTTTAAAGTATGCTTGGGTAGTGGCAGTGGCAGCTCTTCCACCGGAAGCGGAAGTCGACTGTTTCTTTCGCCCCACAAAGCTGTAACAGATTTCGCAGCAAGTGCAACAGCAACATCAACAAAAACAACATCAGCCAGACAGTGGAGATACATGCATTTGTAAGCAGATTTCCTGAGAGTACAATTTTCCATTTTCCCGAGCAGCTGACACCGAGGCTAAGATGTTGCCCCAACACCATTGTGCCCCCGGGGTCGACTTGGTTGCGCCTCCGGCATTTGCATTTCTGGGAAGCTAAGCTCTGCTCAGCTGCTTTTCCGTTTTTCCGCTTTCCCAGCAACACTACCACGACGTTCTAAGTGAAAAACTGTGTATAAGCCAGCGAAACAAAAATGGCACAACACCTCGATCGATAAAACTTCTGAGATACGTTTTGAAGAAGTCTTTAGCTGTCGAGACACCTTTAAAATATGAGCCCCCTAATATACTTTATTCAAGGTAATCAAAAATTTGTTTATTTGTGAAGAATTGATAGGCAAGATATTAATTTTTCACTTCTACGATTTACGTAAAGGGCCAATGTCGTCATAACTAACGATGCTAATTTTATCGAGCTATGATTAGGCAAATTAATTACTAAAAATATCTACAGAAAATCAACGCGTTTTAGTGTGTTTTCAAAATACACTTACAATAATAAATGAAAGGCAGCTTAATAATAACAAATATGAAGAACCCCTTTTTTTTAATAATTAAAATTCTCAAAGTATTCTTTGAATTATCTATATATCATTTTAAATTATCTCTTATCCATCTTAATGAAACAATATATTTATGTTTCTTCTGAGTTTTAAATAAATAATACCCACATCTTCTATATTTTTAAAATAGAGTTGAAAGAATGGCCCCAATAGTTTGTAGCCAGCACGTGCTGTATTTTCGGTCTCGGGTGAATCCCCTAACTCGTCTACCTACAAAATAAATGTTGATAAATGTTTTTGAGGTTGTCATGCTTCTTTTTCGTGAATTAATTAGCAATATAATCGTCACCAATAAATGTTTAATAAATACAGTCAAACTTCTTTAATCAAACTATTTTCATTTTTTTTTTCGAAAAAGTTTCTATAGTTTTTCTGAGTCTGAGAGTATTTTTTACACATAGAGCTTATTTATTTAAAAAAATTAAGATTTCAGATAATTTAAAAGTTACTAAAGTTTGTGCTGAAATAAAGAACTCTTGTGTTAGAGTTTGAGTTAAATACTTCTCACTACTGAATAAATATTTGGCATCTAGTTTCATTTAACTAAGCTTTACTGTAACCGTTCTAACGGCTTTGCTGTTAGGCGTAGGTCGTCTCTATAAAAGCTCATCATTTCGCGGAAAGTCGTCAGTGAATTTTTGAAAATGGTTCCCACGGGATTGCTTGTACTTCTGGCTGCCTGCTGTGTGTCGCAGACATCCGCAGGATTCGGATTTGGACTGGGAGGCGGAGGATCTTCTGCCCAGGCCAGTCTTCCGGGCTTGGGTCTCAGCGGCAGCTACAACGGTGGTGGAGGAGGATTGTTTGGAATCGGTGGCAATCAAAATGCTGGATCCGCAGCCCATCAAGCCGCAAACGGACTCCTGGGAGTGGCGGGCGCTGGTGCCAACGCTTTACATCAAGCAGGAGCTGCAACAGCTTCCCTTGGGGCTCAGGCTGTCAAGGAGACCGCCAATGTGGCATCCACTGGAGCAGCTAATCTCCACCAAGCTGCCTCTGGTACATCCCACTCTGGTTCTGCTTCGATTGGAGCTGGGAATTTGAACGTCAAAACATCCGGAACAGGATCTGGACTTACTATTAGTGGATCTCACAATTCAGGAGCTGCTGGATCGGCGGCTCATCAAGCTGCTAATGGACTACTCGGAGTTGCAGGAGCTGGTGCCAATGCCATACATCAGGCCGGAGTTGCCACAGCTTCCCTTGGAGCTCAGGCTGTCAAGGAAACCGCCAATGTGGCTTCCACTGGAGCTGCTAATCTCCACCAAGCTGCCTCTGGTACTTCCCACTCTGGTTCTGCTTCCTTGGGATCAGGACACTCGGGATCTGCCTCCATTGGAGCTGGCAACTTGAACATTAAAGCCACAGGATCCAATGCGGGACTGTCTGTTAGTGGATCACATAATGGTGCATCTGCAGCGCATCAAGCTGCAAACGGAATCCTGGGAGTGGCAGGAGCTGGGGCCAATGCTGTACACCAGGCAGGATCTGCCACTGCTTCCCTCGCAGCTCAGGCGGTGAAAGAAACCGCAAATGTGGCCTCCACCGGAGCATCTAACCTCCACCAAGCTGCCTCAGGTACTTCTGGTTCTGGATCTGCTTCGACTGGAACTGGTCATCTGAACATCAAAACCTCTGGAACAAACGCTGGACTTACGGTTAGTGGAACTCACAACTCAGGAGCGGCTGGAGCAACGGCTCATCAAGCTGCTAACGGCGTACTCGGAGTAGCAGGAGCTGGTGCCAATGCCATACATCAGGCCGGAGCTGCCACAACTTCCCTTGGAGCTCAGGCTGTCAAGGAAACCGCCAATGTGGCTTCCACTGGAGCTGCTAATCTCCACCAAGCTGCCTCTGGCACTTCCCACTCGGGTTCTGCTACCCTGGGGGCTGGACATTCAGGCTCTGCCTCTATTGGAGCTGGACACGTGAGTATTGGAGCCTCTGGAACAACTGCCGCTGAGACTGCAAAGATTAGCGCCGGACATGGAGCCGCCCACTCAGGATCAGCCTCGATTGGAGCTGGTCATGTGAGCATCGGAGCCTCTGGAAATACTGGATCGGACTCCTCCAAAACCAGTGCTGGCCACGCCAAAATCGAAGCCACATCGGGCTCCTCAGGTGCTAAGATCACTGCAGGTAATGTGAACACCCATTCTACGGAAATCAAGGGATCTGCAGGACATCATGCTGTCGGAGCAAGTGAATCTGGCTCAACGCACACTTCGTCTAGCTATCACAAATCCGAGTCCTATAAGGTCAGCTCCGGACACTCGACCATTCAGTCTTCCAGTACCATGAAAACCACGTCCGGTAGTGCTACCATTGGCACTGGCAGCTCCGCTAATCAGGGATCAAGTGCGGGACACTTAACTATTGGTTCGACTGGCTCTTCTTCCGGCGCTCTGCAAGCTCAATCCTCTAAAGTAAACTCGGGACATGTCAGTTCTGGATCTGGACATTTGAGCATTGGACATACTGGCTCTTCGAAAAACCAGGGTTCTACTGCAGCTTCTCTTGGATTAGGATCCGCGGCTACTGTTATCGGTGCCCATCAAGCCGCTCATGATGTCGCCCATGGTGTTGCTCACGGAGTCGCCAATGGAGTCCTGGGAGCAGGAACATCAAAGGGCTCTTCAGGTTCGGCATCTCTGAATATTGGATCTGCTGGAAGCTCCAAGGGATCTTCTGGCTCGGGTTCGGCATCATTGGGATCTTCATCTGGCCACTTGAGTATCGGTTCTACCGGATCATCTACCGGTCACTTGAGTATTGGAGCCTCTGGAAACCAGGGTTCCAGTGCAGCTTCTCTCGGATCAGGATCCGCAGCTACTGTGATCGGAGCCCATCAAGCCGCTCATAATGTCGCCCATGGTGTTGCTCACGGGGTCGCCAACGGAGTTCTGGGAGCAGGAGCGTCTGCTTTGTCGCCATTGTCGCCTGTTGGATCGGGAAGTGCATCCCTAGGGTCCAATGGAGGATCTATTTCCCTTGGAGGTAACTCCCAAGGCACTCAGGGATATCATAAGGGAAGCGTTAGTCTGGGTAGCAACGGACTCAGCCTTGGCGGCAATTTAGGTGGCCACTCTGGAAGCGCTGGAATCGGACTCGGTGGTGCCCATATTGGGGGATCCATCAACCGCAGAGCAGGTCTTTTCCTGGGATAGTTTTAGATCTCTGATTACTGAAATTAACTTAAAACTTTATTAGTATTCATTAGTTTTGTAACTTGATTTCTAAAACCACTTTTAAGATTCTTATTTCTCTGTTAGAATCCAGTCAATAAAAATATAAAATTAAAATATAGCTTGTTTAATGTTTATAAAACCTATTAACTACAATGTGGTAGCGTAAATAAATTCATATTTAAAGCGAAAACATTTCCAATGGTGTTGGAAATTAAAAGTTAAAGCATTTAAGTTTTCTATATGGAAAAAAAATACAACAGGCACTTTTTAATTGTTCGTTCCAGACATATGAGTAATTTTATATAATTCATTACCTTTTAATTTCGATTGTATTTTAATCTATGAAGGTAGAGTGACGTAGACCCTTGGGTCAATGGCGCAACCAAGGAACGCCTTCGAATATCATTTGAATCGAAATCTAAATCTAATCTCGGCCGAGTCAAGAGTCAATGCAGTATTTTCCAACGCAAATGATTATTAAAATTGTTTACATAAGATTCAGTGAATAATATAGGTTTTTTTTTTCTAACGAGCAGTAGATGCTCTATTGAGGTTCTATTTTTTTCCACTTTTGGACCAACTACATGGTTTTTTTTGGAGAAGATCAATTAACTTTTGTGGTTTGGACTTCAAGAAAAAAATCTAAGAAATCCAACAGCTAAGATCATCGATCATGATAATTCATCTCCCGCGGTTTGGATATTGTTCGAAAGCATTACATTATTTTTAGGGTAGAATGTACTTTCCTGTACACAATAAATAATATTTTAGAACTAATGAAACTCGTTATTGTTCTCTACGGGAGCTATTTACACAATACAACAAAATTAAGATGGTGCAATAATTTAAGATAAACAAAATGACAATAAAAACGCTTTAATTTAAACATATATGATAGACATTAATAATTAGCATTTATTAATATATCTTTTTAAAATTTTTAAGATACAGATTAATCTTAAAAAAAGTATCTGAAGCTTAGTGCTTTCTTTGTTTTTGCCTGGAATGACCCTAGGATCCCATCAATTGAAACGTGACTAGGTTCTGTTATTTTTTTCGCAATATGTGCGATTTTTTTCGCGAGAACTTTTTGTTTGTGTTATTTACGAGATTTTGCACGGCGGACTCTTATAAAAGCCGAGCTCCCTCTAGGGAACCCAGTTAGTGATCTAACGGCAAAGGTTCCGATGCGACTCTTCGTAGTGTTTAGTGTTTGTGTGGCGATGGCCTCCGCCGGCGGTTATGGAGGTGGTGGAGGCGGTTATGGAGGTGGAGGAGGAGGTGGTGGAGCAGGAGGACACGCATCGTCCTCCGCTTCTGCATCCGGCGGAGCAATTGGAGGATCAGGAGGCCATGGATCTGGAGGCCTTGGAGGTGGCGCCGGCGGTTTTGGCGGCGGCCTTGATAGCGGCTTCGGTGGAGATGGTGCCGGTGCTTCATCGAGTGCAGGAGCCTCTGGTGGTGGACTTGGAGGAGGTCTAGGCGGAGGATCGATAGGAGGTCCCTTTGGAGGCGGTGGCCACTCAGGTGGAGGAGGCGGACACTCCGGTGGAGGAGTTATTTCCGGAGGAGGAGGCGGACACTCCGGTGGAGGAGGACTAGTTGGAGGAGGAAGCATTGGAGGAGGTCCCTTCGGTGGAGGTTCCATTGGAGGAGGACATTCCCCTGGAGGCGGAATCGGTGGAGGTCCAGGAGGCGGCTTTGGAGGCGGTGGAAGCTCAGCATCGTCATCTGCCGGGGCTATCGGAGGTGGTCATGGATCCGGTAAGCCCGGAGGTGGCTACTCTGGAGGAGGTGGAATCGGCGGTGGTGGATTTGGACCGGGAGGTGGACACTCCGGAGGAAATGGAATCGGTGGTGGATTCGGACCAGGAGGTGGCATCGGAGGCGGATTCGGACCTGGTGGTGGAATCGGCGGTGGACACGGAGGACCTGGTGGAGGTGGACACTTTGGTGGCGGCTTAAGCGGAGGTGGTAAACATAAAGGCCACGGAGGCGGCGGCTTTGGAGGCGGTCCTGGCGGGGGCTTTGGAGGAGGTCATGGAGGAGGTGGCGGCTTTGGAGGAGGCGGCTATGGAGGCAGTCTTGGAGGCGGAGGCGGCTATGGAGGCGGTCCTGGAGGCGGTGGCGGCTATGGAGGTGGTCCTGGTGGCGGAGGCGGCGGTTATGGAGGTGGCGCCCACTCGAGTGCATCTGCAACGGCCAGTGCGTCCGCGGGTTCCGGAGGTGGATACCATGGCTAGACTTGTTACCGATACTCAACCATTCCTCAATAGATTCAAAGTATTACAAACGAATTCAATAAACAAGTTCTGAAAAAACTAAACTGTGAAAGAGATCTATGCGTTTTTAAAAGTTTTGGTTATTTATTATTTATATATTCTAGAGCCCCAAGTTTTCAGGAAACTCTGCTCAGTATTTGGAGCCAATCCGAAGGAGGCTTAAGCATGAAAACCTCTTATAAATCATCTCGAGCTAGTTGCATTAAAAGTTTCCTTGACGACTTGTTAATAAGTAGCCCAAGCCAAAAGTCGCGAAACATCTGAAATATTAAACACATTTTCGATTAAAGCAGCTGTCGACCGTGAGGATTTCGCGGTGAAAAACTTTACTTACTTTGGCTCCTGGAAAATCTGGCATGCAAAGTTTTCATCAAAATTAATGGCCTATTAGAACGGGGAACGAGACCCACGGATGGTATTAGCCCCAAACCGAAGACATTGATGCCACTCATGGTCATATAAATCTTTTAAATGGCCAAGGCAGACTCTACGGCTCTTCTTGAATTTTATGTGTCCCCCACAAACATTTATCATTAAGTAAAGTTTTACTATTGCAAATTGTTGCGCACAATGGCAACAAATTGAAATCTTAAGCAAGCTCCTTTGCCTTAGCCAGAAAGTGCAGTTTTATTGCCAAAGGAGCCGGCTGCATCTGGAGTCTGGACCACGGCCATAAACTCCGAGACCAATTTGCACAAGGACGATGAACCCCTGTGGTGCAGTTTTGCAACATAAAGGCGGAAGTGGGGTCGCAGTCTGTTGGCGGTTTGCCACAGAGTCTCTGTCGCTAGTTGCCACCAGTGGTGGGCAGTAATATATTTAAACTTAATATCTATATTAATGTTATGATACTTAAATATTTTTTTGAATTATAGTAAGAACGTAAGAAAGTAGAAAAATTATATGAAAATGTTATCTTTTTTTAAAGTAGTTTAAACTCTTAGTCTAGAAAAGAGCCAAAAGGATATCTCTGACTGCCACTGCAACAGTTGCTGCCTCTGGTGTTGCCTTTTCCTTTGCCTTTGTCGATCTGACAATATTGCCGGAGAGCTCTTTGTTTGCTGCAATTTATGTTAGGCAATAAAATAAATGTGAAATGTTTATCAATGTTTTGGAATATTTAACCTTTCTGAAGCCCTTATCTCATCACAGGTAGAGCCTCAAAGCAGGCAATATCTCTGAAAGGCCTGACCCTGCCAATTGTATAAGCCGAGCCCGAGAGTAGGCAATACATTTTGGCGCTGCTCCATGAGAGCCAGCATTTTAATTAAAATTAAATAATTCAGATTGCATATCACGTATTCGTATTGATATCATGGCTGGTCGCCAAATGGTTTTCTGGTCAGCTCGCTTTGTTCATTAGCCCGGCGGCCGCATAATTGAAACGTTTGCACTGCCGGCGCGGGTAATTCAATTTGCGAATCGGCGACGTCGAGTGGAAAAACTATGGAAATATGGCAATAACAATGAGAGACCGGCTAAAATGGGAAATATTACAGCGCAAGGATTGTGTTTGGGTTTGCGTGTGGAAATGTGTGTGCGTGTTTACATAATTAACATGACGTTCATTAGTTGGCATTTTAATATTATTTTATGTTGTCATGGACGAGGCTTTGGTCATGTGCCTGCCCGCTGGCAAATGTGATAATATTCATTTCGGCCAAGCTCAAATTATTTCAAATTGATTGATTTTAATAAACAAATATTTGCAATTGGAGTTCATTATTAAAGTACTCTCGTTATTTATTTATAGAAATGCCCATCGAAGCTTGGGCAGTTATTCAGAAAGCCAAAAAAACTACCTAATTGGTGGATCCCTTTCGATACTGCGCCATTTTATGATAATTTATCAAATAATGTTCACAATATCATTCCAAGAAAAATTATCTAATGACAAATAGTTCAGACTTATATAAATGCCCACAAAAAAGCCTCATCAATATTTGGTAAAAAAAAAAATAAATGAATATTCCAGGGGCCCGACCGGTTTCATTAGGCGATTATGTTACGAATATTTTGCATAAGTTTAGATGTCAAATAAATGCGGATTTTTTTTTAATTCGAGAGGGTTATTTAAATTGACCATTAAAGGACTTCCCCTGGTCAATTTTGTTTAACAAAAATCACCGACCTATTTGCTAATTGGCTTTTCACAAACGCGAATCGGAAAACCCCTTCGGATATGAGTCGCTAATCGTCACTCACATGCCTCCGATTTGGTCCAGAATAGGGAGTTCAAAGATTGGTATGACGACACCGAAACCGGTTATCCCATATTTTGTTTATATTCTATATAGAAATTATTTTTGCGCCCGTGTTGTTGTTAATTAACAATTGGCAGTCAACGAATCTCTAAAATCTCGTTCTCTGCGCATGAGAGATTTTATTGTTATGGACCGTCAAAACTCTCAGATCTCTACGAGATCTTGAGATATGGGGTTTTTGCGATTTGCAATTGTATGATGTATCATTAATCTGTGTGGTTTTTTGTTTGCTAATGATTGGTGTAAACATTTTACTTTGCTTGTAGATACTAAACAGCAAATAGTCATGAATGAGAGATTTCACTATACTGCTATTGCCAGTTGTAAATATATCTATGATCGTGTCAAGCTTATTTGTTTTACTGAAACTGATATCTGATACCTGACATTAAATGGAACTAATCTACGGTGTATGATTTTACTTTGAGATACTTCACGTGCTTGTTGTTTTTTTAAGTAAAGTCTTTCACTTTATAAGCTTTATGGGTCAGTTAAAGACGACTGCCGCGATCGTAGCCAAACACAATCTGCGTCGGACTGAATCGTTTGTTCAGAATGATCGCGAAAGTGATCTGGTGTGATATCACCAATTTCAACTGCCCCACTCCACCCAAGTTTCGTGCTTTTGAAAACAACGCCATCGAAACCGCTTTCGGTTAAACAAAAACCAGATAAAGGGGAATAAACTCTTCAAGATGAACTTGTCAGATGATCGGCATTAGAAAAAATCTTAAACAGCATGGAGTACTCTTGATATTGGTGGGGAACTACGCAGATCAGGAAGAGCCAAAAATCGAATGGGTATGTAAACAAGATAGCCGGCTTCTATTGCAAACATAGAGCCACTCGCACCTGGGTCACCAGTTGGGCGTGGGTCGATAATTATACGTTTTCAAAACGAAGTGTGTGTTGGGATTCACCCGGCAAACAAAACCACCTTTGCTTTAAATACACTGATCAACCAATGTGTAAATTATGATTTGTGACGCATATAAATTTAAGTGTTATTAATTAGTAATTATTTTAAATTATTCCTTTTAGTTTATAGGACTTTCGCATTAGAAAAATGTCATAAAAATATAGAAAACTAAATAATTTGTTAGCCCGTGTAATTGAATTTAGACGTAAATGGTTTAAAATAAAAACAAAAACCGGTAGGTGACCGCCTCAAAAACCAAAATCATTTATCACAGCCACATCGTCTCATATCGTTTTGATTTTGACGCTCTGGAGTGTGTTGGTTATTTTTCGGACAATGCACGCGGTATAAATACTTAAGCGGCTCCTCCGAGAGGCTGTCAGTTCCAGTCCACACTAATCAGAGATCAGACATTAAACAAACGTCCCAGAAAAAGTCTAACATGAAGACCTTGATTGTGCTTGCCCTTCTGATGGCTGCCGTGTCAGCCATGCCGCAGTTTGGATTTGGAGGCCCAGGATTTGGAGGTCCTGGATTTGGAAGACCAGGATTTGGAGGACCCGGATTTGGAGGACCTGGTTTCGGTGGAGGCTTTGGTGGCGGTCCATATGGTGGTTATGGAGGTGGACCCTATGGCGGTGGCTTCGGCGGCGGACCCTATGGCGGAGGCTTCGGCGGCGGACCCTATGGCGGTTTTGGAGGCGGCGGAAGACGTCATCACGGACATCGTGGTGGTGGTGGTGGCGGTGGTGCTGCATCGGCAGCCTCATCCGCCAGTGCTGCTGCTGCAGGAGGTGGTGGCGGAGCAGCTTCTGCTTCAGCTTCTGCATCGGCCTCAGCTAGCGGCGGTGGAGGCGGATTCTACGGCTAGAAGTCGTAAATATATATTTAGTTTAAGTTAAGTTATTAAAAGTTATGAAGAAGTCTGAATAAAAATGTTTTGAAAACTTAAAAAATGGTTGTTTTTGAATAAGTAGAATAAATTTGAAAGAGCATAAATAATTAAGCATAAGCATAAATAATTGTAATAAACAATCATAAGAACAATAGTCTAGTCCTTCGTTATTAAAATACTAAAGAGTAGTTTTTGATTAAAAATTTTGCAATGTCAAACTATATTTGTGCTAGAAATATTTACAGCGTATTTTCTTCAATAATACTGCATTCAATAATCCAGTACACCTGGTATGAGTACTGCTTGTTTTCGTCTATTTGTATTTCAACTATTTCACTATTTCTAATTCTGCATCATCCATGCCGTCAGTTTTCGATTGGGAATCATATGCATAAAATTGCCGTTAATATATGCATATAAGTCGAGAGAATGAATAAAAATAGTTGCACATAGGTTTGATATCGTTAACAAATTTTATACGGTGAGAGGCTTTGAGCTATGTGACTCACAAATTCCCTTTAGCATGAATTGTTAAGATCACAATGACACACATTTTTATATGCAATAGGGATTCCCCTTGGTCGAGTCCACTTACTATTGGTATCCTTTCTTTTTCTTAAGTGTCTTTTAGCTTCAAATCAAAAAAATAAATTTAAATATCTAATTTTCATGATATCGTTTTTACTCGTTTCTTGTTAATTGTATTAATTAGAATAATTAAGCTCTTGATTTTTACCAAATACCAGTTTCATCAATTTATTCGGCACTTATGGAAATCCTAAACAAACAAACATATTAAAAGTTGCAAATTGCAAAAAAAATACAAAAAAAGAAAGAAATCAAATTTAAATGATAAAGCAGTTTAGTTGAAGCAAAAACGATTTTAGCATAAATTAATCCGGACACTAAAATCAGTCATCTGTTTCGAAAAAAAAACAATGGAGAAATGGAATCGTATTTTATTTGGAGATGCGAAAACGGGAACTAGTTCTATTTTGTAAAATAAGCATTATTATAAACTTCATTAAACATTATTTATATAATAAACTTTATCTTGTAAATCCCCCAACATGATACATTTTTCCATTTATTGTAATTGAATTCATTTTGATTAAAATAATTTGGCGAGATTGGGCTTGTAAATATATGGTTTTTATTTTCCATATATCTGTTTTATTTGAAAATTTAAGAACCCAATCTCTATCAAATTATAGTCTTAATTATGTTTACTTTAGGAAACCAAAAATAGTTAATCTCTGACATCACTGAAGACAAAATAAATTAAAAGACGCGTTTATGGTTCAAAGTCTGGTAGAAGGGGGCGCGTCTGGGGTGCTTGGGATTATCTTGAGAGACTTGAGATTAACCGGTTGCAGCGGGGGATCCGAAAAGCCGGCACTTTGTAGAGTAGAGCTCGATAGCCGCACGCCCCAAACCTGCTAATGAGCCGAGCGATAAATATATTTGTCATTTCGTTCGGTTTGTTTTCTATTTGTTGCTGTTTTCTGTCCGATCTTCGAGTTCCCGGTACACTGCCGGGTGGATCACCGCCATAGCCGAGTAACGTTCCCTCTTCGGTCCGGAACTAAATAAAAGGCGATCCCAGGCGGTGCAGCGGACAAGTTCGTGGATCACAAGCGAAGCGGCAACATCTCAACATGAAATTATTTATCGCGGTCTCCGTTCTGGTGGCGGTGGCATCCGCCCTGCCACAGTTTGGTGGTGGCAATGCCAATGCTAATGCCAATGCCAATGCTAATGCCCAGGGTGGCGGATTCGGAGGTCGTCCAGGATTTGGAGGCGGTCCAGGATTCGGAGGAGGTGGATTCGGTGGTCGCCCTGGATTCGGAGGAGGCGGATTCGGTGGTGGTCCTGGATTTGGAGGTGGCGGATTTGGTGGACGACCAGGATTCGGAGGCGGTCCAGGATTCGGAGGTGGTCCAGGATTCGGAGGCGGCCCAGGATTTGGTGGTCCAGGATTCGGAGGACGTCCCGGTTTCGGGGGCGGAGGTGGTGGTGGCTCTGCCTCTGCTACATCCTCGTCCTCAGCCTCAGCCGGTGGTGGAGGACGCGGGGGCGGTGGCTCGGCTTCCGCTTCCTCTTCCGCATCTGCGGCTGCAGGCGGCGGTGGTTTCGGCCGTGGTTAAGGCATCTTCCATTGGCTATACATAGATAAGAAATGACTGTGAATAATAATAAAATAAATAATAATTATAAATTGGTTCTAATTCATTTTCCAGAGTGGGGAAAGTCGGGTTTTTTTGTGGCACCAAGCGTTTGCAATGATTCTGTGTAATTCCATGTGTGGATCTTTGTATTGATTTTGTTTCAAAAAGTTTTTTACATATAACCGGCAGGGAATAAAGTTGACATAAGTACGTTGGAGAACTACCCCAAGCCCCACATTGCATTTAAAATATATATTTTAGCTAACTATAAACTCTTATGCTGTAACTAATTTTAAATATTGATTTTTTTTTGGATTTGATTTTTATACAATGACCACATTATAATGGATAGTCGTGAATATGGACAATTTTGACAAAAAATGAACTGCCATATATAAAAAAATGTTTAAAAAGAGCATGACTTGTTTCTTAGCCGTGGTTGAAGATCCTAATCATGAGTCGATCAACACATTGCTTTTTTTATATATTGGGTAAAAGTCCGTATAGTTTTGAGCGAAGCTGTACATATACACTTTCTGGGGTCATGAACTGCTTCTTCTTTATGATAGAGACCTTACGAGTACCAAGTGTATCGCTACCAATAGTAAGAATATGACATTATTGTTTAAAAATTAATGGCTTTGAAATTGGATCACGCTCTTTGCTTTATTTTACCAGACCCTTTGCACGTCCACCGTTTAAATTAAAATTTCTAATTCGATAACCCGCAAGCTCAATTAATTTGCATTTTGGATATATTATAGTTTTAATCCAAAACAAACTTCTTCCAATACCTAAAAGTTATGTAAATTTTATGGGGGCTTGTGTGGCGCTAAATTAGAAAAACGAGCATATGAAAACATATTTTCTGATAGAATGGAATAAATTGGAATTGATAGTCGTAGAAGGAAGCGCTATAAAATGTGTTAACATAAACCAGATGTAACTCATTTCAAAATCGTATTGAATATTTTAACAAATCTACTGAAAAAAAATTGCCACAAGAAATGTTTTAAAAATAAATTATCTCAATTTTTGGAGGGTATAAAATTTTATTAAAAAAATAACTAGAATATTATTATAATTGTTTTTATAATGTAATATAATATAATGCAATTATAATTAAAACCTTTAATATTACATAAATATATAATTTGAATTTAAGTTTCTCAATATTCTAATCATTTTAAATTGTGATATATTATAAAATTCGGAGCGGAATGATAAAAGTTTTAATTTAAAAAAAATTTTAAGAATCAAAAACTTACTATAAACCGCAAACATTTATAAATGTACATACATACATACTTTGTATTATATTATATATGTATGTATTTGTACATATGTATCATATATGTTTGTATTTGCAGTATCTAGGCAAAAGCTATGATAATTAACTGGCATAGCATCGTTTCCCGTCTAGATGACGGAGCCAAAATAATAAAAAAAAAACAGTAATGGTTTAATGAAATATAAACAAAAATATTAAGAATCACTTAAAAATTGATAGCAGGAAACCGGTTCCTTAGGAAACCACCACGAATTCGGCTCGTGTTGGTCTAAAGGCATTTGCAAACTTTCCTCTGAGCCATTGCATTTCATTATTCGTCTGTCTGTGTCGATTTTTATCTTTGTCTACTTCTATATCTTTGCGTGTATTTATTTTTAAGACACATAGATACATTTACCTATGTATGTGTGTCTCTCTCTAGCCACATCTGGCTTTGCCCAGTTCCCCGAGATCAGAGGTTTTTTTTATCGGCAATGACTATTGTTCGTATGCTAATTTTTTTTTTGACTGCCCATATTTTTTGGCGTCTGCCAGCCGTCTGCCTAATATATAAAAGTCGGGCCCTGCAGCGTTTATAGTTAAGTTAGTTCAGTTACTCCGAACAATCATGAGGGTCTTCGTAGTTCTCGCCGTGATCTTGGCTGTGGCCACCGCCGCGCCACAGTTTGGCGGAGGCAATGCCAATGCCAACGCTAATGCCAACGCCCAATCCGAAGGACAAGGTGGATTCGGTCGTCCAGGATTTGGAGGAGGTCCAGGATTTGGAGGAGGTCCAGGATTTGGAGGAGAGCCAGGATTTGAAGGAGGATTTAACAGAGGTCCAGGTGGATTCGAAGGCCCTGGAGGTCCAGGAGGATTCGGAGGAAATGGAGAAGGTGGATTCCGAGGTCAAGGTGGATTCGGAGGTCAAGGTGGATTCGGAGGTCAAGGTGGATTTGAAGGCCCTGGAGGTCCCGGTGGATTCGGAGGCAATTCCAACGCTAATGCCAACGCTGTCGCCAACGCCGAAGGCAACGGATTTGGTGGTGGTAATGCAAATGCTAACGCTGACGCCAACGCTAATAGCCGTGGAGGTGGTAATGCTGAAGCCACCGCAAGTGCCACTGCAAATGCATTTGGCAAATAAATAAGGACAGTACGAATTTTTATTAAAAAATAGTTTTTTAATATTTAAAGAAAATAAAAACATAAAAAACGTTAGCGAGTATTTCCTTAAATCTTTAAAAGTGGCAAACTATTTCCACCAAATATTTGCCAAATATTAATATGGAATAATAAAAAATAAGTACGAAAAATTTTTTTTTTTTATAAAACCATCTACCGTTGTCTAAAATGAAATGCAATTTCTTTCAAATGAAAGAAGAAAAAGAACAAGAAGTTCCAAAGCGCCTATCAGTGAGCCAAGTTTGACCAATTCGTCACATTTTCGGCATATTTAAAGGCTTTGAGTTTTTGAAAGAACATTGAAATGCAATATTGAAATTAAAATAAAACATGTATACATAGTTAAATACATAGTATACATAGAAGTTAAATAAATTTAAAGATTTTAACAAAAAAATTATACGCTATATAATAAACACATTATAAACAGTCAAGAAAAACAGAGTCTATATGAAAATCATGTTTTTCACTTTTATGTTTAGTGGTTAAACAATTATTATAATGCCAGAGTAAAAACCCTATTTTAACTCTCTGCGGAGCCAAGAGCCGTCGTAGGTTCAAAAAGGGCCCAATGCAATATTTTATTGGAAGCGCATTGGCATGGTAGGGGCGGGCTGATATCACCCCCATTTACATCTAGGGACTTAAAATGTGAGAAATTCCATTTTTATCTTTCCGTTGGCTATGCTATCTCTTTTTTGGCCGATATATAAGTGCAACCGTAAGCTGTAGCCGTTTAAGAACTCCAAGACCCTCGCTGACGAGTTATAGCCGGATTTCAGCGCGGGCAGGGTTACCAGTTTGCCAGAGCACCAGCTAAACGTTTTTCGTCTACAGTCTATCCCTCTCTAGTCAAATACCCGAGATCTGAGGTTTCTTTTCGGTAGTGACTTTTGTTTGTATGCTAATTTTTGTTCGACAGCCCATTTTTTTTGGCATCTGCCGGCGTCTGCCTTGTATAAAAGCCGGGCCCTGAGGCGATTATAGTTAAGTTAGTTCAGTTACTCCGAACAATCATGAAGGTCTTCGTAGTTCTCGCCGTGATCCTGGCTGTGGCCACCGCCGCACCACAGTTTGGCGGAGGCAATGCCAATGCTAACGCTGCGGCCAACGCCCAATCCGAAGGACAAGGTGGTTTCAGAGGTCGTCCTGGAGGTCAAGGTGGATTCGGAGGCCCTGGAGGTGGATTCGGAGGCCCTGGAGGTCCAGGAGGATTCGGAGGCCCTGGAGGTCAGGGTGGATTCGGAGGCCCTGGAGGTCAGGGTGGATTCGGAGGTCAAGGTGGATTCGGAGGTCAAGGTGGATTTGGAGGCAATTCCAATTCCAACGCTAATGCCAACGCTGTTGCCAAAGCCGAAGGCAACGGATTTGGTGGCGGTAATGCAAATGCTAACGCTAACGCCAACGCTAGTAGCCGCGGAGGTGGCAACGCTAACGCCAATGCTAACGCAAGTGCCTCTTCCAATGCATTTGGCAAATAAATAAGGATAGTACGAATTTTCCTTACGAACTAGTTTTCTAATATTTAACGAAAATAAAAACATAAAAAACTTAAGTGAGTGTTTTCCTAAAATCTTCAAAAACAGCCACAATTTCTAGCAAATATTCGACAACTATAAATTAGAAACAATAAAAAATAAGTAAAATAAAAGATTTGTATTTTAATAATACCGTTTTCTAAAATGAATTGCAATTTCATTTGCTAAAATGAAACCTGTTTTCTGACATGCACTCTGTTCGTGATCCAGTAGTTCTATGTTTGTTAAAATATTTAATGCCATCTTTCGAAAACTTAACTTTGCGCTTCACGAAATTCGCGAAATTTCACCAAAAATTAATCTTTTGTTTTTAGAAATTTTATATTTTTTTTTTATTTTGATTTGATTTGATTTTATGTTTTGGTTTTTGAATATGTTATATGTTTTTTCTCTTTTTATTTGTTCATAATTTTGATGATAAACTTTCAAATGAATTCTATTTTGTTCGATTGGTCTACTTTCTATTCTATTCCATTATCATTAACTTGATAAAGAATAAGCATATAATGTATAATCAAATGCTTCTCTGTTGACCAAAACAATAATTATGCAAATAAAATGGAAATAATCTGAACAAATCAAAGCCATAAATATGTCCAAAAAAACCTGTTCCTTGCCAAAATGCGGCTACTGTTGGTATCAGACAGATGGTGACTTTTAATCAGATAAATATAGCGGCTTTTTAGGGGCTTTTGAAAATTTCGATTGACGTCATATCGTTTATAAAATATTCAAAAATTATGCGGAGAGAAGCTATCAGTGATGTTTTAATTATTTATTCAGCAATACTACTTTTCTTTGAGTATTTTTTAGCAGATGTTATGCATTATATATTTTGATGACTTTTTAAGTTTCTTCTGAGGCAAAAAATCGTTTACCTTCGCTGTCAAGTTGTTATAATCAGGTGCGTTCCAATAAAACCAGTAATCTCCCATAATTTTGAAATTATGCAAAATAAACCAAGGGAAACGCCAATGAAAACGCAAAAAACAAGCTTTTGTTTCCGTAAACATAAGTTTATTTGAACATTTTGTGGGTATCGTTTTAATGAAGAAGGCTCGTCAGAAGACGTGCCTACTTTTTCCATCTTTTGGGATTCCATATTTAAGTCCTCGCAGGGGCAAATCGCTTAACCCCGGTAGTGGCCACCGCCACCACCGCCTCCGCTTGAAACTGCGCTAGCTTGTGCATTGGCCGTAGCCGAGGCTGGTCCTCCACGGCCATCAGCAGTGGCCTGAGCGTTTGCGTTGGCATTAGCAGAGGCACCGCCACCGCCGTATCCACCGCCACCGCCGCCACCATGTCCTCCAAAGCCACCGGGAGCAGCCTGTACGGCCACCAGGGCGAAGAGCAGGAACAAGCACAGAGCCAGGAACTTCATCGTATCGATATTTCGATGACTCTGAACGTGTGCCAGCCTCTTTTATACAAGCCGACACAACAGGTGGATCAGACTTGTTTCCATTTATTTTTTATTATTTATAATTTTTATGAGGTTTATTTCTCATTAAAATTGCATATACAGGGGGGTTCCGTTTAGCACACAAATTAGACATATATTAGAAACGCGTGACGTTTTATATTTTTTGTGCTAATATACTAGAGTATGTACTACCACATGAAAACTGGTTGTCTTTGGGTTAATTTCACCATCGAAAGCAATCAAATGAAGCCTATTTATGGGCTAAAATAGAATCTGTGCACTTCACTGGGGCCATAGTGTCCTTCTCATATAATTTAAATATTTTTGGAAGTCCCAACAGAAAATTTTACACAAATAGAAATAAAAGTGTTGTTCCTAGGTTTATGCATATTTATAGAAATATAGAGTAACCACTACGGGCCATATTGTCCTTCTCATGTATTCTTAATATTTCTAATTGACAAAATTTGTTTCAATAAAAAAATTAAGCTTGATGGAGAATCAATCTACAAATCGTTTGAAGTATGACTATCTATCTAAGATTACTTTCGTAAGGTTACTATAGTAAGATTACTATCTTACTAAGTATTACTATAGAATCGGATGTTTATTGAGAATCATTTTGAATCAGATCAGATAGGGATCAATCTAAAAATTGTATAAGGTATTCCGCTTGAAAGTCGAGTCTTTATTGGCCGACATATGGCCTTCGTTGAGGACCATATTCACCACCCCATGGCTTTTGAATATTTTTAAAGTGTAATTATTAATAGATTTTGATACAGAAAACGGAAAATAGATGTTCAAATTTGTTATTCGTACACATTAATGAGTCCCACGGAATGCGGCATAGTGTCATGTCCAATTAGTCTTTAAAAATTAAAAGGTCATTTTTTTTAGTTTAAATAAATGATTTTTTAGACATTCAGGATTTTATTTCATTTTATTTTTATGCAAAAACTGTCTAGCGTTCATTTTCTGAATCCTCCACCGTAACTGGTGGCACTGGCTTGGGCATTAGCTTTGGGCGTTTGCGCCACCATATCCTCCAGGATACCCGCCATAGCCTCCATAATTGCCAGGTCCGCCATAGCCTCCGTATCCGCCAGGTCCTCCGTATCCGCCGAGTCCTCCGTATCCGCCAGGTCCTCCGTATCCGCCAAACCTACGACCACCGTGACATTGTCCAGGAGTGAATTGGACAACCAACAGAGCAAAGATCAAGAATGCGCACAGAGCAAAGAACTTCATTGTTTAAAAATTTTATAAAATCTAAGTGATTTCAATTGCTTTTATACCCAAGCTGAAGTTATTTCAGCGGGATTTATTTTGAACTCGTTTCCCTATTTATTTACCTTTTTTTCCGTCTTTTAATAACAAAGAACCAAATGTGAATTTTTAATTGATTTGAAAACAGTTATATTCTAATTTTGACTTGTTATTTTTTATGTTTTTGGTAAATTATAAAAACCAACTGGTTTCAAAAAGAAGGCTTTGGATTCAGCTTACCACACAAAAAATAAAGTTGTTAGGTAAGATATATTACATTGATTTTCCTGTTTTTGAAAATACAATTGTATTTAAACTTAGAAATAATGAGACAGAAATCAGACAAAAATGCTTAAATAAATAAATACTAAGAAAGTATTAAATAAAAGTGCATAGTTTTTGGCTGACTTATTAATCCAAAAAATATTTTTGTTTAAAAGCTTACATAGTTTGTAAAGAAACTTGGCTTAAACTTGAGCTCGACTTTTAAAATATGTATTTTAAATAAGGCCAACTTTTTTTTGAACTGGACAAATTTAAAAGAAATTCTTTAAATGTTTTTATGTTAAGATCAAAAGTACCTTTTGTTTAGGTTTATGGTTTTTAACTTTTTAACGTTAAATTTCATTCAATTTAATGTATACCTTTTTAGTTAGACAACTTTTTGAATGAATAACTCTAGCTGTGTTCTTCCTAGGGCGCAGAGCACAGTTAGTGAGCCTGGTATAAAAATAAACAAAAATTGATCAGCCCAAAAAAACCCGTATAGCCAAAACCTTCAATCCGCATTCATTCGAATCACATTCAACATGCAGTTTAGCGCCTGCTCCAGTCTCAAGTTCAAATGGAAATTAGCGCTATGTGTTTGTTTTATAGCCCGAATGCTTTCAAATTCCAGCGAGAGTAGTGTGAAGCGAACGCGGTACCCATTGCTAAATTCCAAAAGCCCTGGGCCCCTTACAAATTTTTTGGCAAAGCGATGAATGAGTGAATAATCTGCCAGGCGACCAGATCCGATCCGATTCACCGGACCAGGCCCGACCGGACCAGTCAGCCTGGCTATCCACGTGTCCGTCTGTTCGGCCGTCTATCCATTTTGGCTGGATCCATGCCGGAACATAAAAGCCCAAAAATGTATGACGACAACTCTTGCCGGTTTTCATTTATTTATTCGAACGCAGGTGGGCAGAGATCGACTTGTGGGTTGCCGAGTGTCTGTGTTTGTGGTTTTCTCGATTTCTTGGGTGCGCTGCTTTAATGATCAACCGAAATGAATCACATTCAATATATTTGCCATACAAGAGGTGAATACTCTTTAAGGTGTACGAGAAATGATAATGCCCTAGAATACCCTTTATCCAATCGAATTCATCGGTATTCACTGATCCAATATTGAGTAATATTTGGAAGACCCAATAACGCCTTTTTGCAATCGTCGAAACAAACAGAAAACGGAACATGGGTTTTCATGTTTTATTTATAATTTATAAAATCGTTTACCTCCAGCATTTCTTTTCATACTATTGTCATTTGGCAGACTGGTCACAATTTTGCACAATATTATTGTGGTGTCTTGTAGTTTGTCGAACGTTACGTTTTTTTGGTTTATCACACTGTGCTTGGGCTCGACGAATGATATTTAAATATTTTAGCTTATAACTCGTTTAGAATTGAAAATTGCCTAAATCGAACCGAGCATCAATCGCTCAATGTCTCCGCATTGTGACTCCGCGTTATGGCAAGCTGTCCGACCTTGACAAGGTCGCATTCTCGGTGGCACTGCTCAGCATCAAGAGCGGTTTGTCCGGACCACCGACGAGTAACCGTAGAGCACCTCCACTCCGTCCGAATTGAAGATTCTCTCCACTCTAGGAGCTCGCGTTAAAATTGGACGGGGCGTTGTGGTGGTGGTGGCTATTGTTGGGGGAGTCGCAGTGGTTGTGGTGGTGGTGGTTGTGGTAGTGGTGGTTGTGGTGGTGGTTGTTGTCGCCGCGGTTGTGGTTGTCGTCTCCGGAGCATTTGTGGTGGCCTCCGGTTGGGCATTTAGCTGTGGCTCTTCCTTAGTGGTCAGTGGGGCGGGTTCAGTAATTGCAGCGGAGCTTCTGGACTCCGCCGCCTCTGTTGTCGTTGATTGGGGTTGTGTGGAGGCTTGTAACTCTGCAAGTAATATGGATTAGTTATTAACTACACTAGTCGTTCAGAAATATCCCATTTAACCTACCTGTGGTCTCCTGTTTAGATGGCACTGTGATAGCTTTTTCTTCTTTGATTTCCGGCTGCTCGGTGGGGGCCTCAGTTTTGGAAGCGAATCGGAAGAGTGGCATCAGAGTGGTCTCCAACACTGGCTCATTCTGTTCCTCTTTAGGAGTCGTGGGCTCATCCACTAAATTGACAAGGGTTGTCATAATCATGGACAGGTCCTTCAACAGGAAAGTGGAGTCCTCCATAGCTTCTGTTGTGGTGGCCATTCGATTTTCAGACATTTGCAGATCTCCTTCGGCCACTCCCTCCTTGCGCTCAAAGTAGTTTTTAATTGTCTGTTCCTGGTTCGGAACTTGTGTAGTTTCTTCCTTATCGGAGGTTAAGGTGGTGGTCTCAAAAGGTTTTATGGTGGTAGCCGCTGTGGTTGTTGTGGTAAAGAACGGTGGCAGTGTTGTGGCACCAAACTTGAAACGCTTTTCAGTGACTGTGGTCGGTTTGGGAGTTTCAGTCGTGGTTGGTGGCTCAGTCGCCTCCGTTTCCGCCTCCCCTTCGGACTCCACAGGAGTTCCATTCTTTTTCGCCTCCTGGGCCTGTTCCAACTCCAGCTGCTTAATCACTGACTCCGGAAGTGGTTCCTCCGTCGTGCCATCGGGAATGCCTTCGGTGAAGGCCTCACCCTCGGGACTGGTCATCAGGATCTCATCCGAATCCACGGCCATGGTAACAGTTCCAATCGGCAAGGACATGAAAGTTGATTCTTCCAACGGAGGCAAGGTGGTTTCTTCATCATCAGTTCCAGTCACTGGGAAATGCTGCTTGACCCTCTGTGGAATGGCCATTGCATTGATGGCTACCGCAATCAGCAGTAGTATAATGATGGTTCGAAGCATTTTCGGTGGTGCTTTATTAATTACAATTACTTTTTTTTTTTGGTACGAGTATTCGCGGAATGCGAGGCGGTTCAGTGGCTCGGTGGCAATGAATCGATCAAGTGTGGTTTCAACTCGCTGAAAGCTGCGTTCACTTGGGCACCTCAGAAAAACTTGCTCCTGTCTCGAAAAGCTTTCTGGGCAGCTGGTGCTCTCTATATAAATATTTCTGGCTCTATTGCTGCAAAGAAAAATATATTTTGATTAATCAAAAATTTAGTATCAATCTCTGATAATAATAATCATCAATAGAAAATTCTAAAGAGTAGATTGAAATATTTTAAACATTTAATTTTAACCACTAATATTTTTTATGAACAATTCGGAAAAAAACTTGTTAAACGGCCGATTATCTTTAAGAATCTACGCAACTTGTGCTAAATACATTCTTTTTATACAATGTTTTCCAGATTTAAGTACTTGAGGAACCGGAAATCACTTGCACTTTTTGCTAATAAGCTCTTGTGATGCCACATTGTTTCAGATGTCTGTTGCAAATGACATTTTCTTTAAACAATTTTTGGATATAACTTATGGGTATTATTTTTTTTTTGGTGTTTTACTACCTTAGCCAGTATCTGTGAGACTATCAACTGGTTCACTCGCGACTGCTGGCTTCCGCTCCACGCTGTTGTGACTAGTTTTGTTTGCGGCGAGGAACTAAACCGTTTGCAGCTCCGACTCGAGCTTTTAAGGCGTTTGAAAACTGTTCCCGGCTTGGGTTTTGGGGCTTGGGTTTCCGAATGGGTTACTGGCGGCTCAGCTGCAGGCCCAGCTGCTCGGCTCCTCAGGTTTGGCATTTTTTAAGTACTAATAGCAGGTGGGCCGGAGCGACGTACAGGTAAACACAAGGCGACGCGCACTTGGCCCAGAAACATCTTTTAAATGGCACTTCCCCATCTCCAGTTCAATTTCACTTTCAACGCACTCACCTCTGCTCACCTCTGATATTGATTTTGCTTTTCGATGCCGTGGCTTGTTTCAGTTTGGCCCGGAGTGGCAAACCGGCTTTCTGGTATGGCAATTAGTCGGTTACAACTCGACGGCCTCTCATAATTCGCGGTTATTCAACGGCTTGCTACGGCTCTCTCATATGGCTATTAAAATTAAACTAAACTAATTCATTCAGAACCACTTTTGGGCTCTTTTAGACACCTTATTGACCTGGCTTTGAAAAAATTGGCTGAATTGTGGCGTGAATGATAGTTGGGAAGTTCGAGTTTGTTTAGGAATGTTTAGAAAAAACTGCAGCACACGATTTATTCCACTATTGTTTGGATTTGTATTCCGACTATTTTTGCAGTAACTTGAGATCGGTATTTGCAAAGTAAACTAAATAGGAGCATTTTTCCACAAAATGATTCCACTCCGATGTGGAACTGCACGAAAGAATATTTTTTCTCAATAAGAGGAATTGTATACAATGATTAAAATTGTAAGTAAATTTACTATTTATAATTACGATTCATAATAATCAAACAAAAACTGGTTATAAATATTATGAAATATTTTTTTCCAACGTGCTGGCTATTTAAGATCCCAACAGTGCAATAATCCAGTTTTAGTATCAGATTATTAATTTATTGTAAAAGCGGACTTAATCCTCTTGTCTATTTCCGGTCGACTAAAAATCTGAATTTTAAATTATTGTTATTAGTTATATGCTTGTGTATATGATTTGCTCCATTTTACTTTTCTGTTTATTTTAATGCTAATATTGTGAGTGTTTGACATTTACCATAAAAGCCAAGAGCCTCTCTGGTTTTTACCCAGTTGAGTGTGTTGCGAGTTTCATTGTTTTACCCTTGAGTATGAGTATGAGTCAGAGGAATGCCATCGGAATTCCAGCGTAAGCACTATTAAATTCAATGTTGCTACATATTTTCTGACCAATTTTATTTAAAATTTCAATCAACTTCCTCGCTTTACGCTTATCTTTCCGGTCACAGTTTTTGTTTAGGGAATGAAGCAATTTCCCCGACCTTCCAGACCGCCAATTGATTCCCCAAACATATCATTTTACAAATTGCAAAGAAGAACTTTCATAATTAGTCCTTATCGAACCAGAAAAGCGAACACAAAACTCTCGTTTAGCGGTCAACTTGGACAACAACATAAATATGGTTGACCATCCGAAGAAGTTTTATGTCAACTCGACAGAAAATGTCTTCGGGACGTGGCCAAGAAGATGTTAGCATTTTGCCACCACCAATGGCGATATGGGCCATAACATTTCCCAACTACCAGAGTAATAACAATGAACTATTGAACTACAGTAGGGATTGCTTATCATAAACATGAGGTTTCTTTACTTATGGCTGGAAAATGGGTTTAATCGCCCTTAAGGGATCTTCATTTCTTCATGTCTTATAATCTTTTAGTAGGTAAGTTTAATTTTTTATCCTGTAACTGGCATTAACAAATTTCAGTTACTGATTAAAATAATCACTGTATGGTACAGATTTCTCTTTCTGTCGAGTTCAGCTAAAAATATTCAGTAGCGAAATCAGTAAACGACCCTAAGTTCTCGTCTGGGATTGGGGTGGGCGTGTAGATGGCAATATGATTTATCTAATGATTGGTTTTTGTTGCGACTTCCAGTCCTGACAGCCTGCGAATGCCCCGGCAAACACCTTGAGCCAACTTCAATAACATCATTAGGGCCGGAACGTCGAAGGCTCCTGGCACTCACTTAAATTGAGCTCCTGCCGTCAGGATGCCGGACACAAAGGCCACTTGGCAGCCGGCCAGCGTAAATATGACTTATAAAATGCTCTGGAGGAGGACTTTTTGGCAAGCAAATTAGTTTGTTAAACTGATGATGGAGCTGACTGGCTGGCACTCAGCACTTTCCTCAAAATATTTATGCAAAATTTTGAAACTGTAAGCGCTGGGCTGCGAGGGAAGGTGATGAATTGAGAATTCAATTTTCCTCGGCGGCGACGGCTACTTCAAGTGTAAACAAAGTATTAATCATACGCCCTGTGGGCCGAGTAAGCCCTCCGAGAGGAGAAGTCATTAGCAGGCTGGCTGCTGGAAGTAACTTGAAATCATTATTATTAAAGTGCTGGCCGGCTAAAATCAAAGTTGGAAGCTCCTTCCATTTGGCCAAAGAGGAAATGTAATTTAAGTACCGAGTGAAATAAGCTGCCACTCCAATATACAGGGGAAGGACTTCGCTCATCAAACTTGGATCCAGTTTTAATGCTTTGGAAAATCATTAGGGAAACATTTCGCATGCAAATTCGTTTCGTACAAATGTAATTTTCCCTCTCGTCTTCCCGGAACTTTGAAGTGTCGCCAGTGGCAATTTGTCCAAAGGGCGTGGCACTTTATTGCTTAACGATTACGGCCGCTTCATTGGCTTCCGATGCTAATGTTTATTTCTAAATTACTTCGAATGGAAATTCAAATTCCCAAAGAACGAATCCAGAGCCGAAATCAATCAGCTGGGGAGGTGTGGGGCGGAAAATTGATGTATGCATGTGAATTGCAAATTCAAACATTGTTTTTTAATCATTTTCGCATCGGAATCAATTTCAGGAAACTTTGCTCCTCGGCTGAAAGTCACTTTTGGGGGCTCCTGCTTTGCTTCTGTTTTTGAATGGCTCTTCAGACCGGGGAACTTGAAACTCTGCAACTCTTTTTATTATTTAATTTCAATTGCAGTCGAGGATTTATGACGCTATTGTTACCAAAACACAACAATAGAAGTAAGGAACTCGAAAAGTGTATTGTAATTGTATTAAAAAATATTATTGTTTTAATTTCAAATGGAAACGGAAAAACAGTAAAAATAATATTATTGGGCATTGTCTTTGGTTGTTTCTGTAAATTCAATTATCGTATCTGAATACATTATTTGTGTGTATATCAGTTATCCGTGATATATGTACATGAAAGCATATTAATCCTTAATTAAAAGGCTTCAGTTAATGGTTGACTATTGTGTTCACAGAGCTACATTGATTTAACATTATTAAAGGTAAGGTTAAAAAATGTTGTGTTATTATTTGCGATTTTTTAAATTTAATATTTGGGGAAACAGCTTTATCATGTTTAAGGTCTTAAAGATATAAGCCATTTTGAAAGCCAGTTGAAAAAGCCTTGGCTGAAAAAGCCAGTTTTCCTTAATAAATAACCATGTGTGGGTACAGTCTCATCTATGGCGCTAATGACAGCCTCTGAGGAAGACCCACAATTTCATTATAAGCCAAAACTAAATCAACAACAACAACTTGGGCGAAAGGCAAGCGACTAAAAGCTTACGGAAGAAAGGAGAAAGAGACAGAACGGGATGGATAGAGACAGCTAGCTTCAGAGGCAAGAGCCACTAATTGACTTTAATTATTTTGTTGTACTTAATGTCTTGTTTACACGAGAAAAAGAAACAGGCGAGCCAAGAGAAAGGGAGAAAGGCACAAGGGGCGGAGCTCTAACAAATCAGTTGTTCGTACTGATACTGTAAAGTTTACAGTGTAAACGCAAATGAAGAGCAAACGCAGTAGGTAAGTCAGGAGCAACGGCAAAAAAAATGACAGTTGCCGGAAAAATAGACGGTGATAGAGGGCTGGGGCAAATTCTGTCAAAGTTAGTTAAAAGCAATGTGTAAACATGTGGGCTCCCATAGCTTAGCGGTAAAATGTGCAAGGGTGCCCCCACACTCTCGCTTCATCTCGCTTTCCCACCGGAGGAGCATCCTCTGTGGAAACTTAGATTAAAGTTGAATTTGTGTCAGTTGTGCTCCTGCAACTGTGGTTGCATGTTTGTTATCCTTCTCTCTCGTTAATGTTTTTGTTTTTGTTTGTCATTGGCAGCAAGGATAAGCCAACAAGGATAATATACAACTTTAGATATGTCAGTAAGGAAGCTTTTTAGAACAAGGATAAATTTTCCGATATTCAAGCGCTTTTCTAGTCTAGAGATTCTTCAAAATTTTAAAATCAAATTAGTTGAATCCTGTCTCTTTTTTAAAGAAACAATTTCCCTGATAGTTTCAAATCTCAATTTTCTACATGGAGCGGAAGCAATTCGAAATTAGTCGCCAGCAAGTCAGTCACCAGCAGGAGCTGCATTTTTCATTTCCCTTCGGCTGGCTGGCAGCCCAGAGGTAATATCACCTGGAAGTTGTGACTTTTATGCAGGCCTTGTCCCCTCCTCTTAATCCCCCTCCCCATCTGGCAGCCACCCACTGTTTGTGTTTGGGTGTTTATTCAGCAACAGTGCGCGCGGTAAGTTTGCCCACGGACACAGACGCAGACGCAGACAGAGTCGGCGAACCGGGCTTTTCTTTGCTATTCGCTCCTTGTGTCGCCAAACGACGACAAATGAAGGCAATTCATTGGGCATGCTTAAAGTTGTCGCTGCAAGTGCACAACTGCGGTCCGCAGGCTCTACGGTTTTCGCAGTACGGACCTGGAGTCTTGGTTTTGCACTTCAAATAAATTAAACCTTATACAAGAATACTTTTATAAATTTAAATCAAACATTTAATTTACTTCCTTTCAAATAACTTCTTATAATTTCAATATTTTTTTATTAAAAATCTTCATATTTTTCTCTTAGTGTCCTCGCTGCTCCTTGCGGCTTGCACTCCTGCTGGGTCTAGGATAAAGTTTTGCACCCTGGCTGTCGAAATGAGTTGCGTTTTAAGTCGCAATTAAGCGTTGGTGCTGTTTGCTGCCAGAACTCTGCTGTTCCACCAATATCTTACCTCTTTCACTAACTCCTTTCTACCGTTTAAATTCTCTTCAGTAGAATGAAAACGTGTTTTTATTTCAGCGAATATTTCTCCTCTAAAGTTCAAAGCTTTCAACAGTATATTTTATTTATCGATAACACATTGATTATATAATTAAAAGCATATAAGCAGGCGGTGGAATAATTTTATAAATAAAACCATTGCATACTTTATATTGTCCCTTGAAAAATGAGTTTTATTTGTGAACTTTGTTATATAATATATAACAAATATATATTAAAACTTTTAATATAATAATAATTACACATGTACATATGAAAAGTACATATGAAAAAATGGGTTTTTCCCCGATAGGGGCCACGGTGATGGCTATATCTTTCCCAATTCTTATTCGATTCTCAAGCGGTGTACCTTAAAAGATTTCTGAGTCGATTTCGCACCACTTTGCATTAAAATCCTGAGACAAAATATTTTTCAGATTTTTTGTCAATTTTTCCTGATGGATCCCCTAAAAATGAGGTTTTCCCCTATAGGGGCCACGGTGATGGCTATATCTTTCCCAATTCTTATCCGATTCTCAAGCGGAGTACCTTAAACGATTTATGGATTGATTCTCCACCATTCTGCATCAAAATCCTGAGACAAAATATTTTTTAGATTTTTTGTCCATTTTTCCTGATGGATCCCCTCAAAATGGGGTTTTCCCCTATAGGGCCCACGGTGATAGGAATATCTTCCCCAATTCTTATCCGATTTTCAAGCGGAGTATCTTAAACGATTTCTGAACCAATTCTCCATCATTCTGCATCAAAATCATAAGACAAAATATTTTTCAGATTTTTTGTCCATTTTTCCTGATGATTGCCTGAAAATCCCCTGATCCCCTGAAAATAGGGTTTTCTCCTAATGGGCCCACATCGATGGCTATATCGTCCCCAATTCTTATCCGATTCTCAAGCGGAGTACCTTAAACGATTTATGGATTGATTCTCCACCATTCTGCATCAAAATCCTGAGACAAAATATTTTTTAGATTTTTTGTTCATTTTTCCTGATGGATCTCCTCAAAATGGGGTTTTCCCCTATAGGGCCCACGGTGATGGCTATATCTTCCCCGATTCTCATCCGATTATCAAGCGGAGTACTTTAAACGATTTTTAGAACTCAACATTATTCTTATAATAAATCTTTTATTAAAAATAAAAATACATTTAAAATTACTCGTAAATTTGTACACATAAATTATAGTATTAAGAGTAGCACAGAAGGCGATTTCAACAATTCTGGTTAAAAAGTTGACCGAAACTTGCTGCCGAACAACAAAATTGGTGATCTGTGTGAAAATGATTGTTGGATGCATGGGAATGGATTGCGCCTCTAGGCGGGGCGTGCCTGAGTGGAAGCACCGGAAAGGTTTCTCCAGCTGGATGTCCTGGCGATGCTGCGATCGGTAAATTGTTAAAAATGTCATCACAGTCATATGGAATTTAAACGAAAAGAACTTCGCCAGGTTGTCAGAGTCACGCGGATGATTCTGTGGAGCTAGTGGTAGTGATCAGCATGTCATCATCGTCTTCCAAAAGGGAATCTTCTGTTGTGGCGGAGGTGGGCAAAGGCGTGGGTATTGGCGTTGTGGCGGGCGTGGCAGGAGTGGTTGCAGGCGGAGCAGCGGCAGTGGCAATCATTTCCATGCCCAGACCGTGGGGTAGGTGAACATTGGGCGGCAGGCCCTCCATCATTTGCTGCTGCATCTGTTGGCGGAGCTGCTGACGTTGGAGCTGCATGGCCAGATAGTTGGCCAGATTGGCAGTCAGCTTGGCCCGATGGTTCTCCACCCGGCGCACATTACGCACCAGCCTGTTGTAGACCAGCGGCTTCACGTCAATGGCCCACAGGAAGTCCAGGTGATTAAAGCGCTCCATGGGCACCAGATACTTGTCAATCACGTTAGGCAGCTCCCTGGCCAGACGATCCACTCCGGTGGTGGACACCAGCAGATCATTCACTGAATAGTAAAGCGCTACTGGTACCTTCACCCGAGATAGGTCGTAGTCCGGTGGAGTCATCCGGTTGTACTCCAGCTGGTTGCGCAGATAGCCCCGGTCAAACTTGCGGAAGTGCCCGGACTTCATTAGCTGGCCAAAGTGTTCCAGTTGCTTGATAGAGGCGCCTGAGGGGGTGTGGCTCAGCATTACAGGTAGCATAGTCTGCGGGATTGGGTGAACATCAAAGAATACATTAGAATGGTTTCAATGGGGACATTTGTGGTGAAATTTTAATGCGAATCACACTTACAGAAGTGGGGATTACTCGAGAAATCTTAAATATTTGAATAAAGAATTAAATAATATGTTTTCTAATGGGTTTTGGCTAATATTTTTGACTCAAAGGATTTTTGATTTTATGCAAGTTTGAAAGCTGTAGAGCTTTTTCCCGTGTGCACAGTATGCAAGCATGTATCCTACACCTGTTCCAAACACAATGTAACAATGCCCCAGCCATGTAACGTGTTCCCAGCATGGCAATATCCATTCACATTATCCGAGGAGCGGAAGGATTGGGATAGAGCTATTGGCTGGGGGCTTAGGTTTGGGGTCGTGTCGGGTCAGAGAGGGAATCGCGCCTAATTTGCATGCATTGTCGCTTGTTGTCGTTGCTTTGGCATCCAGGCCGGGCCAGTTAATTATGCCAATTTTGAACAAGGCTGCGGAGGACAACGAGAAGATACCGCCCACTCTTGGCGGCCATTGACACAATCGACAATGACACGCATTCAATGCCAGAGACCAGGTCAAAAGCCCCAGCCCCAGACCCGCCCTGGGCTGCACATGCATGTTGTTCAAGTAATTTGAGCTGGCCGCACTTTGTAGGCCATAATTTTGAATCTGCGGGTGTTTATCTTGTGGTCGATTATCGGCCAAAGTTTTGCCAGGGCGCTAAGCATATTTAATGCAAACATCGTGGCTGCGCAGGGGATTAGGATAGTGTGTGGTCGACATTAGGCCCAATTCGTCGATAATTGTTCCCCGGAATTAACGTGTGTTTATTTGACTTGCGGCACACATTTATTAGCAAATGTAGGCCCATCTGCAGCTGGTTACAGAGACCCCGAAAATTCCCCTCAAAAATGCAACGTGGCGGAGCCTAAACTCAAACACGAAACTATCCCGACCAACAATCGAGGCAGCTTAATTAAGTGCCAACTTAATGAAGACAATCGGAGGGACAGTCGGCGGACGTGAATTTCGAATCCAAATCGAAGCATTTCTGCTCAGCAAGTCACGCAAAATCGTGGCCCAAACATGCCCGAAATACAATCCAATTCGCATTCCCTACGTCACAGGGAGAAAAGTTTTATGAAAATTCTAGGATTTCAGAAAGAAAAATTTGGAGCTACAAATATAGATTAAAGTTCTACTAGTTCAAAATTAATTTAGTCCTAGGCCTCAAACTTTAAAATAATATTAATGTCTTACTTTTTGGCTCAGTGGGTTTTGCTTACTTTGTTCAACTGTTCGGAGTTGTAGCCTGCTACCAAAAACAGGATATTCGAGCACACGTCCTGCGTCATGGCGTTGTCGTGGCACACAACCTGGCTGTGGTCCACTAGGAATTTTGTGTTGGGCATGAATTCCGTAATGCGCAGCATTCGTGTGGCGGCCTGCAACAAAAACAGCATCAGAACGGCGTGGAAAACACGAAACGGTAAATGGAAAAAGGTAAAATGGAAAATGGAAAATGAATGTGCCCCAAACAAGCCCCAAAACCGCCACTAACCGTCAGAAAGTCGAGGAAGAGCACCAGGGTGCGGAAAAGGGGACTCTTCATGTCGTGGATGTAGGCAATGGGGGCCAGGGCGTGCATCGAGGTGATCTTCTGGGTGTAGGCGGGTTGCTCGGAGCACAGTACCCAGAAGATGGCCGTGCCCTGCGAGTGGCCGATGTAGTGGAGCTGCTCGTAGCCCGTCTTGCTCAGGATGTAGTCGATGTTGGCCGGCAGGTCGTATTTGCCCATCTCGTGGAAGGTAAAGTCCCAGAATTCCTGGTAGTCGCTGTTCAGGCTGGTGTGGTTCTTTGAGTAGCGGTTGCCCCGGGAGTTGCCCATCCACACGTCGTAGCCCAGGTCGGAGAGCATATACCCTGCCGGATTTAAATGAGTTTAGACTTTAAACAAAACTTTTTTCAATTTTCTTTGGAGTTGTTTCACTTACCCAATCCGGACTTGGGACCCATCAGCACCCAGGTGGCCGACGTGTCCAGAATGCCGTGCATTAGTAGTACAGGCTGAGCACCCTTTTTCGGAATGCGATGCATTTCCAGGATGTAGCCATCCTTTGTCACCACCGTGTGGGTCTCCGATGGATATCCATATTTGCGTATTAATTTGGGCTGAGGAAACGCATAAAAAAGCGATGAAATCCAAAAAAGAGAAGATGGATAGAAAGGTGTTAGAAGTGCAAATCATGGCAGTGTGAAATTGAGTTGCCTGTATTCCGCCAGCTCGGGTTCTTTGTTCCTCTTCGTTTTAGCCAACAAACCCCCGCCCCGTTCTAGCCCCCCTTGAATTTGCATAGTTCAGGTGGAAAAGCACCGGGAGTCGCCGCCAGAGCGCTCATCATCATCGAGGCATTCGTCTGGCCTTAACCACAGTCATTTGGAACTAATGAATTTTAATTTGTGGCATCAACAAGTTAATAAAGTTGCCAGCCAAGCTGTTGCGGTCTAGAATAGCTGGATAAATTGCTTGTGCCTGGATTGCCACTGAATAATGCAAGTATTTTCTCGCAAAAAATTCATCTTAGAAGAATTGCCAGGGAATTTTGACGAGCCAACTATTTTTAGTGTCAAGTACGACATAGAACCTTATAGAATTTCTTTATTGACACCGCTGAATTCCAAAATAACTGACAACTACGTAACATGATAATCATTGGGAATGCTTTATTGAACGTAAGGCCCACGCGGTTGCCCCTATAAGTCTCGTCCCATAGTTGAACCCAGTCACGTATCAAGCATACGCACTGTATGACAGCATACTTTTCTTCCTGCTGGCGAATGGATTTATAGGTTTTTCAGGAATCCGTGATACTTTTGATAAGTTGTGGATTATGTAAGCGCATTTGGGTTGTGGGTAGTGGGTGGCCGAAGAAAAAATCGTAATACTCGTAACACAATTGCTGAAATTAAGTTATAAACACGCGATTACTCAAAAATTTGAAAACGACCGCACCGACGAGTGAGTAAACTGCAGAAAGAGTCTCTCCCAGAGAGCTGCCTGGCATTTTAATTAACCTTGGCAGCGAATGGCCAGAAAATAATACAAACACTGCAATTGGCCAACTGACTTGCCGGCTGGTTGGACAACATGAGGAAGTGGTACGCAAAGTAAGCCAACGAAATGTTTTTTCCTGCTCTGTTTCTTTCTTGTTTTGTTTTTTCGGCCGATTTGGCCAAATGTTTAAGCATAAATTTGCTTTATTTTTATTTTGATTTTTATTTTGTTTTTGGCAATTTCCTTGGCTCTACTCTTGCATAATCCTTTTGTTTTCTTGGGTCTGGCCCCAAAAAAGAATGAATGAAAGACACGCACGAACGAGGTGCGAAGAAGCCGCTTAAATCGTCTTGGCCCGGCCCGAAAAAAATTGCAACAGATGCTGAAGCGATGCTACTCGGTGAAGTTTTTGTTTTTCTTCGCATGACACACTTTGCAACACAGCTGGCCAATATTTGCGGAGATCAGAGCCTAGCAGGCGTTGCAAAGATGCAACCAAGTGCTGCTGCTAGGCTGGCGGCGGGATTTTTCCGCCCGTATGTGTTGGCCAATCTCGAAAAAAGATGTTTTGAAATCCCCAGAGTCGACAAATGGTCAGTAATAAAAATTTAGCAATGCTTATCTCGGGGACAAGAAACAATAACTCACCATGTGCGTTGCAAAAAAAAATCCAATAAATTATATAAATATTTTGATACTTTAGCAATGGGACTCCCCACCCATTGACTGAAGTGTTGATCATAATTACGTCGATTTGATTAAATTGATTTGCCACCATTTACAGAACCTGAATGAACTCATTTGCTGAACAAACTGACAAAGCCGTAAAACAAGACAAAAGTCCGTTCAAACAAAGCATTGCACAAATATTGAAATGTTTGTTTTAACGCCAATTTGAATACAATGCACAGCTACAGCAAATAAATCAGGCACACATTGCACACAAACGGGTGGAAAAACTATAATTAAATAAATAAGAGTGGCAAAAATACAACCCAACAAAAAAAAATGCTAAAAAGCAGGAAAGTAAATGTTCGACTGCCCAGATTTCGACCTGGGCCAACGTTAAAGTGAATTGTGGCTGTCTCGATGTGGAGCCATTTTTTTATTTAACAATTTTTTGAACGTCTTTTTGATTGTTTGTTTTCTATATTTTTACTGTTTCACTAACTGAACATTTTGGTTCGTTAGGCCAAAAGCCGCAAAAACCTCATTAGCACCTACAACATAGTCTTGAGACTCGATTATCATAATGCCCATCATGACCCACTAATTTTTGTGTTTGGCTGCCTCCGGTTTGTGTCCATGCTAATTGACAAACTTGTGTATTTATTTCATACAGTGGAGACTATTTAATAGAGTTTTGAATAAAAGACAAGTTTTGTTACGTTTTAGAAAGCTTAAAAGTGTAAAGATTTAAGTTTATTAACACTCCTACTGGTTTAACAGTGACATAAGGAATAATAAACACTTAATACTGTTCATTAGAGGTTAATAAAATAAATGTATTTTAGAGGCTACATCAGTTCTTCTCATTTGTTTTATAAAATAAATATTTAATCAATGTTTATCTTGTTTATTAAATGTTTACTGTACATCCAGTATTGCATGACATTAAGGGTGTGCGTGGTCTTCCATGTTTTGCCAGATTTAAAATTTTTTTTATTTTTATTCCTCTTAAATTCAATGCAAATTTTTAGTGTCAACGTTTTGGCGATGTTGTAGTGGCTTTGTGGCGTGCCTTTGATTCATTTGCATAAAACACTTTTGCTGGTCGAACTTGAGGTGAGCTTGTCAGCGGCTTTACTTCTTCAAAGAGGCACTGGCCACTTTTGAGTCCGACGGATGGATGGATCTCCAATCGGGGCCCCAATCGCTCATTTTGTAACTGACCTTGATATTGACTTCGACTTTTATCACACTCATTATGAAGATTGCCGGTCGAAACGTCTCGATGTCATCGGCGACGACCCCAACCAGTTTTTCCCCCACACCGCACTCGACTGCCATGGCCCCTCGATGACTATACTCTTCGCAGACGGGTCTTCTGCTGCATTTTCTGTGCCACTCCACTCCGCTGACTGACATCGTTTTAATGACATCAAAATCTTAGAGGTTAATAACATTTGAACTCTTCTCTCAAGATGCGGAACAAGTAGAGCAATGACTTTAAATTATGCAAATTAAATGAAAGATATAAAGGCTAATGCTAAACTGAAGAAAACTTAAGGTTCCAAATATGTTGAAGAAGAATTGGCCTCCCTTAGTGGGAGGTGATCACTACAAACGACAGCCATTTGCCAATCTTGGCACGTTGCGCCCAAAAGAAAAGACAATGCGGAAATATTTAAATTCAAATTAAGGCAAAAATGAAACCTTTTTATGCAAAAAGCAAATCCAAGCCAAATGTCGAACTATTTCCTGATTATTGGGAGGCACTGCCTGCGGGCTTTCTTCGCTGACATTTTGTTTAGCTGGAGGAGGCGGAGGTGCTGCTATGAGGTGGGTGATGGCCAGGCGGTGGTTGGCAGGGAGCTGGGGACGTGGAAGGAAGGTGCACAAACTGCTAACCCATATTTCAAAGTCAGTCAAGCGCCACGGACGTGGACAGGTTAGCCTAATTGCACGTTGATTATTGTGTGGCGTTGACAATTTCAATTTGTTATTGTTTGCCGTAAAAGGTGTTCCCTTGCAGACATTTATTTATAAAAAAAGAGCTATCTAGCCATCTCCCAGCCCCTCGATTATGCAATTTGGCAACGTGCAGAAATTGTGACGAGGCTCGGTGGCTTTATTCCGATTCGACTCTAGTTACATGGCAGACACACGCTCAAAAGCCGAGCCATGACTTTGCATAAGATCCCAGCCAAAAAGGCACTGCGGCGGCCCGTTGACAAAATGCGGCGTTTCTGTTTCCCTTTATTAGTTTCTGGGTCTGCACGTAAATCGCATAAATAACGTTACGTTATCGCAGCTCTGCACATACATTACCACTAAATGTATAAGCTTGTACGCCGGACACTTGCTAATAATCCCCACCGACTCGGGGCTCTGGCTCGGTTTCTTATTGGCTTTGTTCATTTTCGCCCATCTGTTTGTTGACCCCACCCCGAAAACGATTGGGTAATCTTTGGCTTTGTGTGATCAGTGATATTTGGCTGGCAAAATCGTGTGAATCTCTCAAATGACTTCTGCGGCAGTCTCAAATGCAAATTTCCTGGCCTTGGAAACCTTTTTGGGAAGTGGGGGAAACCCAAGGAAAACCTGTAACAATAACAATTGTGTGAACAACCGACGCGTTGGGCGCCCAATGAAAATGCTGATCTAATTGCTGGGCACGTGGTGTAAAATGATGTAAAATGAGCTCAAGGTCAGATCGCCCATCAATTCTAAATGCGATCGAATTCAACGAATTTTGTTTTCTGTGTCTGCCGTAAAATGCTCATTTCGTGTTCGATACATATTTGTCGAAGGCTACCACGGGCCCATTGTTGTCTTGTACTTGGGCTCGAAAATTATGAACTGGTCGACGACGACTTGAATCGATTTCTCCAAAGTGGAAATCACTGGATTTTAATCTATTAATGAAAGTTCTTGTTCCATTATGACAGTCCATACACTTTCAGTATTGCTATATTTCACACTCGAAATGCAGGCTCGTAAACCTTTTAATTGGCCACAACGCTAGAAATAAATCCATCAGTTACGTGCTCTCTGCTTTGTTATTTCACTCACTAAAGTTAGACATGATTAACGCCATAAAAAGGCTACGAAATTTACTCAAGTTACGACACCAGAGCTCTCTTTCCTACCTTTCCCCCAAACACTTAGACTCTCCACCCAGAAGCAAACAAAGGGAAGTCGGGGTGCATCCATTGCCAACTGCAGTTGATCACGCCAGGTGACCATTACCCTTTCCCGGTGCCCCTTGGCACTTCAAATAAAGCCGTAAACAGTTCTCGAGCTGCACGTGAATTCTACGAGTCAACGAACCCCGAGAACGGGAACTTTCTTTCCACAGTGAGTAGTGAAATGCGTTAATTTTTCTGACACACAAAACCCTGTCAAACGAAAATAAATAACAGAACAGAACCTAACGCGATTATGACCCAAAGAAAAGTTACCAAGAAATGGTAACAATAACAAAATGAAAACCGGTAAGAAAACACAATTTCAAGATAAAGAGGGAACCTAAAATACATGTCGGTCTTAGATATTCCCAGAAAAATGTTTTCAGACACAGTTTAAAAATTGAAATGGTTTATTTAAAGCACGAATTCCGGTAAATATATCCCATTGTAGGGGTATATTATTTCCATTATTCAAGATCACAAGATCATCGATCCCAGAACTCACCGTGATGAGGGAGGCATCTTCGAGGACGTCCGACTTGAGATTACGCCCCACACCGGCCAAGTTGGCATTGCTTGACAGCAAAACCGAATTGAGAAGATTTTTGAAGCTCAAGGACGTATAGCTGAAAGGCGAGAGGAGCGTAAAGGCTCCCGCTCTGCCGCAAACTTCCAAAGTCACGAGGCAGTGCAGCAGCAGGGCCATTAGAAGGCGACCCCGGCCGCTGACGGTGGGACGCATCGCGAATATTCACACCTCACTCCGGCACTCACCGCGACACTCACTCCACACTCACTCTGACTCACGCTCAGTCGGACACACAAAATGGGGCAAATTGGCAAATGCAACTGTGGCCTGCACTTAAGCGTAACGGTTACGTCGTCACCACTATCTTTTGCTCTCTCCCGTGCTTTCGTCACACTAGTCGTCGGTTACGTGTCGGGCTTTTGGCACTCGAATCTAATCGGTGGTATCCTTGGGATCAGTCTGTGGCAAAGGCAGGAAAGGGCAGAGAGCTTGGCACTGATGGCACAGGTGTCACAATGGGCAGCACAGGTGTCTCGAGGCACTCGATCGCTGGGGCGTGTGCGCAGGCGCATGGGAAAAAAAACTCCGATTGGCAACCGTCTGGCTTGAGCTTCGCAGCTCGACTGGCCAAAAGCTAGGGCTAAGTGAGCTCAGCTAGCCGAATTGCCGAGTTGCAGCCGGGATCTTCGGGCCAACTTGTTTGAGCCCGGCGGCTGTGGATTGTGGATGGTAAAGAGTGTTGGATATGAAGTGTTTTTATTATTAAACTTTGGTATTAAAGATATTGAATATTAATGAAATATTTTACACGATTAAGACAATTTAGAAATAGATCTACTCTAATTATTCTAATTATTAATTATGATTATTTATATATTTTAAAATCACAAGTACCTAATTATTATATAGTAATTAAAATTTTTTAAAATATTTGATTTTAAAATTTTTGTTTGTCATACTATACTTTTATTTTTTTTTACAGTGTAAGCCATTCCGACCTAGCTCAATTCCCCCAGATTAGTCAGCTGATCGAACAAAAATGTTTGACGCCCCCAATGCAACTTAATCCAACCCGCCCCTGCTCCCCGAACACTTGTGCCATCGGATGGCTTGGCGCGTGCCGAGCAAGTTTTTTGCCTAAGTCTTTTGTTTGCTCCAGCTAAAATAAGTTTGGTTGGACGCGGTCGGGCAGTAGGTTCGATTCGTTTAACCGTTAGGCGTTGCACGTTTGGCACGTCTTGAGTCTTACCAACTTGGATCTGTTGCGTGTTTTTTGTCTTTTTTTTCTGGTTGCTGCTCTGGCTGGCGTAGCTGCTGCCAAGGTAATTGCAATTGAAGCCCCCATCCCAGCCCCCGACTGTCGAAATGTTTGGCCTGGCATCGGGTTACGTCTGCATTTGGCCAAATTAAAATGCAGGTGAAATTACACACGATTTTTCTTTGTGCTGCGCCTGGCTGGAGTCGGGAGGAGTTCGGGAGCATAAACACTGGCTCATTGCGCGATTTGTTGTGATTGCCAGCCATTTGTTTGGCCTGGCTTATATTTCGTTCGTTTGCTATCTGCATCTTTGCATTAATCCATATCTGTGGGTTTTGTCATTGCTGGTCTTAAGGCCTTGTCTTAATTTTACTGTTCCCACCAGCTTTTGCAACAATCTCTTCCCGCTTATCTCGGATGTCATGCGGCACCGGTCGGCCTTGGCCAGGCCAATTTGTTGGGACCTCAATGACAACTGCGCACTGAAATTAATCATAAATTCAATAACCATTTTTACATGCATTCTTACCACATCGAAAGGGGGAATAAAAATCGGCGCAGGAAACGACCTTGGAGATCCATCAGGGTTCAGGGCATATCTGGCATATTGCTAAAATATATAATTTTTTTTATAAAAATATAAAATTTTGTAAAACTCAGCCAAAATTACATACTATTGACTTTACCAAGGCAAACATTTGTATGAAAAAGTGCAGCAGAACTGCATTGCCACCGTACTTGGACTTGGAGGAATGTCATGAACACGTGCCACATGCAATCAACTGAGGGGCAGGGCCATCAACTTCTTTTGGCCCGGTGGCCGCTGCCTGTTGGCATTGGTAATCGGTATTTTTGTTGCGATGCTGTGTGTTTTTTTTTATTAACGTGCCCGGATTGTACCGACTGCAATTATTTGCGGCTTATTTTGCGGCCTCGCTGAGATTCTTTCAACATTTAGTGTGTTGGATTTTCGGCCGGCGAAAATTGCCAATACCAACTACAGTCAACGATTGCAGCAAACAAGGCATTTACCAAAATCAACTGCTGCAGCTTAACCCATTAAAGAAGTAATGGGTTGAGTAGAGAGGATTTTTATAAATAAATGTTTATAAAAAATACATAACAAGAGGTGGCTGGTCAAGTTTTTGTCTATAAGCCTTTTGATTTGTAAGTTTGATAAATATAGATAGTTTACTCGTAAATCATTATAATCATAAAAGCAAACACTCCATAATATTTAATTGAAACGATGTCATTAATTGAATGGATTTTTATCATGCCACAGATACATACAATTTTTGGTCATTAAATTCATGTTACACGTTCTCACTTACTTTGTTTAATTGTAGTGCTCTGGGGAAATTACCCAGTGTTTCGTAATGGGTTAATACCGTCAATCTCAAGGTCACAAGGTGCGAGTTATGTTGTAGTTTTTGTAATTTGTATTGCCGCTGCAGTCGAATTGTTGTAATTTTTTGCTTTGCTTTTATCCCGCAGCGTGACACTGAAAATTATTGTTGTGTTAAGACGTACTAGGGAAGGAGGCAATGGAGGCAGGTCAGGAGGGACCAGGAGGTCCAAGCTTTTAGCCATTTTATCCTCAGCTTTTTGTTTGCGGCCCTGACAGGAGTATTTGTGCGAGTTGCGTGTTTGCTTTGCGGTTGACACACTTTCCGGTTGGCCCATCTCATTTCCATATCATCTTACCGCTTACAAGTAAGATTTTTGTTTGTATGCATAATACGATATCAAAAGTGCTTAAGTGTCACACTTGACATTGCTTCGGGTTGGGTTTAACTACACGGGATACCCTTAATTATGGTGCTAACACTTTAACGGCCCATTAAACAAGCCCCATTGCCCCAACCCCAGGGATTCGAATTTTTGGTTAAGGGGAAATGATCGTTCTAAGGCCAAAAGGCTTTAAGCTATTTAAGACTTTATGTATCTCAGTTTAAGATTTATATAAAACAATGAATACGATGAAATATGTCTGGCAAATCATACAATTCAGGAAGCTTAAATGTCATAATAAGCCAATTACATTAGTTTTATTGTGCAAACCAAGTCTTTAGGCAACTTTGGTTGAGCCACACAATAGCATAATAGCAATATGGTAAATCCAAGCCACGCTATCCCAAAATCGTTGTGGGAACCGAAACACCCACTCACCCACTCTGTGAAAGGTTACTCCTTAGGCAATGCAAAACCGCTACTTAATTGTGGCGCCTGCCGCACGCCCACGCCAACAGCATCCATCGCAGCAGCTAACAGCAAATTTGGCCAAAACAACTATAATCAGGACGGTGGCGGCAACAAGTCCCAATTGGCGGGGCGTTTCCATCACCCAGGCAACTGGAGGTCCGCGTAACATGGTAGTTTTTGGGGTATTTTATTAGCGGTTTTCAGTCGCTTCTCGGCGACGGCGATTATGTAAAATGATTTCTAAGACTCAGAAACTTGGCAAATTCAGGAGCTAGCGCTATTACTGTCATCAATATTTGGTAACAAATTCCAATCGGTTGGCATTCCAATTTCAGGTTGATTGCACTTAAGCATTTGCAGTTGCAGATATCCACTCGGGTCGCTTCTCTCCGCAAAACTAGCCTGTTATTATATAACCTTCCAGCCAGGCCAGGCCAGGCCAAGCCAGGCAGCCGGCAAAGCTGGCAGCCTCTCTTTCTCTTTTTCCATCTCCTCGCGATTCCAACCGCACACATTTTTCCAAAACCAAGAAAAGTCTGCTAATGGCGACATCAAAAGCCGTTTGAAATTTACACTACCACTGGAAAAGTTGCACAAATTTTTGGGATTTTAAACAAGACTTTTTTAATTATAGAAAACATGTTTTAATGGAGATATTTCAGGGGAAGATTTCAAAACATTTGTATACAGTGGAGGTCCAGAATCTCAAAGCTCTTGACGAGATTTTTTTACAGATAAGGATTTTTATAAACTAAGATCTAGTATATATTATGTTTAATCCTTTTATATAAAATTTAAAAGAGCATTTTAAGATTCTCCTCTTAACTTTTAATTGTTGTTTCATTTTCGTATTTGGCTTTGATGGCAAAAATGTAGGCAGCAACAAGACATGAGACATGAGGCACGAGTCAGAGCCCCAGCGGTGTTGTTTGTTTGCTTTTCCATCCAGCAACAATAATAACAACAACAGGTGGGCCAGCCACAGCAGCAACAACCACACAAACGCCTCGCCAGATTTGTCACTTGCTGATAACAACAACGAAACGACAATGTTGGTAAATGTGTCATGGTACCAGGCAACGGGGCAACCGGGCAACAGGCTCTGTTCCTGTTTACATTTCTTGCAATATTTTGTGAGCGAAAATGCCAAAACAAAAACAATTTCCCATAGAGCTGGTTTTTGCTGCTGCCCCTGCTGCAAGTGTTTGCTTTTTGTTTTGTTATTTTGGCTAGTGGTGCTGGAGCCACGATTCGTTCGATTGACACATATCCCATCCCAAAATGTTTTTGCTGCTGCCTGACCAATCTCCAGCGGATTTGTTTATTAATGCTGATGTCTGTGATGTCGCGAATTGCAAATTCTAATCAACGTCTTGTTCAATTTGTTTGCATTTGATGCAGATGACGAGGCGGAAAGGTACACATCAACAGTGGATGTGCAATACAAACACCAAAGTTGATTTATTTTCCAGTTACTAATAGGGGGTCTTTGGGTATTTTCATTAATAAGCAGAGCAAAAGGTCGTCAAGCTAGTTCTTTATGGCCCAGCTTAGTCCTCACCTCCCTCATAAACTCACTTGCCTTTTTTATGAGACACAAAAGTGCGCGAAACACGTAACAATTAAAAACATTAAAAGCATTTTATATAATTCCGCAGAGACAGCAAAACAATAAGCACTTCACACGCTTTGAACCTTTAGCGCTGATCCCCAACACACCCTTTAGGAAATCTGAGTCTAGTTTTGACATAACATCGGCCGACGTCATAATAAGTGCTATAAACCCCAACAACAAAAAAACTGAGATATAAAAAAATGTTTATTAGGTTTTGACAAGTAAACGATCACATAACAAGCAGTCAAAATATTAAAAAATTAAAGATCGTAATTTGGCCATTTCACACTGAATAAGAGTTGTTGTAAGCGAAATACTTTTATTTTATTCTTCTGGTTATTAGTGAAAGTACATTTTTCAATTAACTTTTAGATATTTTTGATGCATTCATTTAAGACTACCTCTGTGTGAATTTTGCAACTCTACGTTTTGCCAAAATTATGTTAATTGCACAGATGCAGGTTGCATTTGGCCTGTGGACCCGTGTAGCTCTGTATCTTTGTATCTTTGCGTTGTATCTGGGGGCCATGCGAATGCAAATTAGTCGCCAGAGCCAAGAGTTTGCCCTGGAGAATGTGTTTTGGTTTCGGTTTTGGTTTTGGTTTTGCCACGCATAAATTTCCTTATGCCTGAGCGATTTAAGCGACCATTTTCCAGCAGGCCCAGGGTACGGGGGAACCCCACTCGTCCTCCCCACGTCGCAGGAAATGGCGAATGTCTGTGCTGAAATATGTTGAAAGGATATTTTATTGAGCGAAAGCAAGTGGACAGGGAGTCAGTTTGTTCAGCCACACAGTTGCATAATTAATTTGTTTACACAGTTGTCCACAAACCCAAAGCAATTTCCCAGAGTGGGAGTTCGGCTAATAAAAATATTTAAAGGGAAAAATAATATTGGTAGCTTGAAGGCTTCAATTATTTCCCTCCCAAAAATATCTGTTGTTTTTGCCAAAAAGCTTAAATTAAATTTAACTGAAAGCTATTTATTTAACAATTTTCCGGCAATTGTAAAAAATAACTTAAAAATTAAGTGAATTTCAACGCATCTGAGAGCTTCAGGATGAATTTAAATGATATATGCGAATTGTATATGTGAACAATGGCAATATCATTATGTATATCATCGATAAAATGTCCATTTCCTTCCAATATTTATTTATATTTCGAAACATTTGCTCTGCCACTGTGAGCCATATATGGGCTCACAGTTTATTTTGCTGCTTATATGCACATTTCCGCACTGCAATCGGGTAAAATGCGACGGCGTCAAATGTTTTACAGCCAGATAAGAAGTTTAATTTATGCGAAAACATGTTTGAAGCTTCTGCCGTCTGCCGGCGGCTGCCAGACTTCGAAACGGGTATAAATATAGTTGATATCCATAGCCAGGATGTGTCGGGCCTTGACCACGCCCACGCCCCCGCCATTGACCTTGTACAGCGTCAAACTTCAAGCCCAAACAAAACACACATACACAGAAAAAATTGGCTATAAATTTTTCCAAAGTCTCTTTTCCGTTTTTGTGGTTGTCAGTGAGTGCATATGTGTTTTTTTTGCTGTTACTGCGGCTATTTATTTATTTAGCGCCATGTTTTGTCTAGACTCTCGCTGACTGACATTGTGGTCGTACACACTCTCTTCTGCTGTCTGATATTTGTCAAGCGATAACTCCTTTTTATGGCCACCCATTGTCTGCAGCCAGAGCCGGCTCCTGTGGCAGCATCATCAGATTTTATGCCATTTCCGGCTGGCGGCAGCGGCAGCGGCAACAGCATCGGCAACCAAAAACCATTGGCCAGAAGAGCGTGCCTCTGCATAAGCAGGCGGGCAATTAAAAGCAAGATTCCAGACATTTTAGCCTAGGGGTGTGAGTGGTGCGGTGGGTGCATGGCATCATTAATTAAGCCCGGAAGCGTTGATAGTTCCACCAGTCTCCATCTCCAAATCTGCAACTGCACAAGTGGGTAGCATTATGCCAGCCTGAAAGTATGCAACAATTTGTTGGATTTGTCTTTAAAGCTTTAAGAAATATTAAATATAATATCCTTTCTTATATAACATTGGAAAATCTCCCATGTTTTTTTGGTTTTCAGAAATTTATTTCATTTACTTTTAGAAAACATATAAAAAGATAGGGAGATAGATCAAAAATAAACCGCAAAAAAAACACTGAACAGCAAACAGCTTTGATAGGGGCATGGCGTTGGCGTGGCCTGGCCCAGGGATCTGTCCCCCTATAGCACCATCCGCGCTTGGCACCACTCTGCTCGTCTTCCCGCTCGTGGCTGCCCTCTGTTCTATTGCATCTGTAAGCTTTAAAGTATCTTCCCCTTACCGGCCAAAGGGCCACGAGTCAATTTAGAATCACCGTTCTTGCGGGTCTTCGATGCAAATTTCGTCGGTGCAACCGCCCGTCCTCGTGCTGCTTCACCGACTTCAGATGGTTCAGCGGTACGTTGCATGCATCGCAGTAGAAGGCGGTGTTCTGCTCGTTAAAAGGGCGTGGCGGAAGGTAACACAGATTCGGCACCGAGATGGTAGTGGCCTTAAGAGCAGGCGTAACTGATGTCTTAGACAGGGAGGTGGGGGTCTGATTGATGAAAACTGGAACTTCGTGCGAGCTAAAGGGTGCCAGTGTCCCGTTGGCATTTACGCGATACATGTGGCTGCCATTGAATGAGGTAACTCCACCAGAAACGGCACCTCCGCCACCAGCACCTCCATAGACATTTCCAATTCCGCCCATGATCAGGGTACCGCCTCCACCATTCGCGTAGTGCGAGTACACCATCCGCTGGTGACGTGTCCCGGACATGTGCAATGCCATCTGGGTCTCCGAGGTGATGCTCACGTCACAGAGTTCGCACATCAGCCCCTTGGCATCGGTGCGCACCCACCGCCCCTCCAGGTCGTAGTACCCACCGCCGTTGGGCTTTGTCTGGTTCTGGGCTACCAGGCGGTGGCGCTTTCCGAAAAAATGCTGCTGGGCGTGCATCATGGACGTCAACTTTAGGTCACACAGGTCGCAGTAGAAGTCTGCAGGGCGGGTGGTGTTCAGATAGTGCAACACCTCATCCCTTGCACTGCCGGTAACACTTGTGCTCCGGCATCCGCCTACCGGTCCAATGCCAGAGGTCATGCCCAGTTCATCTCCAACGCCACCGTTTGGCCCCACGCCTATGCCTGATATTTTCGCCTGGGCGACGCACTGGCGCACTAGCCAGGAGCTGACCCGCCGGTCGTGGGCCCGCGATGAGTAGTGATCCACTGCGTTGCGTACGGTCCGCATAGACGTGCGGCATAGGCTGCAATAGTTCCAGCGAAACAGGGTCCGCAGCTCGATTGGGTAGCGGCCGCTGGGCTCTGTCGAGGTTGCTGCTGGATCTAAAAAAGAAAGAAAGGCGAGAGAAACTATTAATATCAAGTTTGGGATTTTCGACAACAATTAAAAAGAAAGTCAACCTCTAACATACATATATAGTCTAAAGATTATAAGACCGCAAAAGCACATTCCCCCGAGCTCCGTTTTGTTTCGAATTCCGTATCGTATCGTATCGTCCTTTAAAAGAATAGCTTTTAAAATATATATTGGCCCCATAAAGGCAACTCCAGGTGAAAGTAAAATCAGAAAAGGGGGAACTATGTTTTGACCTGGCCTTTTTATTTTAAGATTCTGGTTTTATGTTCAATTTTGAGGCAGTTGGGACTCCCAACTCACCTGTTTCACTGGCCAGGCGTGATTTTTCCGAGGAATCTCCAGATCCCTCGAAATTCATGGCGGTGGAGTTTTGAATATGGCCTTGACATTGGACCGGGAGGGGAACCATCGTCTGGTAGGAGCCTGTTTCCTGCGTCTGTCCCAACTGGGTGTTATGACTGCGCAACCACATAACCTTGTCCTGATCTGAGTAAGCTGATATTTGTTCCCCGGTTATGAAGCCGTTCTTAATGATTGCGCCACCTGTGTGCTCCTCGCTCACATAGCCGGAGCCCCTATGGCCGTTGATGCTGTTCAGAGGTAGTTTGGGGAGCCCGGCGGGCGTTATTGGAAATGGGGCAAAGCCGTTGATCGGGGTCTGTAGGACCTCGTTCTTTACGTACTCTCCGTTGGTGTCCAAGCAGAGTTCGGCGATCATGCGGTCTTTCATCGTCGCCGCCGCAGTCTGCCGCAATCCGTTGATGGGCCGCGGCCTACGAACAGAACCAATATTGTTGCTGTTGTTTTCCGGGGGCGGCATCAGTGCACGAGTGGTGTTTCCCGGTGGAGTGATCTGAAAACTGTTGTTTTCCGGGGGCGGCATCAGTGCACGAGTGGTGTTTCCGGGTGGAGGGATCTGAACTCTGGGACGATTGGAACCCTCCTGTAGCCATATCTCGGAGTAGTACAGCGGACTGCGTTGCTGCTGGAAGAGGGTGGCCATGAAGTGTGCTCGTATCGGATCCGTTGCCTCTGCGGACACGGCTGCTTCGCAAAAGGTGGAGATATTCTCGGCGGCGGGTGAATCGTTCCTCCCGCTAACCACATGCATCGAGTTCTGTCTAAACACCATGGGGGCCAAGAAGCTTGAGTCAGAGCTGGTGATGCTGGTGGTGCTGCTGCTGTTACTTGGCGGAGACCAGCATTCGATGGCAGTCGCCGCATCCGGCACCGAATTGCCATGCATGGGGCAAGGTGGGCGCTTAGAGGCCTTGATGGATCCGGCATGAGCAACTATCGGAAGATGTTCGTCCGATTGTCCTCCCTCTAAGGAGTTATCAGCGGGCCAACTAGCGGGCATTATGTTCACCTGGTAGAGGTAGATTTCTGCATCGTCAGTGCGGCGGAGCTCCACCAGGACAGGAATATGGCCGGTTGGACATCGAGGCTGGGGCTGCGGCAGAGCAGCTGCCACCCGGACAAGGTTTCGGGCGCACTGCATCACGATCTGCTCATGGACTACAGGTAAATGGCGCAAAGGCCGCGGCTTGTATTTGCGCGTCCACATGGCTCGGTATCACCGGGTCTGGTTCAGCTCTTTGGAACTCTAGCTGACAGCTGGCTGGTTTATAATTTGTTGTTGTCTGGGACTCGTATTGGCCTGGTCCTTTTGGTCAGCGCATCTGGCTTGCGATTTGCGTTCTATTCGTCTTCAGTTTTTTTTTAAATTTCCAATATGCGTTTATACTCTGGTATTTTTTTGCTTCTTTAGCTCGTCGCTTTACATAGAAAATAGAGAACTCGGGTCGTTGATTGCGAAGGGGTGTCCATACACTTGAGGCCGCGCGAAATTCCTCGACCGCTTCTTACTTATTTGTGCTACTATTCTAATACGAAATGTTGGCAAAACATTTGAATTTGTTGGGAATTGGTGTTTAAAATGTGTGAAAGGTTTCTCCACCAGTCGCAAAACTACATAACAAAACTCGATGCCTGACGGGCCTACTTCGGGGATTACAATTTCAAAGCAGACCATGTTTTAATATTTTTCCGAGGGACGCAATTGTTTTTGAATATAAATTAAGGTCTTGGCGGTCTTTAGTGTTGATAAATAGATAGTTTTTTAATAGTTGTGCTTCATTCAAATGGGAGTCAACAAATTATCTCTTATAACACTAAGTTTGTTTTTAATTTACCGATTTCTTTAAAATAATATGGTCTTTTAATAAAATTTGAGTTTTGTCAGAAGTCCTTTTATGGCCTCGTTTCTAAGAAAAGCTTCGCTTTATTTTTGTTCCAAACCATCTGTTGTATTAATACTTCAAGGACACGACCCTGTTCAATGCGTGGGATTAGGATTCAGGAGCTGAATCCAGAATGTCAGCCCCAAGGGTCCTTTTGACGCACACGAAAATACCGAGAAATGGCATGGCAGGGCTTTAAATATTCTCGCAAAACTTTTCGCCTGTGAAACAAAAGCCGGCAAATCAACCGATGCCGACTCGAATGTACCTACATATGTGTCTGCCTGGGGACATTAGAATAATGTTTAGCGCGTGATTTGGCTGGCGTATCCTTGGCATCAATTGTCAGTGCTTAGCCGGAGGGCGAGTTTATCGAGCGGCAGGGGCAGGCAGGAGCAGTCGCACCTGTGGGGAAGCTTTGGGAGCAGGTTGACAACGAACGGCCCTGCCAACATCAATAACACTAATGGGAAAAGGATAAAGATAAGCATTAAATAACACACGTACAACGGGTTTTCTTTTGGGGCTTAAAGAGGGGCATCCGTTTCCGTTCAAATGGAAGCCTACCATATGGGAAACAGTGTTGGGACTAAAAAAGGCCTCTTATGGAAAAACTATATAGTTGAAACAAAGATGAGTTGAGAGAATATTATAATCTTAATAAAAATGTATTTTACTTTTAAGAAATTAATAATTTCTATTATGATTACTTGATTTTCAAATCTTTTTTGTTAATTTTTGTTTCTAATTTAGCTGTAAAATGGCTGATATGTCAGTACTGATCGGATCCAAGGGGGTTATGCTTGGTGGGGCCTGCTACCCCCGGGGGCGGCGTACGTGGAACTGTTAAGCGACACGTTCCACCACCGCCGAGTATCCCCCTGGCCCCATCCCAGTTTTGTTTGCTGTGCGCATTTTTCACATTTCGCGTTTCCGCTTCCGCTTGCTCGCCATTGTCGTGGCTGCTCCGCCAAAAGAAATGTGTCACACACGTGAGCAATTTAAAGCCACGGTCCCGGCCTTCCTTTGCCTCATTTCGATTGCAAACTTAATTTGAAAACTTGGCCTCGCGGCGTGTAAATATGCGTTCAGGACGTGAAATTTATGGAAGCGCTTGGGGCCTTGGATGGATATGCAAATTCTTTTTTGGGGTACAGCTCGTAAGCATTGATTTCTTTTCTCTTCCTACTGAGTGATGCTGATGGAAAGGGCCCCGAGCCAAAGTAAAGACATACATATATGTATATATATTGGTAGATGAATCCCCAAATGGAAGCATCGTTATCGATGTAACTGTTTTCCACGAAAATATTGCTGGAGGCAGAATTACGGTAGGAATATTCATAAATAATCAGAATCATTTAAACACAGCTATTTTCCCTAAAAAGTATATGAATTTTTGCTTCATAATTCAGTTACTTGTAATTCTCAACCAAAAGCTCAAGAATTTATCTTTAGTTTCCGATTCCTGGCTTTACTAGAACCTTATGAAATGAATACAATTGAATCAATTGATTTTCAATGTTAGGAATCTATCTAAAATACTCCCAGTCATCATGCACGTGGGCGTTCTGGAGATGACGCAGGACATGTTCGTAGACCAATGGACGCACATCCTTTGAAAGCGTAAAATCGAAGTGAGAGAATCCATCATAGTCCACTTTCCGACTCTCGATCAGATTGGGAAGTTGTAACTTCAGGTGGGCCACATCCGAGTCGGCTCCCAGCCAGTCACCATCTCCATGATGAATAACAACTTTGCTTAGCACCTGGGAGAGATTGTAGGCCGGTGGCTCCCGTGAAGCATAGCGCAGCTTGTTCAATACTTCTCCATGGTCGAAACGGTGGAAGTGCAGGTCATCCTGGAGCTGGGCGTAGTGGTATATCTGTTTGGCTGAGGCTCCTTGGGAGGCATGGGCAGCCACAATTGGAGTTAGGGTCTGTAAGGATACAATAAGCTAAAGATGATCCATACAAGTCAGATATTTCCACCATACCTTGTTAAAGCCCTTCCAGTCAAAGCCGCAGAGAACAAAGTCAAATATACCGCATATGCTACTGCCAACTTCCGATTGGGAACAGATGTGGTTTTTGAATTGTCGGATGAGTCTATTTTTTGCAGAGATCTCATAGCCACCCAAGAGGTTAAGCAACATCTAATAATATATAAATCATTGTTTTAAGTATTCTGGTTACAGATGGATAGCCACTCACCGAAAATTTACCCTTGAACATGCCCAAAAACTTGAGTACCGGACTGCGATTATCCCGCATGTAAACCGTCGGCGAAAGGGCCTGCATGAGCTGAACTTTCGAGGCATATCTGGGATGTTCACTGCACATTACGAAGAATGCAGTTGACCCTTGGGAGTGGCCAATATAGTTAACTTCGGGCACACTGGTCTTCATCTGGATAAAGTCAATGGTGGAGGGCAGATCGTACTTTCCGATCTCGTGGAAGGAGAAGTCCCAGTACTTCCGCGGCGGCAGGCGACCGTCCACGTGCTTTCTGGAGTAGATGTTGCCTCGGGTATTGAGCATCCAAACATCATAGCCCTTCCGGTGGAGAATGTAGGCCAGGCCGTTGGCCGGTCCGAATTGCACCCAGGACGCTGAACTGGACATCACGCCATGGACAAGGAGGACCGCCTTGCCTCCTTTGCGGGGTATGCGATGCAAACAGAGCGTATAACCATCCGGTGTGTTGAAGTAGTGGGTCTCCGAGGGGTAACCGTACTTGGTAATTAGTCCCACCTGTTAGATAATTCGTCGCATATTAAAACACATATAATTATGTAATGTTCAGGAATTAGCATCTTCATTTATTTTCTTTCAAGGTTTTTACAAAAGTCTGGGACACAAAACATATTTAAATTCACTTAATAGTTAGAATGACCTTTTTCTTGATTTGTGATTCCGTTTCCTGCAATTCCAGCCATTGAAACCTTTGATATCATATTGTTAAAATTTATAAAAATTTCGTGATGAGAAATAAGTGAAGATACTCTGTGTCGTTTCTTATGGAATTTGGACCTTTTGGTTTGGGCAATTTTGGTTATTTTTTTTTTTTTATGAAAAATTGTGTTACTTTTTTGTAGTTAATGGATCAGAAAGTCATCCATGCTGGGTGTTGGTAAAAAGTAGTTTAAATTTTTTTAAGGATTTCACATGTGTTTTTACCCACTTACCGTGTTCAATTTAGAATCGGCTGAAATGTCGTCCTGCAAAGTTAACATCGGGCCACGACCTCGCTCTTTTGGTACCAAGGCCTCCCTTTGTTTTTGGTGTTGCGATTGATTTTGGAGTTGTAATTGTTTTGGATTTAAAGATCGATACATGGATAGATCAATTATTTCATCTTGATCATTTAAAGCTTTTTGTGATTGTGCTTGCGATTGAGCTTGTGATCCAGATTGAGCCTCCGATTGAGATTGGGATTGCGACTGTAACTGCTTCTGGTGTAAAGGCATGGGACTATAAATACCCTTAATATCATGTTGCATATTAGACTGTGTTTGGGTCTGGGACTGCGACTGGGACTCTTCCTGGGCTTGTGACTGTGCCTGATACTGCGACTCGGCTTGTAGGTTGGACTGCGTTTGCGATTGGGTTTGTTTCTGATGCTGTAATCCGCCGCCTTGGCTGTTTAACTGTGACTGCGTCTGTCTTTGGTGCTGGAGTGCCAAGTTAGAACCTTGGCTGTTTAACTGTGTCTGCGTCTGTCTTTGTTGCTGGTGCTGGTCTGCCAAGCTGGAACCTTGGCTGTTTATCTGCGTCTGTTCCTGGTGTTGATGGGCCAAGTTAGAGCCGCCACTTGGATTGATAACCACAATGTTCGGCCTTCTCGCTGTTTCTGGATTCAGAATGATTATATTACCTTGGCCATTGCGAATTTTACTATTAGTCTGGGTCTGCGTTTGGATTTGTTTCTGATTCTGTCCTCCGCCTTGGGTATTGATCTGTGTCTGCTCTTGCTTTTGCTGTTGGTTAGACTCAATCGTGTTAGGAAGGATCACATATTTGGTTTTTTCAACATATTTGGGTAAAATAATCTTGCGTACAGGTTGCCTGACAATAACGATGCGTCGTCGTTCTTCCAAAATTCTGTTCTTCAGTTCTTCCAACAGTTTAACCTGCAATTCAGCTCTTGCTTTGGCAAGAGTTTTCTGTAGGGCTAGGGCGGTGGCTTGAGCTCTTACTTCCGTTCGGGATAGTCTGAAGAATCGGTCTATAGCTAGAGATCGTGCCTGCCTAAGAGCTTGTAGCTGAGCAAATGCTTCCGCATAAATATAACCTTGAGATTGGGCCCGAGATTGTGCCAGGGCTTGATGCCTTGCCAGAGCTGCAGCTGCAGCGTCAGCCCTAACCTTTTCCCTAGTTTTTGCCCGATCCAGAGTAGTAACCTTAAGTTCAGCTCTAGCTTGGGCCGACGCATGAGCCTGGGCTTCAGCTTGAGCCTGGATCTTTAGCTTCCTTATATATTGAGCAAAGGCCAGCGCCTTAGCCCATAACACACTCTGTCTGTAAGTTTGTTCCTGTATCTGCACTTGCAGTTCTATTAGATATTGCTCCTGCAATTTTAATTGGGTTTCTTTCTCTAGTTCGGAATGCTGTATAAGATCTCGTATAAATTGGATCTGTTGTTGCGATTGGTACTGGCCTAGGATTTGTCTTAGAATATTTTGTTGTGTCTGTGTCTGTGTCTGCGACTGTGATTGCGATTGCGATTGAGACTGGCTTTGAATTTGATTCAATAAACTGGCTTGAGCCTGAGCTTGTGCTTGAGCTTGGGCTTGAGCCTGAGCTTGGGCTTGGGCTTGTGCTTGAGCCTGGGCTTGTGCTTGGGCTTGAGCTTGTGACTGTGACTGTGATTGAGACTGTGATTGAGATTGAGATTGAGACTGAGACTGAGAAAGCGCTTGAAGATCTTGGAGATATTGCTCCTGGGCTTGTGATTGAGTCTGGCTTTGGATTTGATTAAGAGAATTTTCTTCAGCTTCAGCCTGAGCCAGAGCTTGAGATTGAGATTGAGATTGACTTTGTTGCTGTGCTTGTGACCGCGGTAGAACATCGTAATAAATAGGTTGATCCAGTAGATAATCCTTTTTATTTAACAATTGATTTTGAGATTGTGATTGGGTTTGAGTTTGCGACTGGGATTGATCGTTCAATATTGTATATTGCGGCTCCTTATAATAATCAACTATAATTAATAATTGTAGGTATGTGAGAGGGAAAATGTATTTTATTAAGTGTCCCTGAGACTTTCTTACCTAATTGACTACCTCTAATAAATCCTCCTGGTGTTAATGGTCCAAGTGGTCCAAATCCTGGATTAAATCCTATATCTGGTCCAAGTGGTCTTGGATCTAATACAACACCAGAAACGACTGCACTTAGGAAAACTAGCGCACAAAGCGCCTTGTAGAAATCAGTCAGCATATTGAAACTGAACTTACTACGAAAAGTGAAATCATTTTCTTTTATAGGCTCAAACTTTAATATACGAGAAATTAAAAAACACACGCTTCGAATAAGATTTCACAGAGAATATAATGAGATTAACATTCCAAGGTTGCATCATTAGCGGAAAGGCCAGAAAAGGTTATATGGGATCGGGCAACCTTGAGAAAACCTTTCCATCTATTTCTTCTGTTTGTCCTTTTTATATTCAGGATTTCAGGACTGTGGTTGTAAGGATGAGCATCCTAGGGCAATTGATCAATCATTTATTTCGAATTAAAAAGCTAGCCTCCAATGATCAATATTATATAATAATATTCTATATGCCACGTTGGTCACTAAACTGAATGTTATATTCCACAGATATTCAGTTATATAAATTGATGCTAAACTGTTACAATTTGTAACCATATATCCCCTATAACCGTATTTTTACTATAATATTTAAACATATTATATTATTTAGCCATGCCATAGTTACATATTACTCCTCAAAGATCATGAGATTGTAAAATATGATCCCATTAGTTGTATAAACCAAACTTGAAACCAAAGATTTAATGAGCCACAAACTTGCAGGATTTTCTTTCAAGAAAAATAAAATATTTATTTAAATTGAATTTAATTTATTGAATAGATTTTTATAAAAACTTTACAGAATAGTTTTTAGATTCGACCAAAGACCCTTATTCGAGCCTTATTTTGCGCAGGAGTTGACAACACTGTCGTAAACCAATGGTCGGATATCCTTTGAGAGGGTGAAGTCAAAGTGGGTAAAGGCCGCAAAAGGCACCTTTCTGGTCTCAATGACGTTGGGCAGCAGCTGCTGCAGCCTCTATCCTCCTGGCATTAATGGTCCAAGTGGTCGAGCTAATGGTCTAAATCCTGTATCTGGTCTAATTGGTATTGGTCGAAATCCTGCTGGAAAAAATGGGACAACACCAGAAACGACTGAACTTAGGAAAACTAGCGCACAAAGCGCCTTGTAGAAATCAGTCAGCATATTGAAACTGAACTTACTACGAAAAGTGAAATCATTTTCTTTTATAGGCTCAAACTTTAATATACGAGAAATTAAAAAACACACGCTTCGAATAAGATTTCAAAGAGAATATAATGAGATTAACATTCCAAGGTTGCATCATTAGCGGAGAGGCCAGAAAAGGTTATATGGGATCGGGCAACCTTGAGAAAACCTTTCCATCTATTTCTTCTGTTTGTCCTTTTTATATTCAGGATTTTAGGACTGTGGCTATAAAGATGAGCATCCTAGGGCAATAGATCAATCATTTATTTTGAATTTAAAAGCTAGCCCCCAATGATCAATATTATATAATAATATTCTATATGCCACGTTGGTCACTAAACTGAATGTTATATGCCACAGATATTCAGTTATATAAATTGATGCTAAACTGTTACAATTTGTAACCATATATCCCCTATAACCGTATTTTTACTATAATATTTAAACATATTATATTATTTAGCCATGCCATAGTTACATATTACTTCTCAAAGATCATGAGATTGTAATATATGAACCCATTAGTTGTATAAACTAAACTAGAAACCAAAGATTTAATGAGCCACAAACTTGCAGGATTTTCTTTTAAGAAAAATAAAATATTTATTTAAATTGAATTTAATTTATTGAATAGATTTTTATAAAAACTTTACAGAATAGTTTTTAGATTCGACCAAAGACCCTTATTCGAGCCTTATTTCGCGCAGGAGTTGACAACACTGTCGTAGACCAATGTTCGGATATCCTTTGAGAGGGTGAAGTCAAAGTGGGTGAAGGCTGCAAAAGGCACCTTTCTGGTCTCAATGACGTTGGGCAGCAGCTGCTGCAGCCTCTGCACATCTGATCCAGAGCTCATCCAGTCACTATCACCATGATGAAGCACTACCTTGCAGTTCACCGCCGAGATATTGTACTGTGGAGGTCGAATCTGCTGGTAGCGTATGCGATTTATCAGAAGGCCGAAGTCGTAGCGCTGGAAGTAAGCGCTTCCGTGCATCTGACCATAGTGGAGGACCTGCTTGGCAGCGGCACCCTGCGAGGCGTGGCCGTCAACGATGGGGGTGAGGGTCTGAAAAGATCAATTGGATTTACGCTACTCAAAAAGTCAAAGAGTACTCTACCTGATTGAAACTCTTCCAGCCGAAGCCGCAGACAATAAAATCGAAGATGGCACAAATTTTACTGGTTATTATCGATGCGGAGCAAATGTATTTGTGGAAACGTTTGATGAGCTCAGTTTTCCGGGAGATCGCATGGCCACCTAAAAGATTCAACAGCATCTGGAAGATAATGTGTAAAAAATGAGCTTTCATGTTAAAGTCTAAGGACTCACCGATGCGCCTCCTTTAAAGAAGCCCAGGAACTTTAAAACAGGACTTCTGTTTCCCTCCATGTAAACTGTTGGAGACAGAGCCTGCATGATCTTTATCTTGGCCATATAATGGGGCAGTTCGCTGCCCATCACGAAGAACGCAGTTGAGCCTTGGGAGTGGCCAATGTACTGGACTTGTGGCATATTCGTATTGAGAATAATGTAATCGATGGTTGCAGGGATATCGTAAATGCCGATCTCGTGGAATGAAAAGTCCCAGTATTCCCGATCGCCTATTTGAGCATTTTCGTGCTCCCGAGAATAGAGGTTGCCTCTAGTATTTAGCAACCAGACGTCGTAACCCTTCCGGAAAAGGATGTAGGCTAGACCAGACGAAGGACCCATTTGTACCCAGGAAGAGGAACTAGACATAAGACCGTGAACGAGGATAATGGGCTGGGCCCCTGGCCGAGGAATGCGATGGAGGCTGAGCTTGTATCTGTCACCAGTTGTAACAACATGGGTCTGTGCAGGGTAGCCATACCTCTGGATCAACTCAGACTTTCGATAAAATTTATTTTTTTTAGTATATTGATAAACAAGTAAATTAGTTTCCTCTTACCGTTTTTAACTTAGCATCTATTTCGATGTCAGTTTTGGAAAAGAATGGTGGCGGATTAGCGCACCGACCGCAATCGGAAGGTCGGTCTTCTTTTAATCCCAAGAAACTCGTTCGATAGGCTGAGAGATTAATTGACATAGAGTCTTCCTGATTGTCAGCCAGTGCCTGTGCCTGAGTCTGAGCTTGAGCCTGTGCTTGAGCCTGAGCTTGAGCCTGTGCTTGAGCCTGTGCTTGAGCCAGTGCCTGAGCTTGAGCTTGTGCCTGAGCCTGTGTTTGAGCCTGTGCCTGAGCTTGAGCTTGAGCCTGCGCTTGAGCCTGAGCCTGAGCCTGAGCCTGAGCTTGAGCCTGAGCTTGAGCCTGTGCCTGAGCTTGAGCCTGTGCTTGAGCTTGAGCTTGTGCCTGAGCCTGTGTTTGAGCCTGTGCCTGAGCCTGAGCTTGAGCCTGTGCTTGAGCCTGTGCCTGAGCTTGAGCCTGTGCTTGAGCCTGTGCCTGAGTCTGTGCTTGAGCCTGTGCCTGAGCTTGTCCTTGTGCCAGAGCTTGAGCCTGTGCTTGAGCCTGTGCTTGAGCTTGAGCCTGTGCTTGAGCCTGCGCTTGAGCCTGTGTCTGAGCTTGAGCCTGCGCCTGAGCCTGAGCTTGAGCCTGTGCTTGAGCTTGAGCCTGTGCCTGAGCTTGAGCCTGTGCCTGAGCTTGAGCCTGTGCTTGAGTCTGTGCCTGAGCCTGTGTTTGAGCCTGAGCCTGAGCTTGAGCCTGAGCTTGAGCCTGTGCTTGAGCCTGCGCCTGAGCCTGAGCTTGAGCCTGCGCCTGAGCTTGAGCCTGTGCTTGAGCTTGAGCCTGTGCCTGAGCTTGAGCCTGTGCCTGAGCTTGAGCCTGTGCCTGAGCTTGAGCCTGTGTCTGAGCTTGAGCCTGCGCCTGAGCCTGAGCTTGAGCCTGTGCTTGAGCCTGAGCCTGTGCCTGAGCTTGAGCCTGAGCTTGAGCCTGTGCTTGAGTCTGTGCCTGAGCCTGTGTTTGAGCCTGTGCTTGAGCTTGAGTCTGTGCTTGAGCTTGAGCCTGTGCCTGAGCCTGAGCCTGTGCTTGAGCTTGAGCCTGTGCTTGAGCTTGAGCCTGTGCCTGAGCGTGAGCTTGAGCTTGTGCTTGAGCCTGTGCCTGAGCCTGTGTTTGAGCCTGTGCCTGAGCCTGTGCTTGAGCTTGACCTTGAGCTTGAGCCTGTGCTTGAGCTTGAGCCTGTGCCTGAGCCTGTGTTTGAGCTTGTGCCTGTGCTTGAGCCTGAGCCTGTGCTTGAGCCTGCGCCTGAGCTTGAGCCTGTGCTTGAGCTTGAGCTTGAGCCTGTGCCTGAGCTTGAGCCTGAGCTTGAGCCTGTGCTTGAGTCTGTGCCTGAGCCTGTGCTTGAGCCTGCGCCTGAGCCTGAGCCTGTGCTTGAGCTTGAGCCTGTGCCTGAGCTTGAGCCTGTGCTTGAGTCTGTGCCTGGGCCTGTGTTTGAGCCTGTGCTTGAGCCTGTGCTTGAGTCTGTGCCTTAGCCTGTGTTTGAGCCTGTGCCTGAACCTGAGCTTGAGCCTGTGCCTGTGCTTGAACTTGAGCCTGTGTCATAACCTGTGTTTGAGCTTGCTTTTGAACCTGACCTAGACCCTCTACAATATACCTTCTTTCATTCTCAGCATGAGCTTTATCAACAACTTCGCTCAAATATTGAGCACGCGCTTTAGCCAGAATCCGACTTAAAAACTGAGATTGAGCATCAGCGGTTTTTCGAGTCGAATTATTAGCCGATCCCTGTTGCAAAGCCTGTTGATGAGCCTCAACCAGTGCTTTAGCTTCATTCATGGCTGCACTTAACAATTTAACTTCAGTATTTAATCCTTTCACATAGTTGTCCTGATTTTGTGCCTCAGTTTCTGCTCGAACCCGAGCTTCCCTCAATCTTTTACATACCACCTTAGCCTTAGCTTCTTTTGCAACCTTTCGTACTACCGATGCTTTGTATTCCAGTAATAGTTTACGCTGACTCCGAATCGTATTTTTCGCCCTATGTTGTAATTCTCCCAAATATTGAATCTTAGCCAAAGCTTTCACTTGTTCAATTGCTAAGTTAACTAATCTTGCTTCTTCATCATTTTGCTTTGCCAGTTGTTGCAATTCCGGAGACTCTCTTTGAAGCTTGACTGACGGAATTGATTTGGACGGAGAAACTTTTTGGTTTTCTGTACCTGCATTTCCATTTTGGATATTGGCTTGCGATTGGGATTCAGATTCTGGACTGGATTTGCTTGGTACGGCTGATCCTATCACCAGGAGCACAAATAGTGCTGAGATTGAAATGGTATGCGTCATAGTGGCAAACGACTTAAATGTCCATACCAACTAGTTTCTTTTATACTTTTCCCTTTTAAAGGGCGAAACATTTTAATTTTCATGGATACTCTAATCATCATAGATAATCTAATAACAAAGCGTCAAAAAGCGAAACATGTTTAAAGGTTAAATAAGATACCAACGTTACTTATATTTCATCGGAAAGATGAATATTTCATGCTTTTTAATTAAACCTTTTAAAATATAATAATCACAATTTCACATAGAAAAAAAACCTTATGTTTCCTTGTAGGAAAGTTTCTAAAATTAGTCTAAAACACAATTTGTATTTTTCAACCAAAAGAGTAAGGATTACATAGTCAAGATTATACAAATACTTATTAAAGTCAGACCAAATGAGAAGTAAGAAAAATGCTTTTTCGTATCAGCTTGTATATGCCTGGCGCCGCAGCACAACCCTTATTATCCTTGGTCCTTATTTTGTCCTTGTTCCGGTGGTGTTGGTAGAGTCAACCCACTCGCTTATTTGCGCAAATTTGATTATCAAAATACCCAAGGCGAGTGCAGCCGCACTTCGAGGCGGGGAAAGGAACATGGATAATGCCATGTCGCCGCATTAACGCCTCGGTAGGATCGGATTGGTCCTGGTCCTGGCCCTGGCTCTAGCCTTGTCCTTAGTCCTAGTCCTGTTCCTGGTCCTGCTCGTCGTCGCGTGAAACAAGCTGGAAATTGAGTTTGACTGCCTACTCTGTCCCCACCCAGCTCATTCCACAAGTTGGCTGATTAAAGTTTCGCGCCGGCGTCGCCTTTGTTTGCCAAGTTGCGGTGATTTGTAATTTTTTCAAGCATATCATTAGGATGCAGCCGGGTCCTGCACAAATGGAACATTAAGCTCCACCGACAGCGCTTGACACATATTAAATTTCATACCAGTGACAGTCGGACTACGAATAGCAATCGGAATCGGGCTCCTAATGAAGGTTAAGCAACTTTTAATGTCCTGGCCCCGGCCATTTTGCAGACCATTAAATGTTTCGCCTGGCAATATGCCATATGTTTCCAGCATGGACATAAGCCCCGGCAGAGGCAAAAACTTTCCTTATCATCTCAGTGCCAAAACCCATAAAGACGTTGGCTAAGTCCGCCCGTGTGTGCCGGGCCGCGCCGCGCCGTGCCGTGCTCTGACTGGCTTGTGTATCTGTGATGACACGACGATGACAGTAATCGTGATCCCAGTCATGGTAATGATGACACTGGAGCTCGCAGCCATTTGAGCATATGTCGTTGGAGGCTAGGGGATTCAGGTTGGGCCGACCGACACTTAACGTTCATGTGGAATGTTAACGAGCGATTTCACACTTTCGTTCTGCAGTTCGAATATCTTTCGGTCTTTGATTCCATTCAGCTTTTTTTCAATTACTAATTGAGCCCTGAAATCGTTCAGATCGACGTTTCGAATTCATTTTATTTTATTACTTTTTACTACATTGTATAGGGTTTCGTAGCGCTCCTATTGTAACAGGCCGATGGGTCCTTTCCGGTTTCCAAGTCAAAGTGGTGTGACTTTCTGCCCCTGAACTTACATCCATACGAGACCCTTTACCATTGAACCAGAACACTTTATAGTCTGAAGTGGCATGTAGTCTTAAACACACTACAAAAAACATTTGATAAATATTCATAAGTTTTTAGAGTTTAGTAATTTTTTTAATGTTAATTCGTATACATTGTATCCAGTATTGTTTAAGAACTTGGTTAAGGTGTTGTGTACTTCGACAGAGTATGGATATCGTATCTGTAAGTATGAAGTATCTAAGAGATCTAGGTTCTGATGCTAAGTTTAAGTATACATATATTGAAACCCTACTCTGACTTAAACATTTGATTTATATTCGCTGTATTTTTGAAGAAAAGCTTTTATTATTTTAAGCGTAACTAAGCATATTATTTATTTAAGAAAGGAATGCATGGAAATAATACAGGATCATCAATGTAATCTCTCTAAAGAGGATGAGGTTAGTTTAGTTTTCTTTTAGAAATTTCATGTTTATAATATAATATTTTGTTCACCTATTACTTATTGATTGGAAGACTTTTTTTTTTATATTATTACCAAAGGAATTATTTGCAAGCCATACATGAACCTACGCCGGTCATAACCATAAGATAGGCACTTGATAGGCCAGTCAGATCCATGAGGATCACCAAAACCAGTAGAAAACCAGTTAAAGGTAGCGTCTTTATTTTGCATATGAACTTGGTTACAAGTTACAAACCTAAATTAAAATTGAACCTTTGCAAAACCCCTTTAAACACGTAACATTAACTGTATATAATATAATTAAGTAAACCATTTAGCAACTTCCTCATGATCTTGTAGTAGTTTGTTTCTTCAAGTGCATTAGATGTCTTGGTATGGGAGTATTTTGCATTTTCCCACACTCACCCTCTGGTAGTGGCACACCCCTCTGTAATTTCATGCTCCATTGGCCAGAGAAATCGCCGCACAATCAAAGAAAAGGTTCTCCCTTTAAGTTGTCCAGCTCGAGCGACTTCCAAGAATTTGGCCCACATTGTCCGAACTCAACGCTAACATTTAAAATGTTTTAGCATTTATAAATATTTATAGTTTACCATAGTACCAAAGCTTACAATTTAAGTTCACAGTTAAGTTCGATTTTACACTAATTATTTACATAGTTTATGATAAGAATTTACGAGGATAAACTTTTTTTAAATTTATTTCTTACCAACTTAATAGACATCATTTGTGATATATTGTGCTATAGAAAAAATTGTATAGATTGATTTAAATTTGCTTTGATTTTCAGAATTAAAAATATATTTATTTATTTTATAATTTTAATTACATTGTTTATATCCTTATCCACAGGCCGCGCCGAAGCAAAAGCCACCGCCAATGGAACCGCCTATGCCACCTCCCGTACCACCGCCCATACATGGGCCCATGTTACCGCCATTGTTACCCCCCATGTTACCCCCCATGTTACCGCCCATCCCACCGCCCATACATGGGCTCATCTGCTGAATAACGGCATTAAATGCGGCTTGAAAACCAACCGCCAGCGATTTTAGAATGAAACAAGCAGTGGATTGGCCAGTCAGAACTCCGAGGATCACCAAGATCAGTAGTAACGCCGTGGAAGAGACAGACTTCATTTCGCTGATGCACTGGGTTTAGATCACAATATTTTATTAAGCTTGAAGCTTAACAAAACTCCTTTAAATAGTTAGCTTTTAACTGTGGATAATGGAATTATTTAAGCTGATTAAATCTATATTATGGATTATGGTGGTCGTGTCACAGTGAATTTTGAATTTTCACACCTGGTAGTTGTAAAGCTCTTTAAGGTGTACAGCTCGAGTGACTACCAAGAATTTGGCCCACATTATTCGAATTTAAGGTTATCCGAACATTTTCAAATATATTCAAATTCCTTGGCACAATTTATGCACTTCGAATTTTGTGCGCGGGAATTTTCGTGACAAAACTCGTAAATTTTTGTTGGCTTTCGATTGGCGTTTGTCCAGGGGCCTTTGTTGCGTTATTTATGCAGTTGCCTCCTCGATGTCCTCATGCCTCATGCCTCGTGCAACACTATCTCCCGTTGCCGCTTGGCCCTGACTGCAGTGGCCACTTGCTTCCGCACGCCATTTCTTTCTTTCCAGCTTTCTCCGCGGCTCCACTCCATTTTTATTTTCTGTTTGTTGGTTTTTTTTGTCCCCAATCTTTATTTTTTTTTCGTCCTGCTGTTTGGGGGCCCCAACACGAGAAGTCCATTTCGAAATTTATGTACACACAAATTGAAAGCACTGGGAGGGGCCGAGAACCGAAATGAAAGAAAGAAAAGTGTTTTGAAACTGGCTGGCAGAAAAAAAGAAGTTGCTGGCTGCATTGCTCGAATTGCAGTTTCGGTAAAAAGAACTCGGCAAAGAAAAAACAAACGATATGCCTTTAAGTGACACTTGCCAAGGGGTTTCATTTTCCTGGAGGGCGGACAGAGGCGGTGGAGTCGCTCTAACAAACGCTTTGTCCAAAACAGTCGACAAAACGCTTTGAATGTTGATTTTGGAGAGGCCAGTGGGGCCTGCAACGAGTCGTACCAAAAAGAGATCAGATAATGGTAAAGACGATTGTGAAAATAACTGAAATAAATGGCTTTAAGGTTTTAAATTTAGAGCCATTTCAGTCGAATTGTAGCTTGATTGTAATTAGAGTATTCATTCAAAATGCTTTCCCATAAGAACCATACCCCACTTTAAACAGGATAAAACTTCCGCTGGGCTCATTTGTGAAAACAACCGGAGCAGTTTATTGCCCTCTGAACTTCTGGCCAAAGCGCAAAGTTCAGGTCGTTTATAAGGCGGCATTGGCATTTGACTCTCTCGGCAGTTGCGAGTTGCGATTGCTCTTGGCATAAATTAGATGTTGGGAAATAGGTTGCCATTTCTGCGGCTCCTGGCTTTAGCTATTCAAGTCCAGGTTCGAGGTTCCTGCCGGTGTGGATCTCATCATAGCCGGCGGTGAGCGCTTTTGTTTTGGCGGTGGTGGCAGTAGCGGTGGCGGTGTCATCGCGGGTTACCCTGGGTCGTATTTAACCCAGCTGAGCCGACGAAGCTGTGCCCCGTTTCCTGTCTGGCTGACTGACTGACTGACTGCATTTGCATTTCAATGCTTTGCCTCTTTTTAAAGAGCTTCAATGTGCACAGAGGAAAATGTCTAGTCCTCTATAAACCTAAATAAGAAAGTCATATTAGCTATGCTGTTTATATACATTTTTTTCAATGCATGCCTCTCTGCTTACCCAATTGTAAACTCAATTATCGCTGAATACGCGACTGGCAACTTTGTCTTGTGTATGCTAATTTTATTACAATGCAGTTAAGGGCCCCGAAACCACTCCATTCCCAGGACCCGGCTCAATACCCAATGAATTATGATGGACGTTGTCATGAGTGAGACACTCTCGCATAATACAGGGTCCGTGGTCTGCGGCTTTCTGGACTGTGCTGTGCGTGTGTGCTGGCCATGTTTATCTCACTGGCCAACGTATACTTAGCACATTGCCGGTGGTTTGTTCGCGGGGCATGGGGTGGTGGTGGGGCCAATGCGGGGGCGGTCAATGCGCGTTAGGCCGCCTGGCACGCCATCAGTAGATTGCTGGCTAGGCGTTTTCGCCTGCCACGCCCCTCGACACTCGGCGGGGAAGGACCTCCAAGAGCGGAACAAGAGAAATGAAGTGCTTAGCGCCTGGCTACTCACAGTAATGCGAGAAGTACACTGATAGTAAAAGTAATGATCTTGGTTTTCTGTTTTTGTAGTTCTTTAATATTTTATTAAGGTGTGTTTAGGATCTCTTATTAAAGTTTCTTTTAAATAATTAGTAAGACAAAAAATACTTAAACTAATCTTTCCAGTGTAGAGCTTAGCGCTGCGATGGCGAACCCTTTTGCGACGCCACTTCATTATAAACAGTTCTCAATTGATTATCGTTAGTTTTCCACGGGTTGGTGGTCATATGAGTGGGTGGAAGTGGGCGAAGGTCTGCATGTGTTTGTGTGATAATGCCATAATTATGCCCTTGCCTTGGCGTGCTCAAAGTTACAGCTCGTGTTATAGTTGCGGCTTTTTCCTCGCCGATTATATTTGCACGCATGTCCTTTTTCAGAGCCTTTTCCCATTTTCCCGTTTCCCATTTACGCCGTGTTTTCACGGCTGTCCGGACCGTGGAGCCCGCTTTTTGCATGCCGCTCTCACATTTAAGTAAGTAATCCACATAAACTGCTCTCGAAATATTTCATTATCGTAATGAAAAGGACTACAGCACATTATATTTATTTTTGTTTCGCCCTCCTACCCAGTCGCTGCCAGCATGGAGCCTTGTCAGTTATTGATAGCGAAGCTTTCTTAATGGCCATGTCATGGGGGTAAATTAAAAGATTTCTGGTTTATGTTCAAGGGATTTTCCTAGGGGACAACTTAATGTGTTTGGCTGCCAAAGGACGACAAGGAGTGTAAATATCTCAAGGAGTATGTACAAAAATTTCCGAGGGACTGAGACTCCTTAATTTTTCTGAAACTTAAAGTCAACTTTTCGCTTTCCCCCAAGAAATCAAAGGCAAATCAATTGCTGTCAGCCGCTCCTTCTCCTCAGTGTGCAATTAGTCAGTAAAACAAGTTTTCATTAAATGGACTTAATTCAATTAATTTATGGCTGCAAATTACGATTCGTATTAAATTAAATAACGATGCATCTCTTATAAGGATCAAAACTGACACACATCAGCAGGAAAGTTTTTCATTCTTGGTTTGTGTGAAATTAAAACTCAATGGCTCGGATTTCATTCCCCAATCGGGCTAGATAGTGTGAAAAATTGAGTTTTCACGCCTGCCTTGCCACCCAATCGGAAAGTCTTCTCGTTTTCCATAAATTAATCAATTCGGGGACCATTGTCGCTGTCAGCTGTAATCCTTTATCACTCGTTCATTTTATTGATGGGCCGCCGCAAGGATGCGCCAGGATTCTCCAGTTCCATGCGCCTGTGACAATACACAAATAATTACGTAATTAATGGAAAGAGAGCATCATATTTTTTTATCGACGGAAATTAACAAGCAGTCGACACGATTCAGTGGCGATTGGGGGAAAATTTATGGCCCCGATCACCCATTGAGCCCGCTAGTTAAATCAACTTTAAATGCCAGTAAATATTAAAATTAATTAACTTGAACATCAGGTTCATAGTTTTTCTTTAAATTATAATTTGTTTGTTTCATAATTGCCATCACATATTTTGCTGTTTATTTTAAAGTGTTTTTATGAGTCTGGAGAGCCAACATTTTTTTCTTATTGTTTATATTTGCAAAAAAAATTGCATTTTTTTTCTAGGTGGTCTGATTTACTTTAATTTCTTTAATGTATTTAAATCGTTTTCCGTTCAAATGGCTCTTTTTTTTGTTGAAAATTTAAATGTTTTATTCCTGAATCTGGCAGAGATTCACAGACTCTGACCCTGAACTTGTCGCTTTGCCGAAATAAATTCAAAGGCAGATCCAGATCCATGTACTGTGGCACGTGCACAAAAGTAATTACAAAACGCAGACAAAGTGGGGGCGGACCTTCCACACCCCGTCACACTCTGCCACTGCAAGTAGGCGTGGCCTGGGGGCAGTTGAGTGGGGCTGACAGCTAAAAAACGAATTGTAATTGGCTTCGAGTCCAGTCTGGCAGCAACCAGAAGGCGTTAGAATAGAGACTGCAATATGGCGGCAGGCCCCGTCCAACTTGTCTGGCCCACACTTGACCCCCGACCCCCAGGACTCTGGGACCACCCCCACCCTGAGTGAATTGCAAGTTGCTCCTTTGACTTGCCAAAAGAATGGAGTCCTGGCCTGGCTTGGCTCCAAAGGTTTCACCCAAGCCGTAAAGTTACCAGGACTGACCTTCAATCGCTCTAGCCACTTTTTCACTTAGGCTTCACGCACTTTTTTTTCTCCCCCTGGCGCCATAATGAGCCAAAAACTCGTAAGGAGCCAACTCCTTTCGGCCGAAAGACAAAGGCTTCACATGAAATTTTATGCGCGCGTGATTAAAAGTCACGTGCGTGGCGAACATAAAAATAAGGGGGGCGCGTGATAAAGAAGGTGAGCTTTTAGAGGGAGCTGGAGTTGAGCAACTGCTGCAACTAATGTGAGGCCACGAAAAGCGAACAATGCTGATCATAATCTTCTCCAGTCCAGATGCTGCTGCTAACGAGCTTCGTGCCTAGATACACTTCAGAACATGGTCTACTAAAATGGGAGCAATTTCAAACTGACAAGAAAAAATTATAAAAACAGGTCTTTTTCAAAAAAGAAGAAGCCATTAATTACCTAATAGCTTACTAAATTAAATATATATTTTTCTATACTTGCTACTGATTCTATTTGAACAGTGTAGACAACCAACTAGCTCTAGGCATTTAAGGCTAAGAGCTCTGCTCCCATTGTCTCAACACAGCTCCCACTAAGGGCTATCCAGTTCCTGGCCAATTGATTGGTCTCGTTTTCATTGTTGTCCAAGCGGGTTTATGGCCTGTAATGCCGCTGGTTTCACTGCAAGTTGCAACACTCTTCTGGCCGCTTGATTGTCGTGTGATTGGCAGTTGGCACCATAATGGCCCGAAAGTCAATGAAGGAGGCCAGTCAAATGGCTAATTGCTGGGGCACGCGTCGGGACTTCAAGGAACCGCCGGCCAAGTTGGTCCGCCAGTTAAGGTAAGACCAGGAAATTGGGTAACTTGGCTGACAGCTAAATTTGTTGACTGTCTGAAGTAGGTCAAAAGGGCAATGATTTCTAACTGAAATTAATTCTATATTTATAAATACTTTGTTTACAAGAATTTTAAAAATGTTAAAAATTCTTTAATCACGCTTTAATCATTGATGTAACATATTGTTGGGCCACCTCGTTTCGAGAGAGCCTTGGGATTTTGGTGTTACATTGATAAATTGACACATTTTCCCACCTTAATTTTAATGGCAGCCCCAAGGCACTGGCCCCTTGAAATTCACGCCTATTGAGCATGAAACCAAGGTTTCAACTCCGACATTCTGCCAACTGACTTGTGCAGAGCCACAGCCCTACTGGCAGGCTCTGTTCCCTCCGCCCACATGCCAGGGGCCGTCAAGCTGCCAAGGCTCCCGCAGTCCCCAATCGAGCCCCCTGAACCCCCATGACAGCCCTTGGAATTGCCAACATGTGGTGACAACGCCGAATTAAGTTATTTGTCAAATGTCGAAACGTTGGGCAGCACATCAGGCCTATGTTGGCATCGGTGCCGGAGTGCCCGGAATCGAAATCCGGACCCAGACCCCGAATGGCAAGGAAGGATTCGGTGCGATGCCATTCCGCTCCGCCTGCGTCCGTGTCCGCATCCTCATCCGTATCCATGTCCGCGTCCTCGTCCTCGTCGCTTTGTCAGCCTGTCAGTCGTCGCCAGTGACAGCAGTTGCTGCAAATAAAGGAGCGGCAAATATTTTATGCAGAAGCTGAAATCAATTTTTGCCAATCAATTGCGAAAAAAGAAAGCGATGACGTAGGCAATGAAAGGGCCGATTCAAATGTTTGCCGAGTGGACACGGTCCACTCCACAACCGGATTAAAAATTAAATTTTCCAATTAAGCCGGCCAAACATTTCTAGGACTACACACTTTCGGAAGTGGTCAGGCAAATCTGATTAAAAGGAATACGCTTTGATTTCCCTCTCAGTATTCAATGGAGGTTTTTTTCAGATTTTCCAAATGGATCAAGGGCTTTGAACTTAATAGAGTGGGGGATCACAGTCAGTGACTCACAGTGACTGGTCAAAACAAAAACTTGTATTTAAAATCTCATTGATAATTTTATTTGCATTTATTTCTATAACATTTTACTTTTAATTAAATAATACCTTTCCTCAAATGAAGGGATCTGTGAATCAGTATGTATTGATCCGCCAATTAAGTTTGGTAATATAGATATCTCGTCTAGTCGTTCCAAGTGATTTGGTCTGCACATTAAATGTTTGCACTTCCGAAGCTATTAACGCTGAACTTTGACCCTGCTAAAAGCTAACTCTATTTCCTCTAATTTGAGAGAGTTATAATACCCATTTGTTTTCAAAATATAGGTACAACTGGAAATGAGCTGGCCATGATATAACCGATAAGCAGCACCAAAGCGGAAAGCACAACAAATAAATATTATTACTGCTCTTTAGTAGCCAGTGAGTTGGGATTGAGTCGGATTTAGTCACGGATCGAGCGCCATGTCCCACGCGATCGGATTTTTTACGCTTCTCTGGATATTTATGGGCGAGTGCATACGGATTGGAGTTCTAGGTGGATATGCGGAGGATAACTACCCTGCGAGTGTCCTGGAAGATGCCCATCTGACCACTGTTGGTATAAAATCTCTCAAGACAATCATCTTACTAATGGTTTTGCAATATATAGTTGCAACTCTTGACAAAGTACAAATATCCTGGGGAGTCCCATCAAGTCACCACCGAGGACAAATATGTATTGACGCTTCATCGAATTCCGCGGCCAGGTGCCAAGCCTGTGCTTTTGATCCACGGACTGGAGGACACCTCCTCCACCTGGATCTCAATGGGACCGCACAGCGGTCTGGCCTACTACCTCTACGAAAATGGCTACGACGTCTGGATGGGCAATGCCCGGGGCAACCGATATTCTCGAGGTCATGTCAAACTCAATCCAAATACGGACCGGGCTTTCTGGAGCTTTTCCTGGCACGAAATCGGGATGTATGATCTCCCGGCCATGATCGATGGTATTCTGGAGAAAACGGGCTATCAAAAGTTGAGCTACTTTGGCCACTCCCAGGGCACCACCTCATTTTTCGTGATGACCTCCAGCAGACCGGAGTATAATGCCAAGATTCACATCATGAATGCCCTGGCTCCGGTTGCCTTTATGGGAAACATGAAAGCACCGCTCATAAGCATCGGTCGCATGGGGATCAATGTTTTAGGAGGCTCCTACGAGCTGTTTCCACACAGCTATATATTTTTCAATCAATGCCTTACCTCTGCAGGAATGATGAAAACCTGTCTTCGCTTCTACTGGCAGCTTGTGGGCAAGAATCGAGAGGAATTGAATATGGTAAGTAGATTTCATAAATTTAAAAAATATTTAAATATTTTTACATTTTTTCAGACCATGTTTCCAGTGGTTTTGGGTCATCTACCAGGTGGCTGCAATGCCAAGCAGCCCCAGCACTATATCCAACTGCAATCCTCCGATCGTTTCTGCCAATATGACTACGATCCCAAGGAAAACCAGCGGATATATGGACGCTCCTCGCCACCTGATTATCGTCTGGAGAAGATCACTGCTCCAGTGGCCCTGTTCTATGGAAGTAACGACTACTTTGCGGCAGTGGAGGATGTAAAGCGGTTGGCCAAGGTGCTGCCCAATGTGGTGGAAAACCACTTGTTTAAAAAGTGGAATCACATGGACATGATTTGGGGCGTTAGTGCCAGACGGACGATCCAGCCCAGGATGCTGAAACTAATGCAGTATTGGGAATCTCACGGAGGTGCCAATCAGAACAAAACGAATGCACCTCCAGAGATGGAGGAAGAAGAGGGTACTACAGAGTTAGTACTTGAAACCTCAACTACTATTACTTCTGAGGAAACCACTCAGAGACCCGGAGTTGTAGAAGAAAAGGATGATGTTCAGGCGACTGATGAAGGAGACCATGAAGAAGCAAAGGAATCCTTGTACGAAACTACCTATTCCCCTGTGGAAGAGTAAACGAAACGACTAAGTCACTGTTTTTAAAATAATTGGTGTGTTGGTTCATTAAATGTTCTGCTGTTGAAAGTGATAAACATCGATTACATTTTTTCGAGGCCATTGACAAAATAATTCATTTTAAAATACTCAAGTATAAGTTAGTTAAGTAAAATTTAATTTATTCATATGTGTTCCAACTTTTTAAATCTATAGTTTTTCCTTGCAATATCCTTAAAATTTTTACACTTTCCGTCAATTTTTTGAGAGTGTGCGAGGTTTTTTGAGCAGCAGAAAAGAACAGCAGCAATCACGTGCCACATCCGCCGCATAGCTGCTCTAATACCAACAACTGGAAACGTTTTGGGAATTCTGCAACGCAACGAGGCGCGAAAACATTTACTCAACACTTAGCAGCTGTTGGTTAGTTTGTGGGCCAAGTTTCCAGGGGCGGCGAGGCCAAAATGTGATGGCGGGGTGACGAGGACGATGGTGGCTGGTCGGGAGTGTTTCTTGTTCGGCGACGTGCGGTGAAAGTTTTTTTTATGATTTATGAAGCAGGCGACGATGGAGCAGCTGCTGCAAGTCCTGTGTCCTGTCGCTTGTCTCTCGTTTCTCGTCTCCTGTCGACGGATGCGGATGCGGAAGTGGCAGGCTGGCTAGATGGCTGGCTGGCTGCCAGACAGCGAGGGTGTGGCAGCTAAGCGCCTTTCCTTGTCAGTTGCGCAACTGCAACCCGGATATAAAAATTGCACTTTGATGCGTTTCCCGCAACTGCCATACAACTGCCATAAAAATGTATATCTAAACAATAGTTTCTTTTGGCGGTTTTTTCTGCGCCTTCACCGCGCTCTGCTCATTAAAATTTTTGCTCAGAGCAAAAGCTTTTGTCAAACACCGCAAACAATGGAGGCTAAACCCCACAAACACTCGCCCCAAACATAAATCCCAACAAAATGCCGACTCTTGCAGTTGACACATGCTGCTTTCTAAGCAAACTTGACGCTAAAGTTAAGTGTGTAATTTGTGAAAGTGACTACTGGGTGGGTGTTTGGGGTACGAATGTCTGAATGAATGCCAAAACAACACAACAGAATTCGCATTGTCGGTGACACATTTCCCGCTTCAAATGCTGTCGCCAACAAAAATACAAAACAAAAAAGCTAAACTGCAAAACAAACACAGGAATCCCGCCCAGGAATTGGCACAGTGAACTCCTGGTTGCGTGAGGCTTTTCCATTAGTGCGTCTCACAGTGAAAAGCGTGGAAAGCGCGAAAAGCGGGGAAAGTGAAGTTGATGTATAAAAATAGAAGCGTTTATCGGGCCACGGAGCACTATGCAAAAATACTAATTAAAAAGTTTTGGGAGAAACTATTATTAGGATATAAAATAAATTTCGACCCAACTGCTGCCGGACTATTAAAGCTGAAAAAGCTTTTTAAACTTTATTATGATGATGTTTTGTTATCGTCACTTTGCTTCTTAAAAACGTATTTTGTGTTGTCCGAACATGGGATTTTTACTTTAGAAGTCCTTTTATAAATCTGTATCCTATTCCATTTATTGACGCAAATAGTAGTACATTTTTATACCCTTGTAGATGTGGGGGGAGAAAAAAGGACAAAAATCTAAAATAATATTTTTTTCTCCGGATTTTGATGCAAATAGGTGCAAAATCGACCCAGAAATCGTTTAAGGTACTCCGCTTAAGAATCGGATGAGAATTGGGGAAGATATAGCCATCACCGTGGCACCTATAGCGAAAAACCTCATTTTTAAGGGATCCATCATGAAAAATGGACGAAAAATCTGAAAAATATTTTGTCTCAGGATTTTGATGCAGAATGGTGCGAAATCGACCCAGAAATTGTTTAAGGTACTCCGCTTGAGAATCGGATAAGAATTGGGGAAGATATAGCCATCACCGTGACCCCTATAGCGGAAAACCTCATTTTTAGGGGATCCATCATGAAAAATGGACAAAATATCTAAAAAATATTTTCTCTAAGGATTTTGATGCAGAAGGGTGGAGAATCGATCCAGAAATCGTTTAAGGTACTCCGCTTAAGAATCGGATGAGAATTGGGGAAGATATAGCCATCACCGTGGCACCTATAGCGAAAAACCTCATTTTTAAGGGATCCATCATGAAAAATGGACGAAAAATCTGAAAAATATTTTGTCTCAGGATTTTGATGCAGAATGGTGCGAAATCGACCCAGAAATTGTTTAAGGTACTCCGCTTGAGAATCGGATCAGGATTGGGAAAGATATAGCAATCACTGTGGGCCCTATAGGGGAAAACCACATTTTCAAGGGATCCCATCATGAAAAATGGACGAAAAATCTGAAAAATATTTTGTCTCAGGATTTTGATGCAGAATGATGCGAAATCGACCCAGAAATGGTTTAAGGTACTCCGCATAAGAATCGGATGAGAATTGGCGCAGATATAGCCATCAATGTGGGCCCTATAGGGAAAACCCCATTTTCAAGGGACCCATCAGGAAAAATGGACGAAAAATCTGAAAAATATTTTGTCTCAGGATTTTGATGCAGAATGGTGCGAAATCGACCCAGAAATCGTTTAAGGTACTCCGCTTGAGAATCGGATCAGAATTGGGAAAGATATAGCCATCAATGTGGGCCATATAGGGGAAAGCCACATTTTCAAGGGATCCATCAGGAAAAATGGACAAAAAATATGAAAAATATTTTGTCTCAGGATTTTGATGCAGAATGGTGCGAAATCGACCCAGAAATCGTTTAAGGTACTCCGCTTGAGAATCGGATAAGAATTGGGGAAGATATAGGCATCACTGTGGCCCCTATAGGGGAAAACCTCATTTTTAGGGGATCCATCAGGAAAAATGGACGAAAAATCTGAAAAATATTTTGTCTCAGGATTTTGATGCAGAATGGTGCGAAATCGACCCAGAAATCGTTTAAGGTACTCCGCTTGAGAATCGGATAAGAATTGGGGAAGATATAGCCATCAAAAATTGCTCTTGGCAGCACCTTTATTTGGTGGACTTCAATCCATTCCCCCATACAAGTCTAGCTTTAATTTTTTGAAATAAATAAACTCATTTACGTGTGTGCTTGTTCATGCCTATGCAATTACATTTTTTGCTCTCTGTTTTATTTGTATTTCAATATTATTACAATTATAAATATTTAAACATGCATAGTACGTGGTAATTAACTTTAATTGTTGATTTTCCGTGTAGATACGCTTAAGTTGAAAAGTATAAATATTTCGTACATACATTGGAATTTAATGTTATTTTATTAAACCTTAAATAGGAAAAACTAGAATAGCCGAACGTTTATTAAAAAATACATGAATATTTACAGGGAACTTAATTGGTAGGTACTTTAATTATAAATATTCCGATGCATATTTGATTTTATAAGCGAAATTGTTGGCTCTCGTTTTTCCTTTTTTTTTTTGTTGGGATTTTTTGCCATTTGTGTGCTCTAAAATATTTTTTGTTTTTCAGTAACATTGGGTAATTATGGGAAAGATTTTGGTGAATTTTAAGTATTTTTCCATTTTGCACAAATGAGGCGTTCCATTTACTGTCTTATTAACAACATTTGTATTCAGTCTTTAAAATAAAAACTTCTCCCACCACTCCAGTTTTGATTGCATTCTAGCCTCAGACAAATGTGTTTTAATTTTATTAACCATAAACATTTACTTTCGCGTATGTTGTGACACAAATGCAGATATTTACCTACACTAATGGCTAATTGGATTTTTACCTTATTTTGTCGTTCGCTTGCGTTGAAATTTGATTTATTTTTTGGTGTTTGCGATTTTTAGTTTTGTTTTGTTGCACTGTGCTTGATTTTTGGCTTTATTTTTGTGATGTAAAACATTCAGAGCTTTTGTTATTATAGTATGCCGATAATTTGTGTTTATATTTACATAAAGTTACTGCGAAAATGTTTTCAATTATTTTCAATAATTTGTTCTCCGTTTTTGGCGCAGCGTTTTACAAACGGTGCCTAGTACTACGAATAGGGATACGATTAAGTGGAGATATGTCGCTGAACTTGCCCGAAACTACACGTACACATAACATACATATATGTAAGATGTCTGAGTAAACACTTCGTATTAAGGTAATGCTATATATAGACACCGATAACTGTCAAATGCCAAGCTCTATATGTACACAATTAGCTACCCTCGGTCCAACCCTGCCATACTCTCTAAAAGTAGTCCATTTTCGGGGCATCCAGAGCCGTGTGCATGGTCAGTGTGACGCCCCTATTGATGCTTACTGCCGGATAGAAAACACCGTAGAGGTCCCGGAAAGCCACCGATCCCTGTGGCATTTCATTGACCAGGAAACTCAGAGTATGCCTCTCCAGATCCAGGAGTACACCAATCGTGCTTCCCGTGGTGATTCCCCCCTCGACTCGTCGCTCATGGATGGAATTGTGCTGGAACCAGGATCTCTGACGGTCGATGTACATGGCAAATGATTTTTCGTCCTTGCCTGTTGATGGAAAATAACAAATATATTCAGAATCAGTTGGTTTTGAGATTTAAAATGAATGTTTGAAACTATATGTATGTGCATCGAGCCGTGATCGTGACTGGTACATTTTTTAATCACTCATTATATTTTCACTGACCATTTACTTCTCTATTTGCGTTTTGTTTTATTAATTTTATTGGCCTGGTTTGCTAACAACTTTAGCAATTATTTAATGCATTTAATTGTTACATGATTAAAGATTATTTAATCCCTTACCGCAACATGATAAATCGATAACCGAATTTAATGAAAATTTTAGAGCAAGCTGATACGATATCTATCTTTATTTTGCTGACTTTCCAAACTCTAAAGTTTTGAACTTAAACTCCAACTGGTAAGATAACTCCCCTGACTTCCACTATCCATGACTTGTCACTTTCCTGTCTGTCGTTTCAGTTCTGTGGAATTATAACTGACAAATGCAAAAGCAACAAGCAAGGTGCCGGCGGGAGGATAAGGACTTGTGGATGTGACCTCCGACCCTCCTGCTGCCGCGCCGTCCAGGAAACGCACTAGTCTCGTAAAACAACTTGGCAAACTGCAGCTGTTAGTGTCAATGTCAGTCGCTGGGGGCCACCACCTGCTCCGAGGTGGTGTGCTGCTCTCCAATTTTGTTGCCGGCGCTTTGCATATGAAAATTTAATTCGAAAACTTGAGTTTGCAGCGAGAAGGACCCAGCGAGGCTGGCGGGCACGTGTTAAATGGCGCGTGAGCAGCTTGGGGAATAAATTGTGTAAGTGAAAAAGATACACAGCGGCGTCTTAGCGACAAGGAAAAAATAAAGAAAAATCCAGGAAAGCGATGCGCTGCCGCAAATAAACTTTTGCATTTGACAAAAGTTTAAGTGCCGCACTTTTAATTACTTTTGTCTGCACTCTAAGCCCACTCTACTCCACAGACCCATCCACCGTCCAATCACTCCTCCTACTACAACGACTACCACGCACATTTTCAATCAATTTACTGCGGCATACTTCAAGGCGCCTCCGCTACGTCTTTTGTTTGTGTTTGTCTCAGTTTCGGTTTCAGTCTGGTAACGAAAACTCTTCACATTCCGCTCCAGAAGTTCGACCCTACACTCACGCAACAAGAAATGGCAAAAGTTTCTGGCCCGCCCCAACACTTGCCACTCGATTTTATTGGCTTCGCATTGCGAGGCGGCAAAATGGCAAAGTTTTAAGCGTAACCCCCCTTAGCGCCATGGCACCCTGCCTCCCTAGCTATACCCTCCCTAAATTCCATCTATTAGCTGTGAACTTTCCGCATACGTATTGGATCTTTTGTCAACGCCAGAATCTATTTGTTGTGCAGATTTTCCACTTCTGGTCTCCCTCTTTTTGCGAGCAAAGTTTCTGTGTGAAAGGTTTTTCCTGCTGGTGTAGTGCTGGTGCTGCTGATGCTCTCTTTGTGCCGCCTGCTCTGAATTTTTAATTGAATTTCAAATGCAACCAGTAACCCACTGACGGCACCTAACAATAGCGAGCGAACTGTAGCAGGTTGTTAACTCACCGAGCATTTTGTTCCGGGCCACGTCGATACGTGCCACTCCAAAGGCCGGATCCGTGTCCGCCGTGTAGTTGTCGATGGTGAACTCCCAGTAGTGGATGCCGCGGGAGAATCCAACCGAGCCGAGGGCCACCCGGTGCTCCCAGCCCTCGACGCTAACGGTGGCGTTGTTTTTGCTAAAGATTAAGCCCGAACCGGCACCGCCGCTCAAAACGGGATCAAACGTAAACCAGGCCACTAGAATGAAACAGACGAGAATGAAACTAATGAATACACTAGCAAAAAAAGCTATTGATAATATAGGGGGCTTAAGAATTAATTAGATATAAAACGATAGATTAAAAACCCCTTCGATGAGTCTATCCCATGTGCTTCCAAACTCAAGAATATAAAGTTGATTTATCATGAGAAGTTATAAGGAAACTTATAATTTAATAATAATTAAGAAATTATTTTCTAGGTTCAAGATTAATTTGTAGTTCAAAGTTCAAGCCAGGGCATAAGTTCATCTTAATTTTTCTCAGCTCTCTATTTTTTTTTGTGTGTTTTTGAAGTGTTCCGGAACTGTGAAAAGTGGAAAGAAAAACAAAGTCAGACTGGTTGCAATTTTCCCCATTGTCAAAGCTCAAGTGGCCGGTGCAATCCAGAATCGGAGTCGGTAGTCAGAGTCCGAATCCTAGTCCGTTCCTTACAGTTTATGCTGTTATGCGCCGCAAAGTAGGCAACGAGTGGCGTCGAGTCGAGTGCTTTATTAAATTTCCGTTTTTATTGTTGTGGCCGCATTAAGTGGCCAAGGCTAGCCGGGAATCAGCTGGGAAAGCTGGGGGCCACTGGTAGCACTGGGAGCTCCACTTCTCGGTCTGATGACGATGATGACGTTGCCTGTTTTATTGGCCACCAAAGGCAATTGTGTGGCCAAACTAGCCACAAAGCAAGCATCTGGGCCAGGAGGACTCCCTGGCTTTGGCCATTGTTTTGTTTACGTCAAGGATATGACTTTGCGATTAAAACTATGAGAGATTTGAGCCAGGCACTATAAACTGTGAGTCCTTAAAATACCAGCATTTAATTAGCTGCCGGGAACTACTCTCAGTTTTTTTTTTAATTGGATAAGTAAGAGGGAGCCCAAATGTTGGCACAATGATTTGCTCCGAAGCATGGATTAGGAGTCTATTATGATGGAATTTAATTTAGTCTGAAGTGTAACACAATGAAGTCTGCAATGCACTTGAGACTCTGGAGCTGTATTTTATATATGTTTAGATTTTTCCATGGGATGGCTTTGCCATTTCGTCCACACCTCGGCCATAAGTTTGGGTATTCGCTCCCTTAAGTAATTGGTATCATCGTAACCCGTTTTATTCCCTCGTCTTAGGGACCATTTTCGTCTGTAAGGTGTTAGAGCCAGGCCATTAACGAAGACCGCCCGCAAACGTCACGAGCCATAAACTGTTAACTGGTTTTTCCGTTAATTACTTAGGGACACGCGCTCGGTGTAAACACTTTATAAAGTGGCAATTTGCATTGGGATCGGGGTCGGATGGCCGGCTTAAATCGCCCGTAACCCCCGCAAAGACAACGCTCTGGCTGGCGTTGAGGAATAATCAATTAAAAGTTGCAAATTAACGGCGACCAACTAATAAAGCGACGGTCAGGATCCGTGAACGTAAAAGAAACAGAAACCGTCTTCCTAGAAAATGCTCTGGCAATTTTATAAATTAAATAACTTTACGCGGCGTTTCATTTGTGGTAGATCCTGGCGGATGGTGGGTGGTGGATGGAGGTAGCTGCTGTCAGGTGGCACATGCATCAATCAAGTGAGAATTGGATTGCAGAAGACAAACCCTTGCGCTCCCGCCACCTTCCCGGCCCCATTTCCCATTCACGTATTCCTGCCCGGCAGGCGTAAAGGGGTCAATGGCTGTTTGACATGCAAAACACGAACGGGAAAAACCAGGAGCTCCGGAATGGAAATGGTAAAGGAAAGGAAAAGGGGTGGCGCATGACCGAAAAGGATTAAATTATAAAACAGTCGGAAAAGTAGCTCACAAGCAGTCAACCATCCAGCCGTCCAACCAGCCAGCCAGGCAGCCGGAGGAGCTTAATTGAAAAAGCTAGTACGAGAAGAAAGGTGAAAATGTGAAAAGCGGGACTCACCTTCGGCGGTCTGAAGTCCAATCAGCTCCGAGTATTCACCCTCTCCGGCGCTATTGAAGGCCTTCACCCGGGCATTGTACATCGAGTTGAAGTGCAGCCCGTCCACGGTGCAAATTGTTTCCTTGCCGCAGTAGACTTCCTGTTTCGGGGATCCAGGGAAAGGAGAGAAAGGAATCAAATTAAAGTTCTTGGTTAATAAATTGGAAGATGACAGCCATTCAGTCAGCCAATCAGCAAGCGGATTGTGCCATTCAGCAATTCGTGAAGGCAGTTATCCTGGCTTATACTTGTTAGCTTAATTCTAACAGCTTTTTTAAGCCACGATTATAATTAAAGTTGATGAGTCGCTTGAACTATTTCCAATAATATTACTTACCCTAAACTCTCCACCGCTGCCATCGTCCAGTTCGAGGACATAGCCCTCGACAAAGGAATGATTCGGTGGCTGCCACGCCACTGTCACGGAATTATTCTCCGCCGAGCAGTCCGATGGCAGAATGGTTGGCGTCATGGGGGCTGTTGAATAATTAGGATATTTTATTGAAATTGTGCAATAAACCAAACATCAGAAACATGTGTAGTAGTTGTGCTAACGTTTAGAAATAACAGATAATCCAGTGCTTGTAAAAGACATAAACTAAAGACCCGAAGAAAGTGTTTTGTGGAGTGTGTTAGAAGGCACTACAGTGTTTTGACATAAAAGTAAGCCAAATTATCAATACAACTTAAGTAGACAAGTACCACAACCAATAAAAACAAAGTTTCAATCGATGAAGGCCGAAAACCAGCACCCACCCAGATGATCCGATCCCCTCGAGAAACTAAAATGAATCTGTCACCAGGCGAAGAGTCTGCTGTTAGTGTTTCATTTTTTATTAATTGCCCGAAGGGTGGGCCACGCCTACAGGTCGTAAAGTTGGGGGGCATAAAACCAACGCCTGGTAATAAAAATTCATGACACAACACAAATGGCGGAGAGAAGTGAAGCGCCTAAAATTATGCCACAAAATAAACATAAAAATGACGACACTTTCGGGCGTCCTCCTTTGGCTTTCCGCTCCCCTGCTTCGGCATCAAATTAAAAAGGCGCCAAAAGCTGTCAAATGTCAACCGAAACAAAAGTAAAACGTGGAAATCAAGGTGGCCCTTTTATTTTGTTGGCTAAAGGCCGAGCAATCAGGCTAAAAGTGTAAGGGATAAGCCCGGTCGGCCGGTTGAGCCTCTGAAGAGGGTCAATTGCGAAACCGAAAATACCAGAAAACCCGAAAGCTGCGACTCATAAAAATAATAACAATATAAAACGAAAAAATGCGAAATAAAAGCTTAAGCATGAAATAATGAAGAGGAGGAGTGGTGTTGGAGGGAGAGTGGAAAAAAAGCCAAATGAAAAGCGACAGGAAAAACCAAAAGGCAGAAAGCAAAAAGCAGCGTAAAAAATTATGTCACTCGAAATGACATTGCCTGACCACGCCCCCAGCCAGTTGACAGGCTGTGGCAAGGAATTCTCTGACAGTCGCCCGGAACCGGAAGTGAAAACGAAAATATTTGGACGTATTTTGGTTTATTTTTTATTTCCCGTTAGTGGCTTAAATGAAAATGAAAAATTATTATGCGTAGGCGTGTTCCTCTCAACTAAAAATAAGAAAAAAAAAAACAAAAAAAATGGCTAGCAAGGAAATGCCAAAAATCCATGAAAACAAAATGGCCGACGAATCACCTCAATGTGTGAGTGAGCTGTGTATTAGTGTGGGTGTGTGTGTGAGACTGAAGCACCAAGTAATGATTTTTGTCCAAACAGAATAAAAAAAAATATATATATAAATTATGAAATTGCATATTTTTTTGTGAGTATCTGGGCAGTGTATGAAAACTTAATTAGGTATTGATTTTTTTCATATTTTTGTTGTTGAGTGTGTTTTATTTTTGCTCACCTGCCGGACATCTTTCATCTCCATCTTTGACGGCTATAGATGATTTTTTTGTATATTTATGTGGACATTCATTTAAATGAGAGCAAGCGGCACATTCAGAATGGAAGGAAATGTGAGAGAAGCACAAAGAGGTTAGACATATCAAATGCATATCAATTTATATTCTATTCTGGATGCTTTTGTGGGGAACCGATGTGCACTATCCGATTTCAACACTTTCACTTTAATTGTCAACTCCACACATGGCGGCTCCCATTTCCAAATATCTGTTCTAAATATAGTCCCTTCCCCCCACCACTAAGGAGTTCCCCAACTAATACTACCAGCCCTTTGGTTTCAACTCTTCAACAGGCTCTCGATTGAAGGGCTCTTCCCGCTTTTGTTTAAAGGGTCGAGTTTGGTGTTTTGTTTGTTTGTTTATGTTTATGTTTATCGGGTGGCCCCGAGTCACACCTTGGACCGAGTGCGAGGGTGTGTTTTGGTGTGTGTGTTTGTGCGTAATTAGTGACAATATTTATGAGGCGAGTTTATTTAGCAGCTACAGTCGGGCCTAATAATTCATCTCCGATTTAAAGACTCTCTAAAGGTATTGTTATCTACCAATACATCCTACTCTTTTCAAAATTTAGGTAGTTACTTCTACTTCTAACCACATCACTTACCTTTCATTTGGATAAAGTTCAAGTTATCAATGGCACGAGCCAAGGCGGCATCATCAAGGGTCAAGTCTACGATGGGCGAAACCCGGGGGGCAGCATTTGTGACCTCCTGGTGCCAGGTCATGTCTGTGTTGGCCACTCGATTTATAAGCATGGCACCAACCTTTAAATAAAGTTAATTATATTAATCAAGTCTAAATTAAATGAAATTTTATTAAAAAAACAAACCTGTAGAAAGGCGGCGCTGTCAGTCTCCTTCAGAGCTTCAATGCAGAACTGAATAAGTCCTGTGGTTTGTTGCAGTTTGCCAGTGCAGTTTGATTGTTGATCCTAGAAGGATATAATAGATTAAGGATAAATTAAGCCCATTTATTTTTATTTAAACATATCATGTTTTATGCAAGGAATAGAATTTCATGAATTGATTTTGTAATAAATTGTTAAGTTAATCACTTCAATCTTCTAAGCCAATACCTCAGCCTTTTAAAATCTCTTAAATTTCAAGAAAAAAAACCCACCTTCAATATCCTGATCTTGGTGTCCTTGTCCATGCGAATCGCCTCCAGCAGATATTCGCGTCTGTCGTGAATGGCCTGAATCAAAGCTTCACATTGGGCGTGCACCAGTCGCTCGAACTCCATGCAGGATTCCTGTGCATAGATAACTCAAAAATTTAAGCCGGATTCTGGGGAGATTTTTGCTTTTTTTTTTTTGGTCCTTCAGGATTCTAACTTACCGTTACTTTGTCGCTCATGCCTTTGAGGCGCTGGATGAATTCGGTCGTGGAACGTGCCTTCTCCGACAATTGTTGCAGATTGTGCGACAGCTCCGTCTGCAAAATAATACCAACGAATGCGAAAAGATGAGTTTCGAGGACAACGACATCAGTATCAGTATGGCGCGAAAATTAAAAACAAAGCTGGAATGCAGTGTGCCGCAATAAAAGTTTACGGTTTAAGGTTTCTTTTATGACAACTTTTAGTCACGCCCGCGGTGACAGCTCGCGTTTGCAATATTTTTTTTGTAATTTTTTCCCCGTTTTATTTGTATGCTCCCCTTTTACGTTCATAAATAGTACATAGTTTCATGTCAAAGTCAAGAGCTTCACCAGGGAAAGAATTCATTAAAATATACAACGATTCCAGACCACAAATAAATCGCTCGACTACAATGCCAGGCTCAATAACACATATATATCACGCAAACTTTTCCATATCCATTTGCCATTTGCCGACATTTGCAAACCTCATTTGTTGAATGTTTTTGGGAGACAATGTTGATGTTGCGGCATTGGGAACATTTGCACTTGACAGTGACATGACACGGCACGCCACCCAATGAACAATTCAATTTTCATCAGCGGCAAAATTTGCTCAGCAATTAAATTGCTCATACGCCCCTTAATCCGCCGCCACCCTTGCCACCAACAATTTCAATTCATTAGCATGCGGCCCACCCCTCAAGAGTGTATCCTTGTTCGGGCTCCCCACCCTTTCCGGTTTTCCCCATTTTCCGGCTTGTTGCTGCCCGCAGGACACTTTGGCATTGAACGTGAAACAGTCGCACAATAATTGTCCAGCTAGCTGGCTCAAGTGTCTGCCAGACGGGCTTCCAGAATATAGAAATTGGAAGGAGAAATGGGTGTCCTGGTTGGGGTACCCTCATAATACCCGCCTGGGGCATTTACATGCTTTTCACTTTTCCAGACAAACAGAAAAACAGGGAACGCCATTCCGTTTCTGTTCGTTGCCCCTTTTTCCTGTCCATTGTCAGACCCGGCGTATACTCATTACCACTTTCTGAGTTTGCCTTCTGATTATTTTATTCTATTTGCCAGCCGTCGCTTGGCTTTCTTTTGCCTTCTTTTGTTGCTGCTGCTGCTGCTGTTTCTCGCCTTTGTTTGCTTATCAAATCAAAATAGCTGCAGGTACACAATTATGATGGCCTTGCAATGTGGCGGGAAACGAGTGTTTTGCTTGCTGTTCCCGCTTTTTATTACAACCAGATAATATAAGTTGAGATGGGGGCAGGAATTAAAGGATGCTAGCTAGGAATAATACACAAAAATCTTAAATTTTGACTTCATAAATCATTAAAATCTAGTCTGACAATACCGGAAATACTTTATTCCTCTTTAAAAGCTCTCCAAATGGGGGCACCCCAGTAAACAGGCACTTTGAGCGGCATTACCCAAATATTCCTTTTTAGTAAATGCATTTGGCTTTCATAATTCTTTGGAAGACAGCCACCCCCCAAAATCGCAGCCCAATTACTGGGAAATGTTTTGTATACAGAGAGACGCGTAATGAGTTGCCTTTTCCTCATCGAAAAAGGGCACCAGCTTATGGCGATTACATTCATTAGCTGAATGCCTGCCCTGCACTTCACCACTCCAGCACTTCATCCTTCCAGCTATCCATCCAAAAGGCGGACAAATAGACAGTCGGACAGATGGCTAAGCGCCGAAAAGTCGGCAAGAGAAAAGCTGCCAAAGGTTGATAGTGCGCGGGAGGCGACGAAGCTGTATGATTCCTCCTGGGGGGAAAAGGATGTCGGCAAAGTGCTGGCCAAGAATGCGCAACGCGGGCGGCGAACTGTTGAAATTTAATCCCTCAAGGGTTTCTTCAACGCTTCGTCCACAATGCAAACGAAATTTGGCGGAAGGGGGCATCCGGATGGGGAGCGATTTTGAAGTGGACGGACCAAAGTCGAGAGTCTGCTTTGCATTGATAAGCTGCCCGCTCCTGTTGCTCATCGTCCTTTTGGAAAAACATTTTTGCGAGCACTCTTTTATGACGCATTACCATAAAAAACAGTACGCAGTCGGAGAGCCAGAACTTTTATCAGACAGTAAAAAATAATAATATGACATGTTTATGCGCCGCAGACGCAACGTCTTTAAAGTTGCCACGCATGCAAATCGCGTTAATAATTTAAGAGCCCTCTTCGGTTGACTCCTTTGTGCCCCACTGACGTGGCCGTGACACATGTGCCCCCCGGACAGAGCAAGGGAAGGGGCGGACAAATAAATTATTAAGTTGTTAAGAGACCCAGCCAGTCGCTCACATTAATATGATAAACGTTGCAACAATGTGCTTTAAATGGGCGCACGGAATGGGAGTTTAAAAGCGGGAAGCTTCTGCCACATGGGGCACAAGGCAAGCGAGAGCCTCAGTTAAGTATTATATAATTATGCATTAAATTGTAAACATTACAGAAAATATAATAAGGACTCTTTAATTCTTAAGAATTAACCATAATCATAATTCCCAACAAACCTTTACTATTTAATGTTGAAAACATAAAAAGATAAACCATCTCTCAGCTCTTCTTGACTTAAATAATAAGCCTTAATTGTTGGCTGAAACAAAGAAGCCTGAATTAAGCAATAACTTAGTCCTTTTCTCCAACATTTATGTATCGCAACCTCTTATCGTCTCGAATAAAATACAAATGAGTCTGCGGCTCGTACCATAAAGATGCTAGATTCCATCTTTGGGAAATGGCAGCCGGCCAAAGCCCTGCAACCAGGCGTTGACAGTGCCCCGCCTGTGGCACCACACCTCTTGCACGATATCCCACAATTTGTATAGTTATCCGAGGGATAGGCTGGCCAGAGCGAAAGATTAAAATCGCAGACTTTGTGGCGACGTCGTGGTCGTGAGGGCAGGAGAATGTTGCTGCGACTTGGCGCCGTCATTTGCAACAAGTTGCCATGTGCTACTGTGCGCACTAGGCTACACAGCCATAGATTTAAACCGTAAATAATCAAGATATTATAGACTAAACTGCAGCTATTCTGTTGTCTAGTGCTGCAGCTAGTTGTTGGCCATAATTCAGTTCATGCAACGACGCAACGGCTGCTATAAATATACGATACACCGACTCGGGGATCGTGCCACAGTCCGAGGCTCATTAGGTGCGTGTTGGCCGTCTAGAAATTAGCAAGTCAGAGCTGAAATCAGAGTCGTTAGTGCTGTGTTTTTTCATAATATTCGCTGGCCCAGAAAAGGCCTGCCACATTAAACTGCTAACGCACTGAGCTTGCCACAAATGAGTGCCCATCAAGAGCAGCAGTTCGGGCCATGGCTTAAAACGATGATGATACATGTCGGGCGGCAGTATTGGCGGCTAGACGAGTGGCCAATATTTATGGCGGAGCGGTGTGGCAGGAACGTGACAACGACTCAGATGTCCAACGAACAGGTGGCCGGCTATCCGGGCTTGAATTATAACGCATTTAAGCCATAAAGCCGCGGATATATGAGACGAGCTTAAGTAGCTCGTGTCGCGGATACGCTCGACACATGTTAGCCTCTCTCCGTAATCCCAATCCGAGTATGGTGTTTGGCATTAACGCACATAAATATTATTTACAGCCATTTCGTGTTGCACATGCAACACGTGGCCCTGGCCCATTGAGCTGTAGGTGCTCTTCTTACAGCCCAGCATGGATTAAATGGCCAAAAAGACGGGGTCCGTTAAAAGAATTAATGGTTGGTCATAAGCAGGGTGATGGAAACTTATAATTGCGGAAAAAATATGATGATTTGGGATGATTATAAATCAAACGTATTTTTAAAATTAGGTAATGATATATAGATTCCAATGCTATAACTCATATTATCCCTAATGAACCATCTCTTTCTTGAGTTACTGAGCTTAAATCATCTTAATCAAAAACCCTAAAGATCTGAAGTGCAACCTCTTACTTGTCTTAATAATTTGACTGCCACACGACTTTCCTTCACCCACAGCCCTGCCCCCTTCGTTGAATTCATTTCCGAAAACACGTTTATCCATTCATAACCACTCGCCTCTCGAGGCGGCAAACCACTGGGGCATGAGTAATGCGAGGCGCATTGCAGCCGCCGTTCGGGCCCCGATAAAAAGCTTAAAATACAACTTACACTCTGACAAGATATGAATTTTAAGCGCGCCGAGCGCATCCCATTGATTTATGTGGCAGTCAAAGGAAGCGGCCCAAGACGACGATGCTTTTTTAAATTGGATTACCAGTGGCTTGGCTCCGTCTGCGAAGTTTTCTGCTGCCTGGTTTGCATGCCAATTGCGATTAAAAATAAGTCGCAATGACGATGATGGCTTATTGAGCCACTGGCTCTGCTAATTAATTAGCGAGTAGTGCAAATATAATTTAAAAATCAAAAATAAACAAGAGTTAGGGGGCAGGAGCAACTTTCGAAATAGACTTGATGGCTTGAAGGAAATAAAGGCAAAATAAATAGCAAACCGCAGACGGAACAAGCAAATAAACAAATGTGAGGGCGGTCCCCCGATGTCGATTGATTGCGATTGCGATTCTGGTGGTGTCCCCCGGTGGGCCATGTTCTAGACACTCAGACAGACAGACGAAAACCGCAGAATCTAATTTGGAAAACGTATGTAGACCGTGTGGAGTCATCTGGCAAAGAAGGGGAACTTTCAGTCAACAAATGTCCCGAGGGGTGTGTGGAACAATATTTGAAGCCATACCATAGGAGGGGACACAACCCAAGAAAGGTGTCGGGTTAGGGGGGGAAAAGTGAATGCGCAACAATCAAAATATTTTCATGACAAATTTAAAACAACAGAACCATGAAGTGGAACACGCTGGGCCAGTCTTAGTTCTTCGGACAGAAGCATACTTGCCGCAAATGAGAAACAAGTTTAGCAAACCGAGAAAGAGCTATAATATTTTAGCTACAAAATGCACTAAGAAATAAGCGGTCAGAATTTAAAGATTAATAGGAAAAGTATAAAGGAATGAAATTAATTTTTAATCATGTTTCTAATTCAGTAAGAAGATGGATAATCATATAAAGCCCCATAAAA